CCCTTGTCGCCCAATGCAAACAGGCGATCCAACTTCGCTAGTGGAACACATTCTGCACGACCTAAAAAACCCTAAACCCTACACCCTAAACCCCTAAACCCCTAAACCCCTAAACCCTTAACCCTTAAACCCTAAACCCTTATAAACCCTTAAACCCTTAAACCCTTAAACCCTTATAAACCTCAAGCGCCTCAAAGCCTCGCCGTAAATCACAGGGTTCTGAAACCAGTAAAAACCAATGAGCCCGAGTCCCAAAAAAAAAAAAACCCCTCAAGCGCCCCATAATCCCCCATAATCCCCCATAATCCCCTATCAACCCGTAAACAAACCCCTTGTTACCTAAACCTAAACCCTGTAAACCCAAAACATTAAACTCTCACTTCAACCCTCAACCCTAACTCTAAAGCCCCCAGCAGAAACCCTGAGATGCCAGCCGACGAGAGCCTCCAGCAAGGTAGACCTCATTTCGGGCTTATTGGGGGTGGGTCCTTTAGCGGCGCTCTGAAGTGCCGCTTCAGGGGAGTTTCTGAGCAGGTTCGGGCATATGGAGTGCCTGGAAACCTTTACGGATAGGGTTTTAGCACCTTAGGGTCTTGGGGCTTCAGAATTTTAACCTTTAGGCAGGTAGACCTCTGTTGCGTGCCTTTTTAAGGGGGATTGGGCCTCAGGGTTGCACGATGAGAGTTCAGGGCTTTAGGATTAGTTTAGGTTTTGGGGGGCCAGGCCAGAGGACTAGGCATGGGATGCAAGACGTGCTCCTCAGAGATCGCAGAGCAGGCGTGTTTCTCGGTTCTTGCTCTGGGGAACTTCCTCCTCCGTTCCCTCCGTGCTCTGTCGGTCGCCGCTTTTGCCTCCCTGCCCACCCCAAATACTGACCAAACCTTAGGGCTTAGGGTTAAGAAGCCCTATACCCTAAACCCTAATAGGGGCCTTCTTAATTAGAATAGGGTATGCTGTCAACAACGAGAACCTCTAGGACCCCAAAGTAACTTCATTGCTAGGTACTTCGCCTTACAGTCCTGACACCCTAAAGTCCTCAACCCTCATACTCACCAATGTTCCGAAAGAGCCCTATAGGAACTGCACGCACCACAACTCCTGAATTTAGCCCAGTAGAAGGATATGTCATGTACTTGGAACTACGTCTACAAGCAGCAATATCGCTGCCCTAAGCCGTCGACCCTTTAAACCCTACTCCCCAGAAACCAGATACCCTAAACGCCAAACCCTTGCAAACCTCCAACCCGGAAATCCTGCAAGACCAACCCTAAACCTCACAAGCCCTCAGCCGATAACGCCATGCCCTAAAACCCAAAACCCCTCACTTTGCCACCGAAATGCCAAAATCATCAACCCTATAAACCCTGAATGATAAACCCTGTAATCCTGTAACCCCTAAACCCTAAACACCTAAACCCTATAATCCCGAAACCCGATAATCCCTAAAGACTATAATCCCTAAACCCCAAACCTTCACTTGGCAACCGGAAGGCGTTAAACCCTAAACCCCAAACCTTGAACCCCTCATAGATCCCTTTGGATCTCTTTTCTTCTTCGAATGTTGGGTCCTTTTGAGCTTTACAAGTTGCTGGAAAAAGAACCCCGGACGTATGTGGAAATTGCCAAACTCTGAACCCCAAGCCTTGAACCTCAAGTGTACTTGCGTCTGCAGAGTTGAGTTCGTTTTGCTTCGTGTTTAACGATTTCTCACTGACCCACCAACCGAAACAGACAACACCCTGAAAACCCTTCAAGGAGTCCTAAACTTTGCCACCAGGAAGCTTCCCAACGCTCTGCCCGCCGACCACCGCGATCTGCGGCAGATCAAAGTCGAGCTCCAGGCCGGCGTGCCTTCGGAGAAGCGGGGAATGTCAGGGGTTTAGGCACTTAGGGACTTTAGGGACTTAGGGGGATTACAGGGTTTAGGGACTTTTACGTGCCTTCGGAGAAGCGTCGGATTACAGGGTGTAGTGCTTAGGGATTTGGGGATTATAGGGTTTAGAACGGGATTCAGGGACTTAGGGATTCTAGGATTGTAGGGTCTAGGGATTCCAACGTGCCTTCCAAGAGAGGCGGGGATTACAGAGATAGGGACTTAGGGTTTTTGGGGACTTCGGGTTTAGGGTCTATAGGATTTAGGGATTATAGGGTTTAGGGACTTAGGGGTTTTAGGCATTGTAGGGTGTAGGGACTTAGGGATTTTGGGATTACCGGGTTTCGGGGTTAGGGCTGCTTCGTCCACAAGCCATGTGGTGTACTGCACTTGCAACGCAGCTGCCGCATGCGGCAAGCTGTGATCTAAGGCACTGTCACATCGGAGCTTCCACTCTTTTCTTGCCTTGTGGCAAACGTGCGCATCTTGCAAAAGAGGCACCGGCTCTGCGTATGAGCATCAGGTCAGCTCCCACCAGGCCTTGCATTGAAGCGTATTCACCATTCTTCCTTCGAAGATCTCCATGGCGCGACCTCCCAACCTGGCATTGCACGCACGGGCGAGGTTCAGCGTGCACAAGTTGATCCGAAGCATTAACCCTAAACCCCCCATTTTCTCTGGAGGGTAGGCATCCTGGCGCTTGAAGACCTAACCTTGAACAGCCAATTAGCGGCCGCAGAGGGGGGGCTCGGAGTTTAGGGTGCAGGGTGTAGGGATTCTAGGGTTTGGGGCTTAGGGATTATAGGGTTCAGGGAGGGGCTTTGCGATTTTAGGGTTTGGGGTTTAGGGACTATGGATTGTAGGGTTTAGGGTTAGGGATTTAAGGTTTGTGACAAGAAGCTTTCCAAGTTTTTCGCAGGGTATTCAATGCTTTTGGGCGGTTTATCAAGTTTTAGGGGCCTTCATACGGTTCCTACCCCTTCACAGCAAAAAATAAGGCCGCGATGAAAGGGTATTGAGGGTATATAAATACTGTTGCACAGCTTATTGGCTATTTGTAGGCAGTCAGTGCTTGTGCAACTTTTGACTGCGAGTCTGATGGAGTTTGCGGTTTAGGGTTCAGGACGTTTGGGTTGTGGGTCTGGGGGCTTGCGGCAGAGGGCGGCTCAGTGGCTAAATTGTTCTAGCTGGTTCATGTCGATGCCCTCTTCGCTTTAGGGTCTTGTTAAAAAATCTATTTTGGATTGCTATAATAAAGTAGCCAGGTTGTTTGCTAACTACGGGTTTCTCATGGTAAATTCAACTCAACCCCTGAAAAAGAACTCAGGGAAGTTTGGGCTGAAGAAGTCCTTGGGATCTGTTGCCTACATGAGCTTGAGTTCTGCAGGGTCTAGGATTTAGGGAATAGGGCTTAGGGGTTTAGGCTTTGGGGTCGCTGTCTGCAGGGTGGACCGAGTGGTGCCGTGCTTACTGACTGCTTGCGTGTCAATGCCTGCAGGGCTGTTTGCTCTCTGAAAGGGACTGCGCTTGTCTAAAACCTCCTACTCTAGGAACCGAGTTTACAACAAGACCCTATGCGACACCCCTAACGTCTTATTTATACTTGGGTTCGGGGGGGATGCCTCAGCCAAAGGCGTTAACGACGACTCAGGTTTCGGGTCTTTATAGACGAAAAAGCCACACGGGATCCTCCCAGTGGTCTGCTTTGGGGAGAGTCTTTGGAAACCTTAACACTTCTCAGCTGTAGTAAACATAACCCTCCGAAGAAACCTTGAAGGGAACTCATTCTAGTTCTCACGGCCCCCTTACCTAATAAAGCCTTATATTGGAAGCCCTTCAGAAGGAGCTAAGTCCCTGTAACAGTCTCCCTTGTAAGGAGCCCCTAAATAAGGACCCTGTATTGCAAATTACAACTCCTCAGCACCCGACTCCACCGCTTCGCGGATCTGGCTGGTCACCGGGATGAGCTTGTCCATGCTGCAAAACCCTACAACCTTAAACCTTGGGGGTTAGGGCTTCAGGTTGAGGGCCCGATAAATCCTAAACCCTGTTAGGGTTTAGGTAGGTTTAGGGGCCCGATAAAATCCTAAACCCTATTAGGGTTTAGGCGATGCAGGGCTTAGGGTCCCGAAATGCTAAGCCCCTAAACCCTAAACTGCAAACCTTACCTGAAAACCCATAGCCCTAAACCGTGAAATGATTCCTTTGGCTAATTACTGTAAGGTTGGCATGGGGTGGGTTGTTGGGTTCAGGGTTTTGGGGTTTAGGGTTCATTGGCCCTTACGGGTTCCAGCGGGAGGCGTTCTGCGTACTCAGCTGTGAGAGGCGCAGCGTTTTGGACAAACAGGGACGCATGACTGGGCCTCAACTCAACCCAAAAACCCGAAGAGGTTCTGTACGCGTCCTATGAAGGTGCAGGATTCAACGCTTTCCTGTCTTGTGGTTGTGAGATGTTGTGAGATAATGCCGCCCGGCGAAATTCGCATAGGTTTGAGCCTCGACTTGCAGTGACGACACCGGGCTTCTAGGGCTTGGGATTCTGGGTGATGGCATTCGTTGCATAATAGGCCGAAAAACTCCACAAGAAACCACGAAAAGCAAGCCCCACACCCATACTGCTTTCTTGGCGGCATCAGGGCTGGTAGTACTAGTGGTAGTGGTAGTAGTATTTGTCGTCGTCGTCCTCCTCCGCCTGTTCCTCTAAACTAGCTGTGGTCAGTGGCCTGCTGCTCCAGTGAACGAAGTTAAGGGTGTCACAGGAGCAGGCTGGCAGAAAGTATTAGTAGCACTGATACCAGTAGTTTAGTAGTTTGCTTCTTGCGCATCTCTGCTACCGGTGAGGTGTGAAACGCGTAAGCGCCCTGTGCAGAGGCCACGCATCATGGTGAAACAGCCGTTGAAGCCTTAATCAAATCTGCAACCGACCCGCAGAAGCCTGCAGTTGTGTCTAAGTCTAGGGCTCCATGATGGCCTAACGGCCATGGGGCCATCCATGCTGGTTACTTAGCTTAAGCTCTTTAATGAAAACACTAAGCCCAAAAACCCTAAATCCTCTTGACACCTTGACACTTTGTGCTAGTGTGTTGTTTTGCCTCTGCGAGGCATGAATTCACACTCGTGCAGCTCCTCAGTAGAAGTCTTCGACGGTTGTTCCATCACCTTCCTGGAGCGCGAAAGCCCTAAATACACACAGAAACATGACAAAAGCCTCGAATTTTTGTATGTATGAATATGTATGTATGTATATATATATATATATATACAGTCCATCCATCCATCCATCCATCCATCCATGCAGCCAGCCAGCCAGTCATACATACATGCATGAAAAATACTTATATACATACGTACCTGCATAGACAGAGAGACAGACAGACAGCCAAACGGACATACACATATGCATCTACATATATACATATATACATATCTACAGATCTACAGTACATAAGCAGCATCTCGATAGATTATTCTCGCGGCTCTTCTCGTGTTCTGCGGGTGTGCAAAGATGAAGCCCGAACCCTTCAGACCTGCGCTCTAGACACCGGAGCCCCGCAACGCCCAGCTCGATGGTGTGTCAGCGAAACCACATTATCGAACCACAGTTCCACAAATGCCTCATCCAGCAACCCTAAGCCTATGTACTCAGATGAAGCTCAGACCTCATGCCCACTACCAAAGTGGAGCGGGTAACGATGGCTCGAATTTCTGAGACTTCAAAGCCCTCCTGCTCAAAATGCAACGATTCGGCGCAGGGCTTGCAAGGGTTTAGGACTCAGGACTTTGAGAGGGCTTCTCGGTGGATTCAGATGTAGGGTTGGGTTTATTCACTATGTCGGGTCTGCGGCGAATGAATGCTGCGAAACCTGAATTCCCTGTGTCGGGTCCCCTTCACTGATCAGCATTCCACCCCTGCGCAAAGCTCGCTCTGCCTACAATCATTTCAAAGCTCCCGTCAAGCCAAACCTCACGAAGCCCTCAGCTGCAATCACATTTCAACGGACTGAAGACCCCATGTGCTGAACACCTGCAACTGTAGATGCCAAACGCCAAGACCACCAAAACCATAGACACCGGAAGCCTCAACCCCAGATTCCCTCAAATTCCGACGCTGCACGCATTGGCCTCTTGCATCACAGCAGCCCCGACCCGGTGCACATGATCTACATTTCGCCACAGAGATGCGTGACATGTCCTGCAGTCTCGAAGCGAGCGATTTGCTCGCAACCGCTGCAAATATCACGTTTGGAGTGCTCCGGCGGTCAACCGGCCCTTCAGGGCCGCCGACCACCAGCGCGAAAATCTTCCTAAACTCTGAATCTGAAGTAAATCGGTGCTCTGAGCCCTCGCTCAGCGCTGTTGCGGGGAGTTCTCCGCTGACCTCGGCTCAAGGGGGGGAGGCCACGGACAAGCACACAAAAAAGGCGGCCCGAGGCACAGGCACGCGTTTGTCTCACGGCAGGGGCGGCAGCCCGAGCTCCTTGGCCACCTTCCGAGCCTGCGGGGAGCGGGGCGACACACTTTTCCGCACTTTTGCGCACGAAAGCGACACCCCGCCTCGGCGACGGAGACCTCGCGCTCTTCTTCGCCATCCATGAGGAGCCAGGCCTTCCTGCCGTCCGCGCTGAGCCTCACCCCGCGGCCCTTGTCCTCGCCATCCTCGTAGAAGCCGACCTCCACGTCGCCGTTCTTGTACGTGTACGTTCCCTTGCCGTTCATCTTGCCGTCCTTGTACTCCCCGACGTAGACCGCGCCGCTCTCGTACGTGTACGTCCCGGTGCCGTTCGGCTTGCCATCCTTGAAGTCTCCCTCGTACACAGCGCCGTCCGGCCACGTGCACCGCGCCCGGCCGTCCATTTTGCCCTCGTCGTTGACGGGCAGCTCCGCGTCTCCCGCGATCGGTTCGTGCCACTCTGAGACCATCTGCACCTCGTCCTTGACGCCTTGCTCCCACTGCTCCCGGGCCTTCTCCACTGCTAGGGCCAGCTTCTCCTCGTTCTTGCGGCTGCCTCCTCGATCATAGGTGGTGGCAAAGGCGAAGAGACCGATGCGGGGGATTTGCCACTTCTTTCCCATGTTCTCCTCCGCGACCTGCATGTACGATTTCTCCCGGACCTGGCCCTGCTGGATCTGGAGCACGAAGCCCCGTTTGCTCTTCTCGATGCGACCCAAGTTCTCCTGAGCCAGCGGGAGTCGGCTTCCTCCTTCCAAAGTTCCTTGCGGGTGAGATTGAGAGAGAGAGAGAGAGAGAGAGAGAGAGAGAGAGAGCAAAAGAGAGCGGTCGGCAACAAAGCTGATTGAACCTTTAACCCAGCCATGCTCACTACAGAGATGCCTTGACACCAGAAGGTCCTGGGCAGCAAGGGAGTCTTGAAACTTTCTACAGTTGATTGGGGCCCCCGAGCGCGCCTTGTTGTCCGTGTTGGGGTTGTACACCGTACAGCCCAGTTCTTCCAGAATTTCCTTGATTCCGATCGAGATTGTCTTCCATGGCTCTTGGAACTTCGTGGAGAGGACGACGTGAGGTGCATCTGGGCCTCTTTCGAGCACACTTTTCCTCGGTGGCCACGAAGTCGGGCGAATCCACTCGTGTGGGACATTGTCGTAGCCCGCGCTCTTGTAGCCAGCCATGGGCTGTGCAGGAAAATGGTGGAGCCAAGCTGGAGTGACCTTTTGAGCAGCCTGGCCATCGAAAAGACTGGGCACTGCGCACCCTACTGCCCATATTGTGGTGCCCCGTCGTCCCTGTTTTTGGGGTTGAGGGTTTTTTGGGGTCGCCAGCATGAACATCCCTGACAACATCATCATGGGCACATACTTGCAAGAAGTATCCAAACATCTGAATCCCGAACAGCTGTCTATAGAACGTATCTATAGCGTGAGTGTGTGTGCGTGTGTGTCAGTAATCACAAAACAGACACCTAAAACGGGTTCCAAAATGAAAACTCACTGGCTAACAAAGACCCCCCTGCAGGTACTATTTAACCATAAGGAGCCCTGAACCCCTCAACACGAATCTCCCAGAGCCATGAGCAACCGAAGTCGTGAGCCCATAAAAACTTTCAACTTACACCCTCACAGTGTGCCGCCAGAAAACACAGGCAAACCCGACGCAGCTAAACCCCCGTAGAACATACTATATCTGAGATATGATAATACACCAGATCAGGATCAGCCTTGTAAACTTAAACCCTGAAGCCCTACAGATTTCAGCCCACCGGGCTCCTTGTGAGGGTTTTGCATGTCGGAGGTCCAGAGGGTGAGATTGTCTCGCAGAAGCTGCATAATGGCCTCACAGGAGCTTTAGGGATGTAGGGAATTTGGAGTTTGAGTTAGAGTTAAGGGTTTTTAAGCTTCATGATGGCCTCAGACGGGGTTTGGGGTTGTAGGGTTTCGGGCTCAAACTGCATAATGCAAGGGCTTTAAGGATGTAGAGGCTGCAAGTTCCCTGGCAAGTTCAACCACGCACCACGCTCGGGGCAGGGTTATCAACGAGCTTCTACTACCAAGTGGCAGCGCTGTCTTTGTAGCTGTCTTCATCCAGACCTTGGCGAGGGAGCTATTGGATACAGCAGCGTACGTACACCGCAGTGCATGGGCCTATAGAAAGTGCCTAAAGATGCTCCATTGAGGATCATGGTCGTTTAAGTCAGCAGGCTCTACGCTATAAGCTGTCCAAAACTACAAAACATCAACTTGAAGTATGACCCACTTTTATGTTTCAGTAAGCAAGGCACCCCGTCACCGGTAAGATCCGAGCGAACCGGGCTGTTCTGCTACTCCTCCGGACAAAGTCGCAGACGATGTATCAAGTACTCCGCAGGCAAGCCCAGGTCTTTTTATGTCCCGGGAACGGCGGAACGGGTTCCGGGAACTCTGCTACTCCGCATGGGGTCTTACTTCAGACGAATGGCGCAGGCCGAAACGTTTGTCCATATGTCCTCCCCACCCGAGCCCGAAACCTTAAACCCTGATCCCGCAACCCTAAACCATCTGAAAACCCTAAGCCCTAAGCCCCAAACCCCACAAGACCCTTTTCAGAGAACCCCAGAGCTTCCAGCAAAGAGGCTGTCCATGACGGCCATGGCATCGTCGAAAGCAGCTTTCGCGAGAAGGCATGCCTTTTCCTGGGAGTTAAACGATCAAACAAGTGTTTTACAGCGTCTTTCTGGGGTTTGTGAAGGCTTTACGAGGCTTTTGTATGGCTTTTTTGTTAAAGACAGAAAAACCTTGGGGTGGCGAGGGTAAAGGGTTTAGGTGTGGGGATATTGATCTTTTGAATTTTTTGGGGTTCAAGGCACTGTGAGTCGATGAATTTGGGGTGCTGAGGGGTATGTGATGGGGATTACAAGGATTTCACCACGGTTTTGGTTATAGCCGCGGTTTTGCGGATTTGAATCAATCCCGCTTGAACGTGAAATTGGGATATTTAGAACTGTGTATTGTGATAAGGGAACATGAGGCTTGTCTGGGGCTTCGGGCGTCTGAAGGAGTCTGGGAGTCTGAGCCCGTCAAAACAGGTCATGAGGTCATGGTACTTTCAACTATATAAGAACAACGGCAAGATCGTAAGAATAGCGATTGCAGTCGTGGTCGTAGTACTAGTAGTAGTCGTCGTCGTAGTCGTACTCGTAGTAGTAGTAGCAGCTATAGCAGTAGCAGTAGTAGCAGTAGTAGTGGTATCGGCAGAAGCGCTAGTCCTAGTTGTAGTTGTCGTAGTCGTCGTCAAACCCTTCAACCGAGTCGCTGGGGACGAGAAGACCTCATAGTAGAAGACGGAGAAGTTCAGGGCAAGGCCTAAGCGCACCTGAAAGCAGGGCTTCCATGGTTTCCGGCTTAGGATTGAATGTTTTAGGACTTTACAGCTGCAGCGGTTCGGGTTCGTTGGGCTGCAGGACACTGTAGGGTCTAAGGGTCTAGGGCCTTCGGGCTTGAGAAGGTAAGGGCTTTTAAGTTTCGCTTTTGATACAGGGACACTAAAATAGTTGCCCAGAACACTAAAATAAATCATGTTTAAACAAGATGGTATCCCCATAATAACAGCCAGGATATACGCTCATCAACATTCAAAAGGAGCTTTACATACACTCATCAAAACGCCAAATGCAAACCCTAGGCCCTAGTCCACGTGAAGCCCACGGACTTGGGCATAATGTAGAAGGATTTCGGGAACTCAAGTGTCACACCCTAAACCCAAAACCGTTAGGAGCTTGGAGCGGCTCTCAACCCTAAACCCTATGAGCCCCACAACCCTAAAGCATACAAACACTAAGCCCCAAGCCATACAAACCCGAAGCCCCAAATCTGCACCCCTTAAACCCTAAACTCTCAGACCCTCAACCTGCGAGTACGAAACTCCAAATCCTCACCCAAACAGCAGGGAACCTTAAAACCCTAAACCCTGAACCTTAAAAAGCCAGAAACCCCTAAAACCCTACAGACCCTAAACCCTAAACCCCTTATAACTCCCTTCAAGGAACCCTGTAAGGATCCCTTTCATGAACCCTAGCAACCCGAACCTCCCACCTTTTTACCCAGGCGCCGGGTGCGTGGGCGGAAGGTCCGAAATCGCGGCTTCCGATGAGCTCTGGTAAGCGTCGTGGGCCTTGAAAAACGGAAGGGATTAGGGCTCACTTTCGGGTTTAGGATTTAGGGTTTAGGGGTCTGGAGGCTTAGGGTTGGGGGTGAAGGCCTCTGGAAGGAAGGGTTTGAGGTCCTTCTCTTAGGGGCTTGAACTAACCACCTCCCCCCTAACATACTGGACAGTAGAGTTAGTAACGATATGCCGGTATGGCCCCCGTATAACTATGCACTAGGATGCCAACAACTCCAAGACTCATGTTTATCGCGTTTAAAGCATTTTCTGGAGCCAAGCTCTTGCCTCTTTCTCGCTGTCCTTGAGAGCGATGCTGTCTCGTTCGATTCAGGGTTTAGGCTGTAGGGTTCTGTAGAAGGAGCCCTAAACCCCCAACCCCAAAACCATAAACTGGCCTAATCCCTGAACCCTATATCTTACAAGCCGAACCTCAAAAATAATCCGCAGCCTCGAAGTCCGAAAGCCACAAGCCGCCAATCCCTAAGCTAAGCCCCAACCCCCCAGTGCCTAAGCCCCCAAACTTCAAACCTCAACCCCAAACCCTCACTCCCCGAACTTTAATTAAAACACTGGAAAGACTTACTAAAAACCTAACTCTGCATGCCCCCGAGCACCGAAAGCCTAAAACCCTAGGGAACCCTCATCCAAGCCGTGGTTTGCCACGCCCCTAAAGCCTGAAAAACCCACTGCTTCGGAGGCCCAAACGTTTCTAAACCCCGAACGAAAAGTACAAGCTCCACACCCCTGAGCCATTCTAAACCTTAACCCAAACTCCTAAACCCTAAACTCGAAAAACTTTGTTGGTTTAAGTCGCGCGTGCATCGTTTAGGATTATGGGTTTGGGAAGTAGCGTTGAGGGCTGTAGGCTTGGACTTTCGGTGGGGGCTGTTGGGTTCGGGTTGAAGCCGGGGGCTTGTAGAAAATTCTGGTTTTCTAGGGTTTCCTAGTAAGCTATTGTATCTGGTAGCGTGATGTAGATGCCTTGACAAGAACCCAGCATCGCAGCCTCCTGCGCACACTTGCTGTGCATCTCGCCCGTGGCAAACTCAGCTAGGTACCGATGGTAGTCTCCTGCACGGGCGCTCCAAAACCCTAAGCCACAAAACAACCCTGAAACCTAAACCCAGAACCCTATGCCCTGAGGCCCTAAACTCCAGCAGATAGGACTTAATAAACTTGAATCCTAAGCCCAAAGGAGATCTGGAGGTCTTAGACAGACTCGGAACACTCCGTCCAAGGCCATCATGTTCTTGTGTCGCGTCCACTAAACTTACCATTCATAAGCAACAGTAGCGATGCCAGTAACACTTCTGTCAGTCAGTCTGACTACAAACTCAAAACCCGACAACCCTGCCCCTAAACCCTAATATCCTCAATCCTTAAACTACTTCCTACACCTGAAAACCCTGGGCTGGTTGGTGCTGTTAATTGAGGCCAAAACCCCAAAACCCACGAACCTGTATAGATACCCCTTAAGGAAGACCTTATGGTCTTCCAGTAGCCCTCTCTAAACTACACTCCCCCACCTGTATAGACACCCCTGCGTATTTCTGAAACCCTTTCAGAAAGCCGCATGGTCTTCTAGCAGCCCATAGTAGCCCCCTCTAAACTCAAAACCCCAAAATCCCGGATGCTCCCAAGACTGCTCTGGGTCCTTTCATCTTCAAATAGAAGACCTTGGAATCGCTAGTGCCAGCCTCGGCAGGGCATTGAGTAATGTAGGAACCTGATTAAGAAGCCGTCAGGGTTCTTTATATGACTCCTACTATTTTGGGGTTATAGGCCCAGGGTTTCCAAATCAGGTTCTTACATTACATTATTCGAGGTCCTGACGGGGGCCTTGTAGATAGCCAACTAGGGCGCGGGTGCACAGGGCGCCGGCTTCTTCTTGGGTGTGAACTGGATTTCGGCAAAAATCTCCTAATCCGTTACGATCATCATCTTCTTCTTCGTCACCTTCATTACTATTGCGAATTACCATCATGACCATAATTATATTAATTATGATTATTCATCACCGTCATTGGTTACCAGTAATACCAACTTCATCACCGTCACCATCAGCATGATCATCGTCACCGTCATGGTCATCGACAGCCGAATGCTGATGACTGCTGAAAGTGTCAAAGCATGCCAGGAGAGCGCCATGTCGTCACAAGGTCGTCTCACAAGCAGGCGAACTCGAGAAGATATGTGACGGCAGGACTTATTGAGACCCCCACCCCGCCGCTCCCCGACCCCCCCATCCCGCTTACCCTGAAAAGCAGCAGAAACCCCTCAAATATCCCTGAACACCAGCAAAGCCCCGTGATTTTGCCTGGCGCCCTATTCGCCCGCTACCAACTATACGGGCTTCACAGGCTTAGGGCTCGGTGCTTAGGGCCCATCCCCCCTCTCTATCCTCAAGCCCCAAACCCCAAAAGATCCCCAACAGCCTCGGTGAAAACCCGCTAAACCATTGACCAAACCTATACAAACCTATGCTTAAAATCTGCTACTTGTAACAACAAAAACAATGGAACTCTGCCTCGGGGGTGCACTCCTCGAACTCCGCTACGCTGTGCATGCCCCAAATTCCTAAACTTTGCAGTATCCCTACGCCTACACCCCAAACCCAAGCCTTCAGCCACTGAAGACTCTCCAAACCCTGTCACATCAGAACTCCGATCCAAAAGATCCCAAAAGCCTTGGTGTAAAACCAAACATAATACTACTAGTTATATATAGATATATACATACAAAGCCCGTCAGAACTCCGATCCCTGAGAGCCTTGGGGATGAGCTCTTCAAAGAGGATCTTCAAGGCTTCTCTACACTTGTTCGCCAGCTCTGTCTCGACCTTCCGAAGCTCTGGGAGAGGTCGGTTTCTTAGGGTTTCTTGGGGGTTCTTAGAGTTTCTTAGGCTTCTTGGGGTTTCTTAGGGTTTCAAGGTTTGTTTGGGATTTCAATGGCGTCCTGGGGTTTCTCAAGGCTTATGGTTTACTGTAGGGCTTCGTGTTTATGTAAGGTTTAGAGGGCATTCGAAGGACTTGGAAAGCTTAGGTTTCGGATTCGGTTTTGAAGGGGCGTGAAAGGAGCCTGTGTGGGAGGATGGACGCGGTAGGAAATTGAAACGGCGTGGGCGAGTCGAGAAATAGGCAAACCAGCGAAACAATTAGGGAGCATATAGGAAAAAGAATGAAAACATCGCCAGGGACAGCTGTTGTGCATCGAAACATGGGAAACTAAACATATTAAACAGTTATTGTAGGACATACATGATGTTTCTCCTCTTGTTCCTACGCTTTGCTGTGGTTTTTGGTCCACTCTTTTCTTGCTGTTCGTCAAATTGTCAGCTGTGTTTCCCATGTTCTCTATGGTTTGCTGCGATGCCGGGTCTCTGCGGTTTTCCCAGTTCCTGATTATTTACTATTTCCCTATGTTGCTCAATCTTATTTCTGAATCGTGTTCGAAATCAGTTGCATACATCAGTCGAAGGTGTTTCCTTTTTCTCATCTCAACACGTCCTGCCATTTCGACTGCTCGACCCTTATGTGGGTCCCCCAAGAGTCCCGGCCTCCTCCGGGTATTTTCCGAAAGTAAACCCTAAACCCTATACATCCTGAATTAGATCCTATCGTAAGCCCCAAATAATCTACCTTCCAGGGTTCTCCTGAAACCTTAAAACCCCAAAGCGGCAATCCAAAACCCTAAACACTAAATTATCCCACATCCATCAAGCCCCCAAAACGTCCCAGCCTCCTCCCGGTAACCCTGAACAATAAAACCCTAAAACCCTAAAGCCCTAAGACCCTAAACCCCTTATAGATCCCGTTAAAGGATCCCTAAAACCCTAAAAGCCCTAAGACCCTAAACCCCTTATAGAATCCTTTAAAGGATCCCTGAAAGGTCCCTTGAAGGAACCCCCTTATAGATCCCTTTAAGGAACCCTTTAAAGGATCCTTCAAAAGGTCCCTGACCTTCTCCCGGTATTTCTGCACCAGCTCCAGGATCGCCGCGCCCTTGGAGGCAGCCGCCTCGCGCTTCTCCAGGGTGTTCACCTGGCTCCAGTGCGGGTTTAAAGGTTTAGGGTTTAAGGGTTTAAGGTTTAGAGTTCAAAGGTTTAAGGTTTAGGGTTTAAGGGTTTGGGGCTTAAGGTTTTAGGGTTTCAAGTCCAGGGTGTTCACCTGGACTTTCGGCTTTTGGAGTTTAAGGGCTTAGGGGTTTAAGGGGTTTAGGGGTTTGAGTTGTTTAAGGGGTTAAGAGTTTAGGGGTTTAGGGTAACTTGGTGAAGAAATGGGCGCTATAGGGTCTAGAATGGTGAAGAAGCTTGCAAGGAGGGACCCACGGTTTAGTTTTTTTTTTTTTTTGAGGGCTCTTTTCCGACTGCAGTACAGTTAGAATTCCTTACCAGGATGAGCCAGGTTGTTGGGGCCTCTTTGGAACGGTTTAGGGTTTGGGTTTTAGGGTTCCAACCTCAGATTACATCCTGCTGCGCGAAGCCCGTGCGTCCGTCTGTCCCTCCGTCGTCCCCATCCTCCGTTTGCACCGTTACGATGGGCATCGAGCCATCTTGCTGCTCCGATGGGCCAGTCCCCCTGAACAACTCCGGAAACATCTCTGCAGAGCCCAATGACGTTGAAGAGGTGCTGGGCTCTCTGGGAAGACAGCATGCCCTCTAAAGCATCCGATCTGTCAGTCACACAATTGGGTAAGCACCGACATCAGGATGGACGAAACCATGCAACATTGCAAGCGGGCTCCTCGCTGACACTCATCTCTGCCTCCAAGCATTGACAATGGCACGCGGGCAAACCCGAAACATTAGAACGCCTTTAAACAAAGGACTTTCAGGGTGTTCGCCTGGCTTTGGCTTTTTACAGCAATAGGGTGGCGTTAACCATCTAGGCTGGCCCTTTAAAGCCTCTGAACAGTTTTCGTAAATAGGGTCCTATTATAAACCCAATAAGGGAAAATACGAAATGTCCCAAAGGCCTACCTAGCCATTTTACAGCCCTTGTTGCTGCTAGTTAACGGTGATCTCAAGGTCATCAGGGTGCTTACCTGGACTTTAACTTGGTGAGGAACTAGGCGTTAAAGAGTCTATAATGGCTTTAGCAAGACTTTCAGGGTGTTTAACTAGAGCTCGTTATAGATGGTTATAGGTGGCTTACAATTTATAACGGTTTACACTGGCTTGAATGAGTCCTGGCTTCAAGTCGACTTTAGGGCAGGATTCAGGGTTTATAGGGGTTGAGGAGTTTAGGGCAGCTTAGGGCTTAGGACATTGGATTTAGGTGTACGGCAATTTCGATTTTCCGGTTTAAGGGCTTGCCTTGCGGGTTTCGGGTTCAGAGCTTACAAACGGCTTAGCGTATCATTTGCAATCGGGTTTTAGGCAGTGAAATCGAGGGGCACAGAGACAGGATTCTGGGGTAGGGGCTTCACTGACAGGGGCTTAGGGTTTAGGATTTAGGGCTTGGAGTTGGGGAGGTTATGGGGCTTATGCAGTCTAGAGGCCTTCATGGGGCTCAGGGACCAAACCAGGAAAAAAGCTCGGACCCAAAGGTTGCAACCAAGTCACTGCACGCCAAGCTTGTCTTCCTTGGAAATGGTGTTAAGGCGAAGGGAAACGCTACACCCAAAATCGCGTTCCTTGAGATTCAGGGCTAAGGGCTTGGATGGATTACGGCTCTTCCCTCATAGTAGCCCTTATAGTATACTGCTACTCTAACCCTTAGAATAGGGCTTTGGTGCTGTTTGTAGTATGAATATAAACAGCAACCCCTAAGGGATACGATTTTTTGATTTAGGCTTCTGTATAGTAGTCACCCGTACTTGCTTGCTTCAGGGCTTCGGATGGTGGGCTTGCGGCCCTTAGCTCAAAACCCTCAAGCCCCGAGTCTTCGAGTCCGAACAAACCCTTGTACCCGAATTTTGTATAAGCGTTTAGGGTTTTAGGGTTCAAGGTTTAGGGGTTGGGGACACATTATCCCAAGACAGAAGCTAAACGAAAATGCAAACCCCGCCGAACCCAGAACCCTTTGTGGGTTTGAGGATTGATGCTGAAACAAGAACCCGGCTAGCTAACCCGAAGAGGTAAGTCGGAAGCCCACTTCAGGCTCAAAGCCGAGCTTCCCTCAAGTACGTCGACACCATCAGCTTGGACTGTAGGTTTTAAGGGTTTAGGGCAAGCTTGGGGTTTAGGGCTTAGGGTTTAGACCCTATAGGGTCATGAGAGGGTTTATGGCGTACTAGACCTCTTCATGAAGGGATATGGGGCCTCTCTGGGTAGGGTGCCGGGACCCAACGAGCCATCCTTATAGACAAGCAGCTCGCGCCGACGGCGTGCTTGTACGCCACTGAGAAGAGGTTGCCTCGAATTACTGGAGGGCTGCTAATACAAAAAAGGCTTCGAGAAATACCTGAATTGAGCGTGCAGGCGCGATTAAATCATCCGAATTATCGATGGTATCTTCTGATCAACTAAGTGTGTTATTTAGTGCTTAGGGTCTGGAACCTATCGGGTTCAAAACCTTGTCCGCCATTGCCTTGGCCCAGGAACGGGCCAAGCCCTATGCCCTAGACCCTGATCTCCCCTAAAGATCACGCCCTAGAGAACACCCTGTTCATGCGAAACGCGTAAACCCAACACCCTCAAAGCCGAAATCAGAGACAAATCCTATAACAGTCCTGCAACAACCCCCCCATGCACCTAAGGGAAAACTCCAAAGCAAAGCTCGCTTAAACGAACTACCAGTAGAAACTTCAACTCCAAGTCCGGTTTCAAACAAAACAAGCTCCACTCTAGGTCCCAAGTCCTGCCGGCCCCAAAGCCAGACCTTGCCTGGACCCCAAAAGTACGTAGAACAAGTCGCCCTTTATATGGTGTTGGGCCATTGTTTTACATTTTAGGTGGTGTCCAAGAAGCAGAAACCCGACCAATGTTACAGGCGCCTGGAAATTATCGTAGCCTTCGGGGGGACCCAAAACCGAAGCCCTAGAGCCCTAGACGGTGGTTCAAAGGGGGTAGTGTATTAAGGAACCTTCGGGAACCCAAAACAACCTTAGGAACCACTTGGCATTACAATTCAAGGTTTAGCGTAGATTAACGTTTTCCCGTGGTCAAACGGTAGAGATTCAATTTCGGAGGGATCCTTCACGTGATGCAAAGTATAATTCCTTTCTAAACGTGATCTAAACCCTAAACCAAACGTATATTCCTCAACAAAGTGGGTCTGGATTCTGGGAAACCCTGTGCCATCCCTCCTCCCCTCCAAGAAACATACACCCAGAGCCCCCCTAACCCCACCCCCACCCAAAATTTGACCCACCCACCCCCAAAACTCTAAACCCTAAACCCCAAACCCGAAACCCACCCGCCCCCCAAACCCTAAACCCTAAACCTGCCAGCTCCCCGTAAGAGAAGGCCAGCCGAGCAGCGCTCATCCAGGTTCAACTCGGAACCTGAGGAGATGAAGGGGTTACAGTAGAAATATACTAGAGGGGCCTTAATAATTAGAACAGGGTTCCTTCAAGGGTTCTATAAGGGATCTATAGAGGGTCCTCAGAAGCCCAAGAGTTGGAAACCCAATAGCCTCAATCCTCGATAGTAATGTATAGGGAATGCCAGCACCAATAGGTTTCCAACTTTACGGTGTTTACTGTAAGGGGTCTTAGGAGTTCAGTGACCTTAGGGATTTGGTAATGAGGATTTTTGGGCTTAGGGAAATCGGAATGTATGGGTTATAGGGCTGAGGGATTCAGGAATCAAGGATTTGGGGATTAGGATCGTTTAGGGTTCAATGAAAGATTGGGCGGTGCTTCGAAGGGGGTTTGTAGGATTTTGCAAGCCTCGGTAGGGTTTTAAGTTGAGTCTGGGCTTTGGGTTTTAGGGATGAGCGTCTTGAAGCGGGGCTTGGGTTCAGGGCTGCTTAGGTGTGATTGGGGTTCAGCAGCTTCCGAGGGTTAGGGGCCCTCCGAAAACAGTGGCTGGAAGCAGTTGGTTGGAGGTAGGCAGGTGGCTGGAGGCGGCTGCTGGGGTGGAGGCAGGTGGCTGGAGGTTGGTCGGTGGCTGGAGGTGGTGGGTAATCGGTATTGCGTATCGCTACGGAACCGAACCGAAACCCGGCAATACATATATCGCGAAATACCGCATACATATGGGTATCGACCGAACCGCCCGATTACAACCATGCTTATTCTGGTTCATATAGAAACCCCAGAGTTTAAGTCCTAAGAGCCAAGCAGAAGAACGCCAAGAATAAAGAACCCTCGAAAGCTTCCGAAAGCCCTTCCTTGAGATCCCGACGCCGCCCTTCCGGGCTTCTGAGCTCAGTCTCCGGCCCATGCAAGCCACCCGCTTCATGTACCTTAGGAGTTGGGATTAAGGGTTTAAGGATTAGGGATTAGGGTTTAGGGATTAGGGTTTAGGGTTTAGGGTTTAGGGTACCTTATGGGTTGGGATTAAGGGTTTGGGATTGGGGGACCCTTGGGGATACAGACCCTCTCAATAAGATGCCTCTTCAGAGAGCCAGAAGTAGGTTAAGAAGGGCCCCCTACCTAGGATACCTCGCTATGCAGATCTTAGATGAGAGTTTGGGACGTAGAGGTCCGAGTTTAGGGTTTAGGGCTGAGGGTTGTAGGGTTTTGGGTTTGGGTCTTAGGGTTTAGGGGTTTAGCGTTTGGGGTTTCAGGGTTTGTGGGTTCCAGGGGCTTCGATAACTAGTTTAAGAGTCTAGCATTTGTGGGTTAGGAAAAAGTTAGGTCCCGCTTTAGGGTCAAGATTTCGAGATTCGGCTGAGGGCTAGAGTTTAGCGATTCGGGCATGGGATTCTGCCCATATGTCACATACCACAACAGGAAGCTTCAACCATCCGTGCATGACACACCCCAGGTAGTAGCCGTGAACTGGTACTGCCATGTGCTGCACGCCCATACAAAGCCCTCTGAAACCTTTTTTTGTGAGGAAATGCCACCTGCAAACTCTAGGACCCTTCTCGGAACTACTTAGCAGACAGCCTCGCAGAAACCGTTAAAGAACCTCAATAAACCTGTACAAACCCTTAAACCTGAACGCGAGCATAAACCCTAAACCCACAAACACCCTAAACGACAATCCGAAGATAGCTTACAACCGTTAACGGAACCCCTAAAGGCAAAGGACACTCTGACTTTTGTTCAAGTCCGATCGCAGGCCTCAAAAGGTGGGATGACGCATCCCTTATGCCTGGACTCTTTTTGAGGATTCCCCCAAACCCGAAGGATGAAAAAGGACGCTTGATCACCCCAAACCCTCCTAAATCCTAACCCCAAACCCTAAACCCTAAATCCTAACCCCTAAACCCCAAACCCTAAATCCTAACCCAAAGCCCTAAACCCTAAATCCAAAACCCCAAACTCTAAACTCTAAACAATCCAGCTTCATCCCAGCTCGGAGCCCTTTGATCCGAGCTGCTCCACCATGTCCTCGTAGCGCTCCGCTTGCTCTGCAAGCCGGGCCATGAACCTCCGAATCGAAGGTTCAGGGTTTAGGGATTTAGGAGGTTTAGGGTTTGGGGGCTTTGGGTCTAAGGGTTTAGGGACTTTGGAGCTTCAGGGTTCGGGGACTTTGGGTTTAGGGTTTAGGGGTTTAGGGTTTGGGGTATGGCTACTACAGTACTACGGTTTACGGCTTGGGAGCTCTTGAGTTGAGGTTTCTGAGGTTTTGTCAATTTGTGTTGCTTCTGTCTTCTGCATCTTTCGTTGTGCGTCACCGTTTCTGTCGTTCCTTGTACACAGTGTGTTAATGAGTCTTGGGAATATCTCCATGGCAGTGTTATCGGGGCTTCCAGGTCGATAGTGGCATTTGGGGTTTCGGACAAAGTCTAAAAGGTGTTTTGTTGAACGCCTTTTTCCCCTTAGCAGTTAAGGTCGGCGGAATCCACTTTGTCTAAACGGGTTTAGGGTCTAGGGTTTAGGGAAGGCATGTATCAGGACCTCGTAAGTTCACTTTGTTGTGATCGGATTTAGACCGCATGCTTGCGGGAATGAATAAGCTTTACTGAGAGTGGCTCTGCGGTCGGCTGGGAATTGCGTTTCGGCTTTGATTTCTTTAGGGTCTGGTGCTGGAGTTTGCGATCTGGGGGGTAGGCTTTGAATCCCTAAACCCTGAACCCAAAACCGTGCAGGGGTTTTGGCTGTTGAGCCTTTTGATCGTCGTTGGGTCTCTGCCGCGGCTGCGTCTAGACTGTGTGTTTCCAATGCGCAGAGTCTTTTCACAAGCTGGTGCTTGGTGGGGACATGTGGAGAGTAATTCATCCTACGGTGTCAATTTACGAGCCAAAACCGCAAAAATGAAAGAATGCCTAAAAGCGCTCAAGGGGAAATTGTAAATTTCCGCAGATCCGGGTTGTCGAAGGGATTCTGTAGCAAGGGGTTTCGCCTCAAAGCCTCGACCCCAACACCAGATCAATCCGCTCTGAGAGCTCGAGCTAACACAAACAAACACAAACACACAATAATATGATATATGCCATATTCGGAGACCACGAAATCCTGAAGCCCTGAAATCCTAAACTTTGAACCCCTGAAAGCCCTGAAACCCGAAACCCCAAAGTCTCAAAACCCTCAAACTTGCACGCCAGGCCACACGCACTCATCCCTGGTGCCGGACATGATCCCAGACCCAGGCCTGAGTCTTCTTTGAGGGGTGCAAAGTAGAATGGCATATCCCTAAAAAACCCCTCACGAAATCCAAGGAACAAGGTGCAAAACCATGATTGCAACAAATGCGGTTTAGGGGTTGGGTGTAGAGTACAGGCTTCAGGGTGTAGGGTAGAGGGTCTAGGGTGTAGCGGGCGGGGTTAAGCATTTTGCTTTTGTCAACCCTAACCCCAAGACCCCTCAAGCTTGAACCATGCCCCACACCCTGAACCACTACGCCTCAACATATGGTTCGGTTCTGGGCGGCTGTAGGCTTGGAAGCAACAGGACTCTTGACTTTTGACAACGTCAGGCGAGGGCCAAACATGCTGGAGCTTGGGGGCCCAAGTCTTGCAATTTGAGCTTTGGGTTTATTTAAGGTGCGGTTAAGCGCTCGGGTTTATGGATGAGGGATTTAAGGGCTATGGGCATGCGGTTTGGTGCCGCTTCGACGACGTCATAAGTCATAGGCCCTTTGAGGGTCAAACCCTGTCGGGCTGAGGTCTTCTGAATCCTAAACCCTAAAACCCTGAACCCTGGAACCTACAGGAAAACGTTTGGGTTTAGGGTTTATAAAGGGTTATACAGACAGTAACGTTTTAGGGTTTAGGGCGTAGGGCATTCATCCGATAGATTGAAAGTCAACCGCCAACAAGACCGCCATGGATGAGCCGCCCTCCCGAAAAGACAGATGAACAAACGCTTTGCAAAGGCTTCAAGCCCATCCACAAACCCTACACCAAATCCATGTACAATCCAAACAATCAAAAGCAAGAAACTTAATGCAAAGCTAAAAACTATGGCAATAGAAAAGCAGCAACACAAGCTGCATAAGATCACTGATGATCGACAATAACAACAATTACAATAATGATAGTAATATTAGCAATGCTAACATCATTATAAGACTGGTAAGGATAGTAGCTAACAATAAGAATGGAATTTAAAAGTGTACTAATGAAAATATTAAACATACTACCAAAACCAAAAAATGTAATAACAATAATACTAATAGAAATGAAAACCCAAATCATCATACTGGTATTCATGGTAATGGTAACAAGGGCAAAACTGAAATTATAACTGTAGCTATAACTGTAATAACTGTAACTATAGCTGCAGCTATACACTACAACTATGACTGTAGCAGCTATAAGTATCGCCATGGTTATAACTTGCACTAGAAATATAGCTAATTAAAGTATGCCAGTTGCCACAACATGATGGAATATATACATAATCGAACACGAAGTCCTGAAACCAAGCAGCGGGCACCCCAGGGGCGCATTGGGAGGCCGACTATCGCGAGTCCCGAGCCCGGAAACGGCAGAGGTCCAAGTGGCCGGCTTAGGGTCTAAAATCTGATGGTTTAGGATTTAGGGTTTGGGGCTCTGCAAGTTTAGTGTCTAAGGTCCTCAAGGTTGCAGGCTCGAAGGAGTTGAGGTGCGAGAACTCGGGATTAGGATTTGGGAATCAGAGTTCAGGGATTCCAATCCGGGGTAAGGGGAGGGTGGAGGGTTAGGTATCAGGATTTGGTATTGATAACAGGGTTCAGGATTTCGGGCTTGCGGGCAGCGGCTTGGTAGCCCGGCGAGTTTTAGGGGCATTGGGCTTATTACCGTTTCCTGTGTTGTGGCGGTTTCGCAACCTGCAGGAACACACGTCCCCGGCATTGCCGACACTTCCATGGTCCTACTGCAGATCAACAGCACGCTCGAACCCAAGGAGACAGACTGCTGCCAGAGGACAACCATACCACGCTACGTATTTCATACCCATCGTGGCTCCAGCAAGAGAAGCAGCCTGGACGCAAAGAGAAAAGCAAAAAACAGGCAGCAGCAGCAACCACGGCAGCAACCAAACGCCGCCAATCCGATCAGCCACAAAGTGCACGGAGAAAGCGAATCAAGGACACTAGGGCAGTAGAAAACAACCTGAGAGAAGTTCGGGGTGAACAAAAAAAAGACATGTTCAAGATAATCCACGTGCACGAGGCGCACATCCTCACTCATCCCTCAACGTTCGTCGCTCAGTTTCCACTACGCTGGAAATGCGAAGACATGTTGGGCAGTTCTACAGATACTAGATGAAGAAAGGGAACCCGGTTTTCGGGAAAAACGCATCACCTCGGATTGTTCTTGTTTATTCGTGGCACTACGGCTATGCTTTTACCAAGGTCAACGGTGACATGGAAAATCACTACGTGCTTACTGTCTTTCAGCCCCACTCTCCGCGACTGTAAACCCGTGCCTGGAGTCTGGGCAGGCAAGCCCCGAAACAGTAATGTCATCCATCATATGGATATGTTAGAAAGCAGCTTGCAATTTTTAGCATAAGTCACAGTATGCATCACAATCAATCAAGATTCAGGGATTATGAACCAATCATTTTGCAATGCAGTGGCAGGGTAGTGTAATGAGCAGCAATCTTACGGAAGTAGCAGTTGCAGTTGTATAAAGTGTCCGTGTAGCTGTGCGTGCAGGTGGCACGGTGACTGCGGCTGTTTCTGTTTCTGCTGTGGTCGTCGTTGCCATCGCCGTCGCCGTTGTCGTAGTCGCCGTGGTCGCGGTCGTGGTCGTGGTGATTGTTGTTGTTGTTGCTGTTGCTGTTGTTGTTGCTGCTGCTGTGGCTGTTGCTGATGCTGTTGCTGCTGCTGGCGGTTCTGGTTGCCGGTGATGGTGCTGGTGGCGCTGACGTTGGTGTTGGTGTTAGTGGTGGTGGAGTTGGTGTTAGGGTGGTCGGTGGTGGTGGTGGCGGTGGTGGTAGTAGCTGGTGTTGGCAGTGGCGGCGGTGGCGGTGAAGGGCTTGACATTGAAAGGCGTGATCTGAGACCCTTGCAGGATGGGGATCGTCATGATTGTCGACGACATTCTCGAGGCATCTTCTGCTACCTGGTGCATAGCAAAAGACCTGCAACGAGGCACACTGACCACAAGAACCAGCCTCCGAGCCACACATCGTAGCATGAAGACAGCTGACAAAACATTGGTCATAGCCGTCATAGCTGTTCTGGATGGAACCGATCCACTCTGTCTGCGCTCCCGTGGTTCCTCACCTCAACGGCCTCAACATCTGACATTCCCCGTTCTCCACCCTGCGCCCCGTTTGTTTCAACCTATGCTGCCTCTGGCGTCTCTCGAGATGCTTCTAGGGTCTTTTGACCTTTGCCGGCTCTGCCGCCTTTGCCAACACGCGCATCGCCTTACAACAAAGGTCCATATGCAAAGACAACCATGACCAGCCCCCTTGGCGCTTCAGGCAGACCTTTGAGCGGGCTGCTTCGTCCACAAGATTCCACAAGCCATGTGGTGTACTGCACTTGCAACGCAGTTGCCGCACTTGGCAAGCTGTGATCTAAGGCACTGTCACATCGGAGCTTCCAATCTTTTCTTGCCTTGGGGCAAACGTGCGCATCTTGCAAACAAGGCACCGGCTCTGCGTATGAGCCAGGCCTTGCATTGAAGCGTATTCACCATTCTTCCTACGAAAATCTCCATGGTGCGACCTCCCAACCTGGCATTGCACGCACGGGCGAGGTTCAGCGTGCACAAGTTGATCCGAAGCATTAACCCTAAACCCCCCATTTTCTCTGGAGGGTAGGCATCTTGGCGTTTGAAGACCTAACCTTGAACAGCCAATTAGCGGCCGCAGTGGGGCGGGCCAGTTGCCTCCCCAGAAAGGCCCGAGACTTTGCAGGCAGGTAGTTCTCTCATCTTGAACTACTGACAGGAGGGTTGACAGTAGTGACGCCATCATGAAACACCCATGGCAATCGAGGGCGAATTAGCGTCATTCGGGTATTGTATACTCAGGCTAGCTGCGACAGCAACAGGGAAATTACTGGAAATATGGGGAAAGTTAAGCTGAGCAAGGATCGGCTTATGGTCTGTGTAAGCATCCCCAACAAATTGTGACCCAGCCCCATGTGGGGCCCTTAATAATTGGAAGCCCGCTTTGCGGTCCCGAAAAAGACACAACCATTTTGATCTCGCAGAGGTCTGCAAAGCTCGCCAAACGCACTTCTCGAAAAACATACCGGATGAACTCTGTCACCTGATGTTTTGCAGGTTCAAAACCTTCAAGCACACTGCACGTGAATCCTTTAACAGCTTGGCAAACAAGGAGGTTTACAAGCATACCACACCCCGGGCAAGCCATCCACAAGCAACACGACGGTCATGCCTCGCGGAATTCGCTCCGATCCGGATCGTCACAGCCAACCAGCAGACCCTCGGGCAACCAACACCGCGCGAGACATGTTTGCTCACACATACGCCGGGCGCAGCATTCCAAGAGCGGCTTCGGGTTTAGTGTTTCCACAAGGGCGTAGTCTACCTGGACGGCAAGTCTCAAAGGTGTCGCTTCAAGCCCCAACTCTGTCATTAAACGAAAAGGTGCAACGGAAATGCCCGAGGCCCCCCCCAAACCCTCCAAATAGGTCTTCTTCATGGACTGTCGATCCGACAGTAGGGAGTACTTGTATACTTAAAAAATGGGACTGTTTCGGGGGACGCTGCAAGGCCGATCCACACCGGGTGATCATAAGTAAAGCTACCAGCAGCAGTAGCTCACGGGGTCGCTGCGGTAGCCCACTATGTCCCTGCGGACATACGTCCACTACGTGTTTGAGAACTTCAAGTATGCATGGGCGAAAATGCTTAAGTCAATTGTCTGATGCGATTGAACCTAATCTTACGGGGCCACACCTTAAAGCGCATGGGACCCTCAGCACATCACCGGAAAAACCTATAGTGGGGCGGCATAAACCATCAACTCGTCTAGGGTTCATTTGGTCCTCCTGGATATCGGAAACGCCACGACACAGAGCGCTTCTTTATCTCACATCGTCAGTGTTTCGGCGTCGGCACTGCAAGCCTTCTGGCGAGAATACAGCTTACCTCACCGTCTGTACTGCAACCGACAAGACTTCATGTGGTTGTGCGGTCGTTATAAACTCTACATCTGGGGTTAGATTACGGTTTAGGCTTGTGCTTTGAGCCCGTTTGTAATCTCTGTATACACCTTGGGGTCCTAATAATTACTATATTCGAAACGCACTGTGTATAGGCCCTGTCTATACCTTTCCCCATGAGTCCAAAAGCCTAAACTCGAAACGCCCATATCGGAGAATTACCCGGAGTACGAAACCCTACATCCTCACGTAACCTCTTGCTACAGACCTACACTCTCAGAACGCCATGCGCAGGCGGAAGCGGCAAAGCTCTGCTTGGCCTGAATTTGTGCAGGACGGGCGATACTAGTGCTTCAAGTCCCAGAACCCCCCAGGACGCCACAGAAAGCCTGTACCCAAACCCTAAACCTTCGAACACCACCGGTGAAGTCTGAAAAGTGTCAGCTGGAACCCGGACACCGCCGGTTTCCTAATATAAGGGCCTTAATAATCAGAATAGGGTTTTGGGGCCCATTATACTGTACTTGGTATAAGCCCCAAAATAGTATTGGTAATTGTTTAGGCCCCTATATTAGATCCTTATAATAGCCCTCATATTATAGACCCCTGAAAAGGAACCCATCCACACCACAATCTCCGCTGAAATCCAAGGCCCGGAGCGAAACATGGAACCTAATGCGGGGGCCTAAAGAATTAGAATAGGGTTCCGTTAAAGGGGTCTATAAGGGTTACTGTAAGCAGTCTATACGGGTACTATAAGAAAGGGGCCTTGATAATTGCATGGGGTTTGGGGGTTCCTTTCTATAGTTTTGACTATAGTTTTCGTATACTAGACACCTAACCCTGCTCTACTTATTAAGGCCCCTACATTAGAAAACAAAGCCCCCAGTCGGACTCCTTTTTCTCTACCATCGCGGCAAGCGGTCGTTTATCGCTTTCATGGCTGTCAAAAATTCTACGCGAGGACATACGGCAGCTTAGCCGTAGACACTGTGAAAACCCTACAGCAACTATACGAACCCTGCGAAACAACAAACGATAAGCAAACTTGCAAAAAGCCTATACGACCCCGTCGACCTTGTCAAGCCCCATGACACCCTGTAGCAACTAGAAACCCAATTCAATTCGGAGTCCACTGCAACAACAACCACCCCTCGGCAGAGACTCTCCCGGAGACTCCATTAGGAATCATTTTGGGGCCTGAACAATTAGAATAGGGATTGCGGTATAGTATACCATGAATATAATAAGGGTCCGCTCCAAAACAGTACGGGGAGTTAGGAAGGCCCCTATATTAACAAAAAGTCTCTCGGCAGCAGTGCTTCACGCCAGGGCCGTCTCAATTTTTTGAAGCCTGGGAAAGGGTTCTAGCTTCTGAAAGCCGTGCTTTAGGCTTTGTGGTTTCGGATTTAGTCCTTCGGGCTATAAACCTAGAGCCGTAAAATGCCACGAAGGCCCAACAAAAGCAAAAGCTCATAAAGCCTGGCCTGTACCTCCGACCGAGTCACACAAGACCCGAAGCCCTGACATTCAAGTAGAAGTCCTCTGAGCTGCACAGCCAATTACCACTGACAAACCCCTTGACTCTTGACCCTATCCACCTTGTAAGGCAACCCTACACCCCTGTCGAATCCCCATAGTACCCTGAAGTGAACTATAAACCCCAAACCCCCATAGGAACCCTGAAACGAGCTTCTTCAGGAGCCCTGCAACCCAATCCTATACTGAACTTAGACCCCTAGCAAACAATGTAGCTGTTTCTTAGGGATTATGGGAACCCAAAATTGCAATGGCATTTCTAAGTACCCCTGAGAATCCAAAACCCTAAAAACCCCAAACCCTAAACTCTAAACCCTAAACCCCTAGACCCCTAAACCCCTAAAAACCCTAAACCCCAAACCCTAAACTCTAAACCCCTAAACCCTAAACCCCAAACCCTAAACTCTAAACCCTAAGAAGCCCTACGCCTCAGGCCGCGTGGGCGGACTTGACGTTGCTTTCCAACACCCCGGAGCCGGGATCGACGAAACCTTAGCTGTCTTCGATGCCTACATCGGTCTAGGGTTTGGGGTTCAGGGTTTTTAGGGGTTTAGGGGTTTAGGGGTTTAGGGGTTTAGGGTTTAGGGTTTAGAGTTTAGAGTTTAGGGTTTGGGGTTCAGGGTTTAGGGTTTGTTTTTTTTTAGTGCTTGGGGTTTAGAGTTTCTGGTTTAGTAATTTAGGGCTTAATTGGGGCTTAGGGTTTGCTTTTTTTAGTGCTTGGGGTTTAGAGTTTAAGGTTTAGTACTTTAGGGCTTAATTAGGGCATAGGGTTTGGGGTTTAGAATTTATATAAGGGTTTACTCATGTAGGCTCAATGAGGGCTTATGGATTCTTGCTTGTACCGCCAGGCAAAGTTACATCTTCAGCCTTCCTCAGTTACTATGACTTCGTGGGGTCGGGTCGAGATTCGACACTTTCCCCTTTTGTTGGGCGGTTTAGGGTTCAGGGGTTTAGGGGTTGGGGTTCAGGGTCGGTTACATTTAACAGATTTCGGCTTTAATCGGCCGGGCCGGTTAAATTTAATCGATGCCGGCTTTAATCGGCCGGGTCGGTTTAATTTAATCGATTTTGGCTTTAATCGGCCGGGCCGGTTAAATTTAACCGATTTCGGCTTTAAGCGGCCGGGCCGGTTAAATTTAATCGATTTCGGCTTTAATCGGCCGGGCCGGTTAAAAACAATCGATTTCGGCAGACAATCGAGGTTTCCGGCTTTGAACGGGGAGGGGTCTTCTGCGTCGGGCTATGGCTTCAGGTTTACCGCGTGGAGTTGAGGGCGGCCGATGAGCAGCTCCTAGCCTCAGACTCTACCCTCACATCCCAATTTCCCAGAACCTCTCCCTAGGGGGTTAGGGGCCCTTGATACCTATAATAAGGACTTAATTAAGCCTACTTTTCCCAGAACCTCTCTCCTGAAATCATGAAGAGTTTTCAATTTTGGGGACATACAAGTACCGCTCCCCCGTCATGATGCTACCGGCCCCTGCTGCTTAATGTTCTCCGTCGTAAGCCCTAAACCCTTCACCTAAAGGCATAGGCACAAGGGCACGGGTCCTCTATTCTGGGCTCATAGAGTGCTACCTGCAGCAAGGCGACCCCAGGGCGCCACCAGGTAGGTACCTAAATCGTGGGTTACTAACGACTTATCATGTAACCCTAAGACTCCATGTATTCATATAGTATATACAATTGGCCGTAATGTAGTTCCTATATAGGTACATTGCGGCTCATGTAATTATCTCCATATGGGTACATGGACCCTTAGGGTAACCCAGTAACCTTATATTTAAATTGGGCAACTGGAGAACCAGGGATAGCTAAACCCTACTGTCAATTTGGCCAGCCACATGTCCGCAAGCGGTCGACGATCCAGGCATGGTCGATGCCCTGCCAGGTGCACCGGCATTTGGGAGTTAGAGCCTTGAGTGGGGTATTGAATATGCTACAGAATAACAAAAGGCTCATGCGTTTGTGGAATATCACAAATGGGATTGGAGGAACCCTTGATTGTGAGATCTGCATGTTCACGCATGCTCATTTTTGGGTGGCGTCCCAAACAAAGCTGCAAAGGGGCCTTTAATCAGAAGTCTTGCAAGGGTTTGTGAGTTTTTTGCTTTGGGTGAATTCCGCTGAGTGAGAGCTGGCTTCTCTCAATGGGCCGAGATAAACTACAGGTCGGACTACGCACAAAGCGCCGGAAAGGTCATCGCAAGAAGTGGATGAGACGTTGCGGTTACCAGCAACTGAACACCGTGCTGAGAGAATGTGTTTAGATTAAACCTTGCAAGAACCTCTCAAATGCTACAGAACCCCTTTCAAAGCGCCTCTGAAGCCCCAAAACCGCCTTGAAAGATTTGGGGTCCAGGTGTTTCATAAGGACCCTTAGAAGGGTAGGGGAGTACGGCGCCTTAATACCTATACCAAGGACTTCTTTTGCTTCGGCGCCCATGTTGGGGCGATTTGACAAGGCCGGCCTTGCCGATGAAGACCGCCTTGCTTTCCTTCGAGGTTTAGGGTTTAGAGCTTTTGGGGATTAGGGGGTTTGAGTGTAGGGTTTCGGGTTTAGGGGGTTTAGGGTGTAGGGGTTTAGGGTCTAAGGTTTACGGGGGGGGGGGGTATGATTCTGAGGGTTGCTATCACGGCTTTCTAGAAGTTTCGATAAGGGTCTTCTGCCCCAATAAGAAAGTCTTTAGGACTCGGGGTTAGGCACCCAGGCCGTGGGGCTTTAGGGCCTGAGCGGTTGAGACCTTACGGTGCCGGTGGTTTAAGGGCCCATTTATACGAACGAAGTGGACCGGACAGACCAACCCTGAGATAACTCTTTTTGGGAAGCCTCTGGGGCACTCATGGATCAGGGTTTGAGTGGAGTAGGGTTGCGGGTATACAGTATAGAATCCTCAGAACTGCGGCTACTGCTGGCCTGCTTCGCCCCCTTGTCACTCTGCAAATTCTGCGTGAACCGTAGACCAAAACTTTTGAGTCCCACCACCGAGCTGCGCACCCTAAACATTCAAACGCCAAAATCCGGATAACACCCCGCGGCCCTACAGTACCCAAAAAGCCTGAACAAGCGAGACGATCAAAAGTCACATCGAAAGCACAAAGGAGCCCCAGTAATTAAGAGAGAGAGAGAGACCTATAAACTGTGTGTATATATATATATATATATATTGTATAATAATATTCTGTAGAATACAATAGGTTATACCATACTACATATATATATATATACATGTATATATATATATATATATATATATATGTGTATACAGTTATCATATAAGATACTACCATATAGTATAGTATCATATCATATAAAAAAGTAAAGCAATATAATATGACATGATAATACGATATAATACAAAGTAATGTAAAATACAGAATACAGAATACATATTAATTATGAAAATATATAATATAAGAGTATAATATATATATATATATATATATATATATATATACGTGTATGTATATATATATATATATATATACACACATACACCTAACATTGTAGAGCCCCGAACTCGAACATCCGAGGAGCGCGACCCTCCGTCGGCCATGGGCCCTGGGGCATGCCGCCGAAGTGGCAGTTCACCTCAGGCTGTCTTTTTAAAGGGGGAACTTGAAGGGTGTTTAGGGCACCTCAGGCTTTTACGATTTTTTTAGGGGTGGGAATTAATAATAACTAACGGGGTGTTTAGGGTTCTATGGGGCTTAGAAAAGTTCACCTCAGGCTTTTACGATTTTTTGGGTGGGAACTTCTAGGGTGTTTGGGGTTCTATTGGGGTTTAGGACAGTTCACCTCAGGCTTAGGCTTTCAAACAAAGTCCAACAGTAATAAGAGCTTTTGGGAGTTAAGGGTATGGAGTTTTAGGTTTAGGGAGGCACTTCACCAGTCGGACTTGACTTAGGGGGTTCACGGACTAGAGCCGGGTTTCGGAATGTATTAGGGCCTAGGACTATTGAAGCTGTGGGAATCTCACTACAAGCTATTCGGACCCTCCTAAGCCTTAACTAAACCCAAGAGTCAGTTTTGAGGGCAAGCCTGCCAGCTCAGGATTTGGAAGTTGAGTTATCAGAGCTCCGGGTTGTTGGGTTATTGGAACTGGAACTTGGGATTGTTGCCTCTGATCCGTCATTGCTTGGAAGGGTTAGGGTTTTAGGCCCTAGGATGCAAGAACTGTACTATAAAGGCCCAAGGTGACCGTAGCCACACCCTACATACTAGCTTCAATATTTTGGCAACTTTCACGTTCAGGCATACTGTCGAGTGCGAGTGTGATCGTACTGTGATGATGAGGGCGCCCATGATGTTGCTCAGCATGGGTGGTACCGGGACCTGTCATTGCTGAATGTGCTCCTGTATCTTGCACACCCTGAATGCTAAAACCTACACCCAAGAAACCGGCACCCCAAACCCTGACCCTCAACACTAAACCCTGAATCCTAAAACCCCCAACCCCACACCCTGAACTGCAATGGTCTCTTGACCAGAGCGCCGCGTGGAAGATATATCGCTCCTCAATGCCATTGACATCGAGGATGCCCTTCATCCTGGGTCTCTGCTTTGTGACGGTTGAGGGTTTAGGCTGTGAGCTTCCGGGCTTCGGGTTTAGGATTTAGGGCGCAGGTCTCGGGTTCTACTGGCATGATGTGATGACAAGGTTGAGGGATCGTAGCGCTCCTGAGGGGAATATGAAGCTTCTATGATGTACATTCCCTATGGGATCCTTCAAATGAGAAGAACACTAGGCTTGGTTTGAGCGTGGGAAAATTCTGGCTTTACGGGCTTCTGGATGATTCGTTTAAGGCGGATTTGAGGATGGTGGTTTCGGGTGCCGAGCCTGGTGATAATTCATGACAGCACAGGAGCTCTCGATACCGAACGACCTACAGCCTGAATCCTGCACAACATTTCAAAATCCGTGGAGCCGGTCTGGGCCTTGGGTGTAGGATGTAAGGGTCCGAAACTGTAAAATCGCTAAACTCTACACCCATAAACCCCTGTAGAACCCTTATAGAAACCCTGAACCCACGAGCTCTACGTACTACCTAGAGACCACAACATTCTCGTTGCCATAGGACCGGTACATCTCCTTGGGATACTTCTTCAAGACTTCCTCGAAGAATCCTCATTGAGCGCGGGTTTAGGGTTTAGGGTCGAACTCTTAGAAAATGAAGGCCGGCTGTTTGACGGCAGGCTGCTTCAAACCTGCATATTTCTGATTCCATGACTAAACAAACCAAAACGCAGGGTAAAAGTATAACCACACAGACACCATCAGTGATAACAGTTAACAGACGATCTTGCTCTACACTAAATCCATTATCCTAAAACTCCGCTTCAGTCTGGACCAGGATTTCACTCCAAACCTTTGCTTTGACTGAGAAATCAGTCTCGCTGACGCCAGCCTTGGGTGCAGGGCTACGATCTTAGGTCTACCTCAAGTTACCAGAACCTATTTGTGAAAAATAGGCGGCCCCTGGTAAACACCTCACTATACGATGTGTCCCTGCAACAGATAGGTTCCGGCCGAGGTGCCCAGAACCCTGAACCCCTAAACCCTGACTCGAAAACATCAACTCTAGGGAGGACGACTGACGGAGAGCTCTCTACAACCCACAAGTGAGGAATATGTAGCTTCAACCATATGGGAGTTTCCGAATATAGGGGAAACCCGAATATAGTACCCTAAACCCCAGGATCAGTATTATAAGGACCCCAAACGAAGGTACCTCTAATTTTCGGGAACTCCCATATGAAGGATCCCTCACTACTTCCAGGTATGCTGCGTAAGGGCAGGATAAACACCCCATTAAACTCTCCGAGAAGCCTGCTAAAACTTTCAAGGTATCTTCACCTGAACCCTAAACCCTAAGCCCTGCCTTCAACCTTAGTACGCCCTCAAAACCCTAAACCCTAACCCCTGAAACAGCTCGCTTTAGGGAGCCCTTTAAGAAACCCTCAAACCCTAAACCCTAAAACCCTTAAAGTCGAACACTGCCGACTGCCTGTAATTATAGATCACTTTAGCGAGCCCTTTAAGCAACCCTAAAACCCTTAAAGCCTAACATAAACCCTAAACCCTGCACCCTAAAACCCCATTCCCAAAACCCTAAAACCCTACACCCTGAATCCCTTAGAGCCTAAAACCTGTGCTAAAACCTGCTTGAAAAATCAGGGGGCTGTTCAACTTCGCCTGGTGGAGCCCCCCGCGCAACTTCACTCCCAGTGCCTTGGCGGCTTAAGGTTTAGGGGGGTTTAAGGGTTTAGGTAGGGATTTAGGGCTTTCAGGGTACAGGGTTTAGGGGTTTAGGGGCTTTAGGGGTTTTAGGGTGTAGGGTTTAGGGTATGGGGTTGTTAGGGTTTCAGGGAGTAGGGGATTAAGGATCATGGGTTTGATGGCTTCAAGGCTTCAGGGTTTGACTGGTCGTTTCGTGAGGGCTTTCGGGGTAAGCCTAGCAAGGCTTCATTCGGTTTCGTTTTGGTTTTGGGGTTTAGGATTTAGGACAAAGCCTAAACCCTAAATCCCTGGCAAACAGATCCTGGCTCTTCAGGCGACGGCCTAGTTTTTACCCACAGAAGTAACCATAGAGAGCTGGTACCCAACAGGTGTCATCATTTTGTGTCGACATCCAGGAAGTTCCACAGCGAAATACCAAAAATCTCGACCAGCCATTACTAAAGCTGTAAAGCTGAAGAGACGTCACGGACAAGGCTGGAAAGCATGAGCATGCTCGTTTCTGACTTCTGATGAACGGCCTGCGTGCAAGGATAGTTACACAAAGTGCACATTGCAGAGGAAAATGCATGTCCAATCCAACTCTGAAGTAGCCTTGTTCCTCGAAACAATGCCAATTGAGGGCCTGAATAAGCAGAAGAGTGTTTCGGCATGGTTGTAGCATAGTAAACTGTTATGAAAGAAGGGCTCCAGGGTATTGAGGCTCCTATTTCGAACCCCAAACTTACAAACCATCCGCTGCAAAACAGAGGAAGTACGTTTCCCGAAGACAAGTAACCAAAGAACGGGAGTTGAACTCTGACCAATCTGTTTCCTTATTCTCTCTGTGTACTGGTGTCTGTGCAAGAAATTCCAATGCGACTACGTCTCGCCTTCGACCCCAGACTAACGGTTCAGGTCTGCAGAGCTGATAGTGGGTCTGTCGTATTAGTTTAGCCAAAATGCTGGCTTCAGGGTGCTAAGCTGTTCGGTTCAGGGTTCAGGATAAGATGCTCTCCCTGAAGTACCCTGGAGGTGGTGTGCCTTGATCGATGAGTCGTGCATGTGATCGTCATCATCGTCTAGGAACCTTCGTGAGCGTTGAAGGTAGGGCGTCGCATCTACAGATGAGCCTTGAATAAAGTGTGCTGTCGGTCATGCGCCAACTTCAAAAACTGCTCATGGTGCTTAGTTATACCATGTACAGTTTGTCTGCTCAAGACTCCATGAAGTCCTTTTGGAAGACCTTGTACGCTTGAGCTCGTCCCTTCTGTCGTTCCGAGGTTCTGGCTTTCAGTTTTCAAGGGCGCAGGATCCAGGCCTTGGGGTTTAAACGCCTCTACGGCCTCAAAACTCATCCGACCCTCATGCTCTGATGGAACCCGGGATAACTTACTATTCTGTCCGAGCCCTATATTCTTCGTGACATCTCTCGAGTGTCGCGAAACAGCCCCCGACAGGAGCATGAGCGAAGCTTCCCGCCAAGACAAAACCTCCCCTAACTCCAAGTCATGTAGAGGCCTGAATAATTCGTATAGGGTTCTGGGCTCCTTTATAGTGTATAGTTATAATAAGGAACCCTAAGGAATAATATTGGCAATTATTTCGGCAGTCAGTCACTATACTGAACTTAGACCCCTGGCGAAAATGCATTTTAAGCTGTTTCATAGGGACTGTAGGAACCAAAAGGAACCAACAATTAAAAGTTCTTTCTAAGTACCCCTGAGAGTATAGCTCTGAGGTTATATAGCAACGAAGAATTAGTACGATCCTTGTTGGGCTCATTGTAAGCAAAGGACCTCCGAAGCCCAGCACCCTGCAACATCCACCCTTGAGCTGCCCTGCACCAGGTCCGGTCCAGGTAGGCCATCTCGCTTTGGGAAACAAGGTAAACTGTCATCCCTACTTACAACCTCCGCAAATGCAGTGCCCCCTTGAAACCCAAGTTTCTGATCCCTTAACTTCCTGGGCTCGAAAGAGCCTAAAAATTGTTTGGGCCTCAGCACTAGCCCTGAACTAGGCCCTGAACCCTACAAACCTAAATGAACCACTACAGTCACTACAGCTTAAGGACCAAATGTGCCCCTATACAAAAGGGTTCTTTGCGTCATATCCCATGTAGTGCCAGAGATGCAGAGCCCCCAAATTGGCCAAGTCTCGGGCGATCCTCAGGGAATACCCCGAACTCAGGAATATGCCTCGGATCCTAGGAAGGATGTCTTCTATGAGCTCTACGACTTAAAGCGATCTTCCGAGAGCCATACCCCCGAAGACCCCTCCACATATCACCCTCATTGGAATTCGACAGCCAGGGAACGTGGAGTCAAACTCGAGCGCCCGGTCCTTGTGGCTGCGGCCAAAGAGCATCGGTGTTCGGGCTTAGGGGCCTGCTTGGAGGGTCGGGGGACGTGGTATGTAGGTAAGAAGCAGAGTTATAATATACGTAATCTTAGTCTACAAAAATCCAAATTGGGGTTATGATATACATCTATGAAACGACTACTTACTGAGTCCCCGACCTCCCAAGTAGTGAAACCATTGATTTTGTTGATTGTGGATCCTACTCGGTCCCGCGGCAATCACTTCCGATAAGGGCATGAAGCTTAGTATAGGGGCCTTAATAACTAGAATAGGGTTTTGGGAAAATTATGCTATAGTTACAATAAGGAACAACCAAAGTAGTATTGGTAATGATAGCCCTTATGGACCCTTTAAAGGAAACCTAAGAATAGTATAGGTATTAATTTAGGTCAGGCTCTGAAACTGAATTTCGACCAGCACCTTTAGGACTTCAGGTTTTCAGGATTTTGGGGCTTTAGGGTTTACGGTTACGGTTTAGGGTTTAGGGTTTAGGGAGTTTAAGGTTTGGGGCTTTGGGGGAAACAGAGAAGCATGCGGGGCTTTGGGCTTCCCGGGAACCTGAACATTAAGCCACAAACCACAAAAGGCTAAACACCCAAGGACTGGGGTGGTGTAGGAGCTTGGGCTTTATACTGTGGGCCTGAGATTCTACAGGTTTTTTCTTGGCCAACTTCTGAACCCCTCCTAAAATTTAAACGCTTAGCCTACGTATTCTGGCTCATGTAGAAGCCCAAAAAGTTAAAGTCCTAAGAGCCAAGAAGAAGAACGCCAAGTTTTTGTTCTTGCAAGTTTAGCATTTCCTCACTAAGGCCGATGCCCTAGGCCGAAATCCTAAGCCATAACCGATGCCGATCACTCACAGACCCCTGAAACCCTGGCAACCCTAAATTAACCCAAATGGGGGTACCTTATTTTGGGGCCCTTTGTAATAAGGATCCTACCATTTAGGGTACTATATCAGGGTCCCCCATTTTCGGAAACTCCCAAATAAATCACCCTTGGAACCCTCGAAGCGGTAGAAACGCTGGAAACTTTGGCAACCCTCAACCCTGAGGCCCTATAACTAAAGAAGCCCTCGAAACGTGAAACGTTACAGGGGTGAACCAAACAAAGCACTCTGATAACCCTAAACACTAAACTTTTGAACCCTAATACTAATAATGCGTGGCAAAAGGCGAGGGAGAAGGCCCGCACGTCGCAGAGCTGGTCTACAGGAACCGGTTTCTCCGTGTCCTGCTCGCGGGCTTCTTAACTTTGAGGGTTTTGGAGCATTTCGGGCTTAGGGTTTAGGATTTCCAGATATTGATTGATTACTTTTGTTGAGACACCCCTACTTGCCTTCCACAAGGATCCAAGCACCTAACGATCGTATGCTCCCGTGGAAAGATTCTAAACCTATTAGCACTACGAGCCCAAATGCCCAGGCCAAACTGCAAGAAGCCCAAACCCCAAACCCCATGATTCATAAGCTCCCTAAAAGGCACCGGATATTAGGATCCCTCCCCTATTCAGCAGAAGGGTTTATTCATCGGGGGTCCACATGAAAACCCCACGCTGTGTCCCCGGACAGTCCCGGCCCTAAACACAAACCTCGACAAAACCTGAAGCAGTCTACCCACATATTTTGAGCATAACATACAGCTTCATAGACCGTAGTACGACGGCGGCAAGGCCCCCGCCTTAACCATGGAAACCAGTCCCCCACCCCCTTATACATTTCCGAACCACGAGTGCTCTAACTTACAATGCGAATGCGCGCGATTGGGGGATCTGAGACCAAGAAGCCAGAAAACAGCAGGGCCCTGAGTAGGCAGGAGCGCAGGGCTTCCTGTCTTCAATTGTGAACGGCAGCTCAGATCGTGAGAATAGCAGGGCCCGAAGGCATTGAATATTTACACGGCTTCCTCTTGTCAAGCGAGGCTCTTGAAACTGCAAGAGGACATGGCTGTTTTGAAACAACCCGGTGGCCACATCAGGAGCCGGTCTTCATGTTCTGCACCTAGTTTGCACCTAGTGTAGCTTACGATAGGATCAGGGCACCCTGAAACCCCAACACCGACACCTTGAAACCCGAAATGCCTTTAGCGAATGCGCCCCTAATTGCCATCGAAGCTTATACGCCCAAATCGAAAGCTGAGGAACAACTTTTTTTGGCAGGGCGAGAACCCCGGGTTCCCGTTCTCCAACGGAATGGATTCAACCACGTGCCTCTGTCATCATTCGGACAATGCACACCTGCCCTCCCACTGCCACTCACGGCCTGATTCTTCAAAAGGGTGAGTCCGCAGACCGCTGTCCAAACAAAGCGAGAAAACCTGTGCCTGGGAGTTTTTATGTTGCATTGAATAATCAGACTCCCGAAGAACCTCAGCCGGAGTCCATGACATTCCAAAGCACCATGAATTCCAACTGCCAGGACATCTGACAAGAGTTCCAAACCAAAAACGAACGATCTCGACGAAAGGCGAATGACTACAGGTGACGTGCCCCCCCGGGGGCGTTGTTCAGCTCCAAGGAAGGCTAACACAGCTTGCAAATCAAAAAACGGTTCCATCTTGCCGCATCCCCGGAAAAAAATCCACGCAGACCACGAACGACCTCATACTACCTGCCCCAACACAAACATACGTTGAGCAAATACGTTTGTGCGTGTACCTGGGAGGAAGGGCTTGCATTTGTCTACGCAGAACGCGGATGACCACGAGAGGAATGTATATCTGTGGCCCCACCACACCCCACCTTCTTATACATTCTAAGGGGGGGGCCTGACGGCGGCATAGCCAAGCACCCTCGACCAAAATTCTTAAACGGTCGACCTTGGACCCTCCGATTCAAGTACCTACAATCCTCCGACAGCTGATGTAAATGCTAACCAGCTACTAGAGTAAGCCGCATGCCTCATTATTCCGTGCTTGGGACCAGCATGGCCGTGGTGTCAAGCCTTCCGTAAACCTTAAACCCTCCTTCAGGTTCATGGGCAGCACGATGGCAAAGGGATTCAGCTGTTTCAGCTGCTGCAGCACCCCGTCGATCTCCTGAGGCTTGGGGTACTACAGGGGCCTTAATAATTTGAATAGGATTTTGGGGCCCATAAAAATGTAATTGCAATAATTAAGGAACTCCTAGATAGTATTAGTCATCATTCAGGCCCCTATACCATAGGGTGCGGGTGAAGGACTTGGCTGCAAGAAGGTTTAACTCTGTGACTGGCCACCAAGCCCGCAAGCCCTACCTCCCGAAATCCCGAAACCCACACCCTAAACCCCTGGACGCCTGAAAACAAAGATTCACCCAACGCAGATTGTCCAGACCATAAACAGAAAATGATGTAAACTTCAAACCTCGAACACCGAAACCCTGACATTGCTGACTGCGCTTCCGTATCTGTGCAGAGGTCGGTCTTCGTCAGCAGCAGCCGGTCGGAAAAGGCAACCTCGGCAGCTAAGAATATGGTTTTGGGGATACGCCTTGTGACCTCAAACACCCAAAACATCGATTTAAACTTCCTGAACAACTCCTTAACACTCCAAAGCCCCCGGAAAGCTCCTCAAACCCTGAAACTCCTAAAAGCCCTGCTTAAACTGAAGCTCTCCGGGAGGCCTGCTCCGACGCTTCGTGAACGCAAGACTTCTCCCGATCTGCAGAAAGCCTCATGGGATTCGTTCGGTTTAGGGTTTAGGGGTTTAGGGGTTCAGGGTTTAGGGGTTCACAGAAGGTTTCGTGCAGATAAGGGTCTGGAGAGGGCTTATGAGGATCGGCTGGGGTCAAGTAAAGAGACAAAGGCCCCAAAGCCTCGAACCTGAAGGCGTTGCAGGCTGTTGAGGTGCAAGCCCTCGTGGCCCTAATCCTCGCTTCCCCCAACCAACGAAAAGAAGAGCTTCAACTGCTTTGCTAACCCTAAAGACATAATTACCCTATAAATGCTAGACCCGCAACCCAAACCTGTAACAGCACTAACATGAAGCCTTGAAAGTATCGAGACTCGGCATATAAGCTTCAAAAACCCCTGAAGATTCAAACCCCTGAACCCCTAAAGCTCTAAAGCCCTAAACCCCCCAAGCCTCTAAGGTTTCTACATCCACAGAGCCCTAAGCCCGATCCAGCCATGTGACTGGTCCAGCAAGTGCTTGGCATCGCAGACACCGAGGATGGAGTCCAGCCGGTAGTTCTCCTCCAAAGCTTGCTTCTTAAACCCACATCATCAGCGCCTCCCAAAGTCCAAAAGCCGTGTAGAATCCCTCATGGTACCTTTAGCATCCCTTATACTCATATATAGAAGACGCTTCTAGAATCTGCGGAATCCGCCCCACAGCACGTTTGTAGAACCCTCCTAGAAACTCTTATAGAGTCCTTGAAGAGTTTTCATAGAACCCTCATAGAAGCTCTTGTGCAACCCTTAAAGAAATCGTATAGAACAGCAATAGAAACTCTCTGACAGAAACCGGGAAGAACCCTTATAGAAGCTCCTATAAGCACTTAAAGAAACTCTTTTTGAACCCTCGAACTTGAAAAACTCTTATAGGACCCTTGATTGAAACTCTTGTAGAACCTTCAGAGAAACTGTTAGAGAACCCTCCTGGGGCCTGCATGAATGGATCCAGGAAGAAGGTCGAAGCGATCGGGGAGGGGTCCGCAAGTCCAGTCGTTTCAATCAAGACGCCATCCTAGGACTTGCGGCTTCAGGTCTCGTGCCGGGCTCAGGGAGCTTAGGATTTAGGGTCGAGGGTTCAGGGTTTATAGGGCTTGGGATTTACCGCTGAAGGCTTCAAATCCTGGCAGTCGTTGTTTAAGTGCGGGGCCTGGTTGAGAGTTTTTGGGAGGCCCACAATCTGATTCATAGCGTTCGAGGTCTTCTAAGGCATTTAAGCGCTTAAGGTAGTACAGTCCCAGAAACCTGCTCCCTTTAAGGCTTAAGGCTGGCTCATCATCCACACCATGACCCCACACATCAAAATTGCTTCTAAACCCTCAACGCAACCCAACCAACCCCTTAACCTAAACCCAACGCTTTGCCCTAGACCCAACTCCTAACCCTAAACCCAACCCTTGAAACTTCACCTTAAATACAATCCTTGACAATCAACCCAACCCTTACCCTAAATCCAACTCGCTTTAACCCTGAACCCAAACCTTACCCCAAGAAAAACCATAGGGTTTTGGGCTTAGGTTTTAGGGTTGAATTTAGAGCTCGTTTGCGGAATACTCTAAGTGTGCCAACAGGTTTAGGGTTTGCGAGAATCAACGACTGATCCCAGAAGCGTACGGCCTCCAAGGAACCGGCAAAGCCAACCTCAAACCCCGAAATGACTGCACGCGAGACCCATGAACTCCTAAGCCCCTAAGCCCCAGCGCCCGAACATTTTACGCTATCTTGCCAAAACCCCGGCACCCGAGACCCTAAACCCTAAACCCTATCTAACAAAACCCGGAAACCTAAACCCTAAACCCCATCTAACAAAACCCGGAACCCGAAACCCAAAACCCTATCTAACAAAACGTCGAACCCTAAACCCCAGACCCTAAACCCTATCTAACAAAACGCGGAACCCTAAACCCTAGACCCTAATCCCTATCTGACAAAACCCGAAACCCCAAACCCTAGACCCGAGATCCCCCCAAAGCCCTGAACACAAACAGACTTTTCCTGGCGGCTGAGAGGCGAGATGGCTGCCGCGGGATTGAACATCCTTGAGCACCTACCAGACAGAGACTGTAAGGGTCAAAGATTTGGGGCAATAAGGCTTGCTAGAAGTTTATGGGGTTTGGGGTTTAGAGTTCAGGGTTCAGCGGCGTCTGGCCACGAAGGGTACTGCATAAGACTGACAGCAATTGCAAACATTATCTGCATGCCCACAGCGGTGTTTACACCCCCAATACTGACCCTAAACCCGAGATAAATGTCGGGCTCAGAATAATTAGATTGGGAATAATGCTGGTTGTCAAGTATTCAAGCGTCTGCATTACACCATCGGGGCGCCTTCTGCATTCCCTGGATGAAATCCCCACGAAGGGTGCAGCAAATGCAACCTGATCCGATCGGTCGTTGCAGAAAGCTTCTATGAGGTTTAGAGCTCCGGGTTTGGGGCAGAAGGCATAGGGCTTTGGGTTCTATTGCGTGGGTTAAGGGCTTGGGGGTTCTATTAAATGTAAGCCGCTATAACTGAAACAATAATAGCGGGTTGCATACAGCTTAGGGCTTCTTTGGGGCGAATGTTGGGGGCTTAGAGTTTGTTTATACATGGTTTACCTGGACCCTGAAGAACCTATATACCGTTAAGGGAGCCCAGAGATTTGATCTTGCATCCTCTGCAAACGTATGTCACAAAGGAGTGAATCTAGCAAACGTCAACCTCGAGAAACCTTGCCGGACGCTTCAGGGCACAAGTAGGGTTTAATTCTACGGCCTGGGTTGAGGAAGTAAGTTTAGGATTTGAATCTTCGGAATAAACGGACCAAAGGTTTAGGCGGTTGAAGGCTTAGTGTCTCGGGTTTAGGGTCATAGGTTAAGGCTTAAAGTTTCAAGCCTAAATCAAATTCTTAATTAGTCGTCAATATTGGGTTCCTTTCTCGCCATCTTTGGTCACTCTCTCAGCTACAGCAGCCACTCAAAACAAACCTCGCATTTGTGTTTCAGCACACCATGAGATGAGCCTGAAAGATCCGCAACAGCACTTCTCAAACACAAAACCTCTAATCCCTAAACCCTGAACCCTCATTATACACCCTACACCCTAGTTACAAACCCAACAACCTGAACATCATGGCAAGGCATGTCGCCATTGTTCATCTCGACGATCGTCTCAGTGGTGCGCTCCGCCTCCCGACTCCAACTTCTGGCTAATGATTTGTCATCTACTCAAGAGCCTGGTATACTAGTTAGTCAGGCTTCATAAGGCTTCAGGCTTTAGGGCTTGGGTGTCTAAGGTTTCAGGGCTGGAGCGACCTGTTTACTGTAAGTAGCGGACGACGTTAGCGAAACAAGACTTGACTTCTGGGAGCATCTCTTGTTGCATACACGGTGGACGAACTCCGTGCTGAAAGCTTGCACCAAAGAAACTATGACTCCGTTCTACAGCCCTTGCGAAGCCGGACTTCAATGCCTGGTGCGAATCCAAAAGCTGGTTAAAATCCTAACAAGCCCTCTTGAAGCTATGTGAACTCCTCGCAATGATCTATAGCAACCCGGCCTGTTCTACCAGGGCTAAAACCTTCCAACAATAGCAGAGATAAAAATCTTGTACACCTCCCTGGCGCATGCTAGATGTATGGAACCAGTACCAAATTCTATCACAGCCCGCTCTGTTCGGCGAGAAGTCAAACCGCAGAAACCCTGAAAGAACCTAAACCCTATGCAAAATCCTCTATGCCCTAAACCCTACAAACCCTAAACTCCAAACCCGAACAGCCCTACAACTCCAAAACCCTAAATCCTAAACCCTATAACTCCTCAACCCTGAACCCTCATAACCCTACAAACCTAAGCTCCAAACCCTAAAAACCCTCTAAACCTTAAACTTATCAAAATTTTAGGTCTACGCATCTTAAACCCTGAACCATAAACCCGAAGACTCCTAAACTTTAAACTTCCTAAACCCTAAACCCTACAAACCCTCAAGCTCCTGCCTGCTCCACGAGGGTGGAGTCGATCCCCACCTCGCCAAATTCGTTCTCGATGACCGCAATCCGCTTCCCGTGCTGCTCTCGGAGGATGCCTTATACGGCTTAAGGTTTAGGGTGTAGGGTTCAGGATTTAGGGTTTTTGGTTCAGGACTTAGGGTTGGGGATCATACCGTATGATGCCATATCTTTGTCAGATCACGTCATTTTCTTGTAAACTGTACTGTAAGAATCTCTGAGACACACACATCATATACGTGCTAGAACATGAGAGAGCTAAAGCGGATTGAGGCCCTGGCCTCGACCCACAAAAATTCGGCCCCTACATCCGGACGGCCCTGGGCTCGAAACCTAGAGCGATGGGCTTGAAATCATCAGATAAGGGTTCGGTGTACTGTAGTGAAGCTATGCAGGGACGATACGGGGAACATGCTGGATATGATGCAAACCTCCTTATGCACCCTGGCCGAGCTGCGGTTCAGCAAGGTCGTCTTCCCGCTCCCCAAAAAGCCGGTGATCACGGTGACAGGCACCTCCAAGGCGAACGCCCAGTTTAGGGCTGCGAGATTCGCTGTTATATCTATAGCATAATTCGATAAAACATTAACATTCTGATACAGAACATGGTCTAAAATTATGTATATACAAATTGAACGTGCGTTTGGTCATGTTGATCGGAATGTGGGTTCGGGATTCAGGGTTTACAGCAGTGTGCTTTGGCTCAGGGAGCAGGGATGAGGCCCTACTTGGAGGGTCGGGGGACAGAGCAAGTAGTTGGTTTATGGAATTATGGATAACGTAACCCCAGTTAGGATTCCTTTGTGGGCACTTACAACTCTACTTATTACCCACTTACTGAGTCCCCCAACCCCGAGATCTGGGCGATGACAAAAGGCCCTGGCAGATCTCCGAAGATCGAGCCTTCACGAAAAGCTCGCTCACTCAAGCATCGCCTTGCGCCTTTTGATGCGGGCGCATTCACCCTAACGGTGTGAGCCAAGCTCGTCGCAAGCTCTCGAGACGTCCACGCTCTTCTCTAGAACTTTGCCGGGCTCTGCTTTCACCACGGAACCGGACGAGGTCCTCCCTGGCGGCTTTGAGCTCGCAGTCTCGACCTTCCGCTTCCTCGCGACGCTCACTTCGCTGGAGTTGAGCTGCTGCTTCTTGTGGTAGAACCGCAGCTCCCCGCACTCTCTGAAGCTTTTCTGACGTGGGTCCGATTCGTCCCAGTCGGAGTCACTCTCGAAGTTCTGGAGCATCTTGACCAAGTACCCTGGTAGAACCCTAAATTCTAAAGTTCTGAACCTGTAAAGCCAGACTCAAAGCGCTAAACCCTACATGTACAACCCGACAACCTTCTGCTCGGCACTGATACGGTCTAGGCGTTGGGTCAGCGTGTAGGGTTTAAGGGCGTTGGTCTAGGGTGGGGACTCGGCTTCGAGGTTTGTGGGTCGCAGTGTTCGGGTGAATGTGTGTGGCCCAGGGCCTCGAATCCGAGGTGTACAGCCCAGCACCTAAAGTCTGGGGCCCGTAGATTTCCATAGATTTCCACAGTTTGGGGTTTGAGGCTTGGGGCTTCAGGTTTAGCGTGCAGGATACGTACTCCCATCTCCCGAAGCCTAAGAGAGATCCTATATAGCCACTCGAGGCTTTAGACCCTTATGCTGTAAGGATGTACAACGAGGAGTGCTCAGCTGCAGGGGGCGTGCTGGCCCCTGAGGAATACTATTCGTAGTGGCAGCTATTTCAGCTTCTAGGTTGCACACTGCTACGGATTCCAGAAGAACTCTGCTACCAACCGCGCAAATCCACAAAGCAATCACATGAAACCCGATAGAACATGTAGCTCGTAAACAACTGCTTGCTAGTCAACTCTGTTAGGAATCCACCACTGATCTGACAGGACTACAGGATAATGCAGTCTCGGATTTGGGAGCTTCACGGAGAAAGACATCCCAACGGTAGTTACCACATGGACACACTACCCGAGAAAAGATCCTTAAACCTGAATCCCACCAGTCCCACCCGCTAACAGGATAAACGAACAGGATCATCGATATAACGGCCCACTTAGGGTTTGGGGTTTCTGATGTAGGGTTTAGTGCCTGATTTTCACGAATCCAATACAAATCAAAAACACTGTGACACCCTGCAATCCGGAACAGAAGCCCTAAGCACTGTAAACTCCCCTATCAAACTCTCAACCCCGAACCCGCTTGAGGCCCCAGAAAACTGCACCATTGTACTCTCAACCTGACACCCAAAACCCTATCTTAAGATATCTTAAGGCCCTGTGAAAACCACACACCATCCCATTTTTTCGCAGGCGTGATGTCGAATTACAGCCGCTGCCGGCTCTGCGATTACTGCTTGACGACTCTGGCCGGCCCTTTGAAGGACCAAACAGGCTTGAGGCTCTAGGGTTCAGTATGCTTATGTTAATATCTAATAGGGACCATAAGTGGATAGTTGCTTAGGGTTTGGGGTTTGAGTTTAGCGTTTAGGGGATCTCTCTTGGGGCTTACGGTGAGGCTTCATGGTAGAGGGACCTTTCGGGGGACTTTTCACCAGATATTGCGAGGGCCTGCACAGGTTTTATGGCTAGGATCCCCCGTAACGTAGGAATTTAAAAGAGCTCCCTTGTTGGTGTCGGGTAACTTGATAAGGAACTCACGACCACAAAAAGGCGAAAAGGGCCCACTGAGAGACCTAGATTGGATGTTGTAAGCTAGTTGTGGACTAAAGGGCCTTCCTTTAGTCTAGTGGCGCGGGTTCTAAAAGGGCTCCTACAGGGTTTTCTGGGTCTTTACAGGGTTTCTGGGCCGGCCCCTATTGGTGCTTAGGGTTTTGGGAGTTTCGGGCTGATTACAAACCTATAAAAGCATGACTACAATTCCATTGAAGCATTGCACGAAAAGGGGCCCTGCGTTGGAGAACTACCCGGATGTAAGGCAATAGGTCTAATTAATACCGGGGTTTTACTAATTACAATAAGCTTTTGAGGGCCCATTATACTATTTTTATAACAAGGAACCCCCCCAAAAATAGTATAGGTAACTGCTAAGGCCTCTATATCACTCGCTGTTCAGACCCCTACGTCGTAGTTCAGCTCTTAGGATGGGGCTGAAGGCTTTTTGATGCGCGTAAGGTTTGAGAGCACGGGTAGGGCTCAGGGCCTGGGTTCCGGGGGTGGGGGGGGGCTTTGGGCTTCGGGTTTGGAGGTTTAGAGGGAACTCCAGAAAGTTGGAATATGGTTTCATGGTAGGATCCCCTATAATTTACCTTAAAGGGGTTACGATAATGATATTCCAACTTTCTGGCTTCTACTGTAGAGGTCCAGAGGTTGACAATTCAGAATTTAGGGCTGCAGGGTAATGAATGTTGGGGTACTGGGCTTCAGGTTGAAGGGTTTGGGATTCAGGCTACGGAAGGCCCTAGGCCCTAGGCTTTGAGCTGCCAGATGAAAAACATGGGACTCGAGAGCACCTGATATAACAGGGTGTTCTAGGTGCTTGGGGTTTGAGGCTTGCATGGTGGCGCTGATGATTCGGTCGGGTTTACACCTAAGGCCTCGTCGTTGAACTTGTACGCCGCACCGGGCAAGAAATTAACAAGTAGGGTAGGGCTATCAGCATGTTGCAGAGTCTGTAAGGTTTCATATAGCTTTACGAAGGGGCCTATAAACTAGAAGGGGGCCTTGGGAAAGATTTTGGTACACTTATATTGGGACTTGGAAGGATTGATAATGCTAAAGGTTCGACCTCTAAGTTTGAGCGCATGGTTTTCAGGGAAGTAAGTTGGTCCTCAAGGTGCTAGACAATGCCACTGTACAAGGGGTGTCAGTGTAAAAGGCTGACGACAGGCTGATACAAAAGTAGAAGATTGCGCGCCGTGCGAACAAAAATATAGGGGCCCGCACCACTAGACTAAGGTCTATGAGAATGCTGGCCTAGATTCTTGTACGGCTCGCTCTAGGAAAACAATGCTAATTATCCAGGCCCCCATATAATAAAAATGACGGAGCTTCCAGCACCATAAGCAAGGTAGGCTGGCTGCAAATGACTGCCCGGCATGCTAAATCAGTGCTGGGTATGGCCGTCATCAACTTGCACGTGGTAAGCACGACTACCAATACATGGTAGTCCCGTCCTCTACTGAAAACCCCAAACCCTGAACCCTGAACCGTAAACCCAATGGCCCAAGCCGTAACCATCAACCCTTGCTTGGACTGTCGAGGGTTGATAGAAGGCCTTGCAAAAATGAGAGCTATATCCGATTCCAAAGCTTGGAGTGTTTTATAGAACACTACAAGCCCTGTTTTATAACACACTACAAGCTCATGCTGACCCTTGAACTCATGTCTGGACTACTATATAAAGCCTTGCACCCTGAGACAGCTGTTCTATAAGGGTGCTAGCAGGGCGCTATATATACGGGTTTCTAAATAAGCGTCCTATGGAGGTTTATGAGCCAGGTTTCACTGAAACCACAACCTGCGTTTGGCGGTTTGTGTGCTTAGCTCGCGCAGATATACCCCGGAACCCCCAAACTTGCCGGCTTTGGATGCTTGAGAGTGAGAGTATGTGGCTTCGCCGATTCAGCCTGGCCGACTTACCTGGTGAAGGCCCAATCTCACCCGAAACCTGAACTGAACTCATCACCATAACAAACCCAAGGCCCAGACCAATCTCTACGAAAGAAATGTCAATGAGGTAATTATGCATGGTACGAAGTTGGAGTCCTAATTATTTAACCCTACTTCGCAAGGGAATCCTAGTCTCGAAAGCCTTTTACGGTTTAGGGCAACAGGGTACCTGCAGGGTCAGAAGACACCGCATAGGTTAAGGCCAATGCTTACGAAGGAAAATAATCGGAACTACTCGCCGTTAGCGACCAAAGGTATACTCTGCGTATCCCACCCCCGATACCCAAAACCGATTCCTTGGACCCTGAACCCGGTAAAACCCCGGGTCCTGAGCAGAGTCTTTAGTCTTTGGGTTCCAGAAGAAGGCCTGTTTGGGGCTTCGGGTTCAGGGTGATCACCACAGGCAAGCAAAGTGCTGCATGTGCAGAGAGCGCGCGCAGAGAGAACGCCCATGCACCATCAGCGTATGCAATGTGATTCCGAGGCTTCCGAAAATGACGGAGCTTGGAGGTTCTTAGACTCTTGGTGAAACCCTGAATAGACCCATAATAATTAATATGCTAGACTTCTGTCGGTTTATAAGATTTTGCAAGCAGAAGAATCCTTCTAAGGAGTGCCCTGTGCTGCCCCCCCTCCGAATTGTCAGAAACCCCTCCGGATTTTCAGAAAATCCACACTGGGTCGCCGAAACAAACGGAGCCGCATTAAAAGGCACTCTCTACAGGGCTCCCTGAGACCCACAAGGGAAGAGGAGTTTTTCAGATCTCTCCCAGCCGATGCGACTTTTTTATGCTAACTGTAGAATCCGTGAATTGCAGACAATATAACCCATAACCCTAAATCCTAAACCGGATTTCTTGCCAAGAAAATTCCTTCAGGGCTCTTGCTGTGCTTGAATGCTGAACTCGTCCAATGTCCTACGTAGGGGGAATGAAGCGAAACCGGTAGGATTATATATAGATTTAAAGTGACTTCCTCTACGCTTCAGTTAAGGATCTTAGAGGGCTGCCTCTTCTTGTCCGGTCTAGTGGCTGCCTGTAGTCCCAAGCACTCCCTTAGCATAGCAGGTTATTGGATCCACGGGTTGGGTTTAGGATTTCCAGCAGCGCGCTGGATCCAAAATAACCAAACATGAAAGTGCCCTTATCCCTGCTCCCTGGCATGTTAAATTAAATACTTGCGCTTTTACGGTAGTAAGCATTTCCGCGTAACACCGGGAAACCCCGGCTTAAGGCCAAGGTAGGCTGGCAATGGTTTTGGTTTTGGGTTTCGGCTCTTGGGTTTATGTACGGCTTAGGGTTTTGGGCGTAGGGTTGCCAAAACCCCCCTTAGAACGACAATGAAAACAATATGTTGAACATTTTCTTGGGTTTTAAACAAAAACAAAAGAATCCGGAGGAGAGTAAAGTTTCGGGTTTGGGGCTAGCACACACTTGGAAAGATCTGGGTATTGGCAAGTGCGCAGATGCTTAGCCGCAGACATCTTGAGACGGACACTGTGCAGCCGCGGGCAAAGCTCTAAACTCCGTGCAACCTAAACACCGTAGACCCTAATTGAAGGCCCTATCATATGAGACGCTTGAAAACTGGATACCCCAAAACCGTAAGAACCATATTCCCGGCAGATGCGTAAAATAATTAGTCCCTCAAGTGCCAAAACTGCCAAACGATGCCTCTTCCATTGTCTGCAAAACCTCAGTTACGCAAGACAGCACAAAACACACACACACACACACGAGCAGGTCAGTGTGGTATCAAAAAGAGCGATGGTACAGGCACCCGAATAGAATGAAAGCTTGCACAGGCTCCATGACCAAGAAACTCCACTTTAAGAGGCTACCCACCTCTTCCATTCGATGAGCTGCATCGAGGCGACGCCAACAGGACAAGAGACCTGGAAGTGAGGCCGAACTCTGGGTTTCGGGCTTCAGGTTTAGGGTTTAGGGGCTTACGGGTTCAGGGTTTGGTGATTAGAGGGTTTATAGGATTTGTAGGGGTCTAGGGTTTGAGGTATAGGGTTTCGGGTTAAAGGTTTAGGGTTTCGGGTTTAGGGTTAAGGTTTAGGGGTTCCGGCCCTCACGATGGTGAAATGCTGGTAGCTCAGGACAAGGACAGTACACTGTACACATTTCCTAAGAGAATTACCTGGTATATGTCTCTAACTATGTTTTCAGATGCCAGAAACGGGAACTCCCAAATTTTGTTCAACAAATCTAGAAAGCCCAAACCCTGAACCCTAAACCCTGAACCCTAAACCCTATACCTTAAACCCTAGACCCTATAAATCCTATAAACCCTATAATCCCTAAACCCTGAACCCTAAACCCTGAAGCCACGACCCTGAACCACTGATCTCCTTGCAGACCCGGAGACCCCGACCCTGAACCATGAAACCATGAACCCCCCCTTTGTGACCCTGAGCCCCCACCTACCATCTAATATACGCCGAACAGCCACCATGAAGGGTCATAAAGGCTCTATTAAACGGTACTGGGGGGGTCCCCCCTAATGTGGGGGCTTTAACAGTTGGAGTAAGGTTTTGGGGGCTCCTTATAATGTAGTATAATATACCCTGGAATCATATTCAAATCATACAGGTCTCTACATTATAGTACCCTTATAGATCCCATATAGAACCCTTATAGACCCCTTTCATGGAACCCTTAAATGGTTTCCTATTCTTTTTTGTGGCCCCTACAGCAGACCCTGGGCCACCCCCCCACCTGTCTTGTCGAAGATGAGGCTCTGCAGCTTCTGGTTAAACAGGCTCGTATCTTCAATCCTCTCCTCGGGCATGCTGTTTCAAAGGTATAGGCACACACTCAAACCCTCAACACTGCACCCACAAAAAGGCAAAACGTATACAGCTGGAGCCCCAAACCGTAAACCCACAAAAGGCCACAATGCATGCCACTAAACTCTCAACCCGCCAAAGGCCAAAAGGTATACCACTGGAACCACGAACCCCGACCTCACAAAAGGCCAACAGGTCACCCTAAATCCTGAACCACAAAACAACAACAACACGAAAAAAACACTGAAACACCGAACCCCCTAAAACCATATAGACCCTGAACCACAAAAAAGTCAAAAAGGTATACCACTGAACAACGTCTCCAAGATGAACTCCACATCCTCTGCTCTCGAGGCTTGCATGCTTTCCTGGGTCCAAAAGCCAGAGACAAAGCTTGGGGGGTTGGGATTCAGGGCTTTGGGCTCTGAGTTCGGAGTTTAGGGTTCAGGGTTCGGGGTTTAGGGTGTCATTAGGTTTCGGGGTTTAGGGAGTTGGGGTTTTGGGAAGCAGCAAACAAAGCAGAACAAACAGTTCAGGGATCATACAGAGGGCGATGGGCTTGGAGTTTGGCGTGGAGGACCTGGGCTTCAAGGCCCTTTTGCCTCAAAGGCCCTATCCTCAATCCCACAAGATGCAACAAGTCCTTACCCTAAACATGGCAATAAAGGTCTAGGGTGCACGTTTTAGGGATCTTTGTGGTTCAGACGAGGGCTCTACCCGTAGGTTCCGCAAGCTGCTGGCCATGTCCTCCACCGCCTTCCGTGAGTGCATTTTGACCTTGGCGGCGCCGCGCTTATAACAGGCGTGATGATGCGGCTTAGTTTAAGGTTTAATGTGCCATCCTTTTGGGGTTTCGGCAGTGTTTCCTGCATTTCGGAGTTTTGGCTGGCTTGTTTGAAACTTTTTCGGCGTTTACAAAGAGGCTCATGCAAAAGAACACTTTAGGGGTTTGGCGATTTGCGTTTCAGGGCTAAGTTTGTGTGGTTACGCTTTCCGCTTTTGGATTCGATTTCAGTGCTTATAGGAACTTGCAAAACATCAAGCTTTTACGAATCCTACAGCACCTGCGGGACCAACCCTACTCATGCTACAGCGTCGGAAGCCTAAACCCTAAACCCCTAAACTTCACCTTACCCTCAAGCAGCGGAAACCCACGACGGTCTACACTCCAACAGCCAAGCACCCAAAGATCCAAATAAACGACTGTTCAGGGTGCAGGGTTGAGGATTTAGGATTATCAGGGCTTAGGAATTAAGTTTTTTTGTTATTGTTTAACCCTCGTGCCTTTTCACCTCGCGGCATCCAGACTACCGTACCGGTTGAGGGAGCAGGGGACGATGAACTAACCAGAATTAGGGTTATTAGGGTTTAGGGTTTAGGATTATTGTAGGGTTTAGGGCTTAGGGCAATTAGGGATTATGGATTCGGGTTACTAGGGTTTAGGGTTCAGGATTATCAGGGTTATTAGGGTTTACTGCTATGAGGGATTATGGATTAGGGTTATTAGGGTTTAGGGTTATTAGGGTTACTAGGGTTGTTAGGGTTTAGGGATTAGGGTCTCGGGAACTAGAACTGCAACTCACATTAACCCGTGAGTCTCGACAAGCAACCTCCAAGATCCAGAACCCTAGCGAAGTATCACTCTTATTGCTCGTATTGATAGTTTCACCAGAATCACGATTAGCATTACAATCCTTAGCATTATCACTACTGCTATTAGTATTATTACTAGTGTTATTTTTCGTGTTGGTAATAATTAGTCATGTTATTGTTGATATTACTACTGCTACTTACTGTTCTTTTTGGATTGTTCTTGAAAGCAGAAGTTGAAGCGGACGTAACACTAGGGGGATCTGTGGACTTAGCAGGTAAGGCCGTCGGGGTCTGAATCTGGGCTAGAAGTACTTATAATGGGCATGGCTGATTTCTATATCACGCAAAGTCCAATGATTCAAAGCCGGGTCTTTGAAGCACCTAAGAGTTCTGAAGCCCTTCAAAGGTCCCAATCATATGGTGTATGGTTTATATTACTAGTACCCCCATAATAAAACCCAATATATACACTCACCCATATTGAAAGGAAGCCCTATCTACACTCACCAAAACAGGTAATTAAAACCCTACTTCATATAAGCACCGTGCAGGCTGAGGAATGGTTCCGTCTGAGCGCCGTCGAGATCACAGGCGCTGCAGACCCACACCGCTCCTTCCTCAGAGCCTCCAAGACCCCTTTTTTTAAGGACAAAAAAACCTCAAATCATAGTATGGACCCTACTATACTTTAAGGTATCTTCCTCAATTTAAAGGTTTCGGAGGCTCTGTGTCTGGGAACTTCTCAAACCTTGCAAAGCCGTCTTTGGCAGAAGACTACGCAGACGTGAAGTGATACGACCTTGCAATACTAGGGTGCCTTAGCTGCAAGGATCCTCTTCATTGGTCTCTCAACATCCACACGCTGGGAAGACACGCATCATGCGGGTCTCAATGTTAGGGCTGTACATGATAGGGCCACTTATTGTCTGAAACTGATGAACAGTAGCAAAATCGACCTCTCGAAACGCACCCCTAAACCCGAAAGCCCTAAACCCTATACCCTATACTCCTTAGGACCCCATGAAGGAACCCGAAACGGCACTCTTGTAGAACACTTCAAGCGACACCCGAAACTCTAAACCCTAGAGCACTAAACCTGAGACTCCTAAACCCTACACACCCTGAACCCTAAAACCCTAAACACTGACACCCTAGCCCCTAAAAACCCTTAAAACTCCAAGCCCTAAACCCTAAACCCCTAAACCCCTAAACCCTATAAACCCTATAAACCCTATAAACCCTATAAACCCTATAAACCCTATAAACCCTATAAGCCCTGAAGTCCCTGGGCCGAGCGGCGTGCTGCCGAAGCCTCGCCTCATCGGCCTTTACAAGCTCGGCCACACACCAGGCCCTCCGAAAGAGAACCTTGGCATTCAGGTCCGGTGCAGGGGGGCTGGGGGGTTTAGGGCTTAGAGTTTAGGACTCGCGGCAAAACAGCCCTCCGGAAGAGAACCTTGGCATTCAGGTCTGATGCAGGGGCCCTTGACGGTTAACTAGAATAGGGTTTGGGGGGCCCCATATACTACAAGTATAACGAGGCCCTCCGAAAGAGAACCTTGGCATTCAGGTCTAATGTAGGGGCCTGAATAATTAGAATAGGGCTTTGGGGGCCCATTATACTGACCCCCCAAAATAGCCTTGATATTTATGGAGCTCCGGTCCTAGAATAGTTTAGCCCAAAATAACAAGCCCCACAATAGCCTTCCGAAAGAGAGCCTGGGAATTCGAGTTTAGGGATTAGTGTTTAAAGGTTTTCAGTTTCAGAGTTGAGGGTTTGGGGGTTCCAGGGTTTAGGGTTTGGGGCTTGGGGGTTTAAGGAGACTCCTGCATAGCAAGGACCCCAAACCCACAACAACAAGAAGTTAATACACCCCCAAACAAGCCCTGTATCAACCCTTCACCTAAATCCGCAGCACAGACCCTTAGCAAAAGGGTCCCTATGCAAAGGAACCAAACCAAACAGTCGAGGCAAGGAACGAAGCCAGCATCCACGGCGACGACTTGCGAAAACTGTGGATTCTTCCTGGCTAGCAGAGCCATCATGTCGTCAAACCTTGGTGCAAAGCTCGGGACTAGAAAAGGCTCTCTGAGACTTGCAAAAGGGTTCTGTACGACTTCTACAAAGTGCTTGTGGCCAAGCCTGCAAGGAAATTTGTGGGGATTTGGACGTTAAGGGATTTGGGGTTTCGGCCTTCGAGGCGATCGAGGGCTCAGAGCTTTGGGGGTTTAGGGCTTGAATCACGACTGACTGACTAGAAGGGTTTCAGCTGCCAAAGACGGTTCATAGCACTTGGGACAAAAAGACCCTACTAACTGGGTACTCTGACTCTCTAGGTTAAACTCCGTAAACCCTCTCAAAAACCTCAAGATTGAGCATGCCCTGTTATGCCTGGCCCCTCTGGTTTTAATCGTGGCTCCGAGTAAACATTCCCACATCGCCCATTAAAAATCAGCCCCATACCCCCATGCCTTTCAACTTTCAATTCTAAGGGGGTTTTGGGGTTTAGAGTTTTAGGGGCTTCGGGGTGTGGCGGTTTAGGGGTTTAGGCGTTTGGGTGGGTGGATCCCAGGAGCTTGTTCATCTCGCATCCAATGCTCTGGCCTGTGGAGTAGTCAGTGGGGTGGACACACGGCTTTGTGGAGTCTAAGGGTTCAGGGGTTTAGGGTTTACGGTTCAGGGGTTGAGGATTTCGGAATGAAGTTCCCTTTAAGTTCCGGGTTTAGAAAGCCAGATCAAAAAGGAGATGTATAATCTATGTGCTTTTCTGAGCTTCTTGTCAGGCTGGTATAAGTGTGTTTCAGTGAGGCTTCCTTACGAACTTGTATAGGTGTTCCATCAGGCTTTACAGAGGCTCTCCAGGGTCTCAGTCGCAGGGTCTGGAAGGGAACGCCGGCTTTTCGCGCCTGTGGAGTTAGCTTGGCCGACTTCTGAGCCCCTCCGAAAAGTTAAACTTTTAGCCCACGTATTCTGATTCATATAGCAGCCCAGCTCCCAATGGTAAGGGCCTTGGACCTAGGAGACTTAAGGCTTCGTGTCCGTGGACAGCTCGGGAGTGGCCTGATGGCTTCTTGAATTATGAGGTTTAGGGTCTAGGATTCGGGTAACTTCCAGAGCCCCCCAAAACCCTCTTTATTGAAGAGTACCGGCTTCAACTCAAGGTGGGCCCGGATCCTCAACCAGGGGCGCCTAAGACTCCTCAGTAAAGCTGTAAAGGCAGGGGAGGTCCTAAGCTTGATGGTAGAAATCCTGCATTACCTTAACTAGGTTGGCCCCTTAAAGCCTCTAAAAAATATTCGTAAATAGTCCTACTAAGCCCAATAAGGGAAAATACAAAATGTCCCAAAGGCCTACCTAGTTAAGGACCCTAAACTATGGGAATTACGGAATATTCCTTATTGTGGCTAATGCAGGATTAACATCCATCAACCATAGTAAGGAGGCCCTCCAGCCTCGGGCAGAATGGCTTGGAGTTCGCTAGGAAGTGCAGGTACGGCCCGTGCTTCGGTTGATGATATAAATCCTGCATTACCCATCATAGGGAATATGCCGTAATTCCCATACTTTAGGGTCCTTGTGGTAATGCAGGATTTATATCATCAACCGTTTAGATGATGCTGCTGCAGTCCATTACCTCCACCCTATACATCTTCAAACCTTGGCCCAAAGACCAGAGACCCTTACAAAGAGGACTGGGCCAGGGTTGTGGCTAAACCCTAAACCCCCAAACCCTGAACGATGCATCAAAATGTGCTTATCGTAACCCTCAGGATGACGACGAAGGGATATACCCTCGACAGCTGCGCAGAGAAACTTTCTCCTACCTGAAGCAAGGACTGCCTACGGTGTGTAGAGTAACGTGCGGCGCCTGGTTATTAGAGTAGTTGCACATTCTTGTCGAAGTATAGTAAACCCTAAACCATAATCCTAAACACTACACCCGAAAAAAAAACTAAACCATCCTAAACCCAAATGTCTTACAGCGATAAGGAGCCCTAGCGAATGATGTTGGGACTTGCGCCTGCTTGCTTTTTGCTATGGGGCTTCGGGAGTTTAGGATGCGGGGCATCCGATGACTTTGGGTTTCGGGTTTAAGGCTTGGTTTCCACCGGCATCGAAACTTTCAGCATCTCATGAACTTTCTGGAGAGTTCGTGTTTAGAAGTGTAGCTTTGAGATTCGGGCTTTTTGAGCTGGGAGCTGCGGAGTTTTGGGGTTTGGGGTTGAAGGTTAAGAAACCGCCACACCAGAACAGCATACAGAATGCTGCAGCTCTCCTGTGGTAAGATCGGTTGGTGCGATTTTGCCGGATACTCCTAGAAGCACCGTGGTTTGATCCTCAACCCCCCAAAGCCTGAACCTTAAACCCTTGACCCTCCCCGCCACCCCCCCCCCCCCCGGTGGCGGCCTTTTGTGGGGCCTTCTGTAGACAGCGGCGCTGTGGTATTCAGCATCTTCGGCAGACCGCAAGCGCAGCCAGGATGAACCTGTCCGTTTCCCCATGCAGTTTTGACTCACAAGGCATCAGGGAATGCATAATTAGCCAGGATCCATAAAATGATCCAGGGTCTGAGGCCTAGGTAGAGCCTGCAAGAAAGTTTTGATCATTTCTTCTGCAGGCTCTTTCTATAGGACCTGGCCCGGTCTCGGCCTTATCCTAGAGACCGTACAAAGGAGACTATCAATACAATCGGCGGCTCTGCCTAAACTGAAACCCTAAACCCAAACCCTTGATCCCGAAACCCTCAACCCGTCTCACTAATCCCGAACTGTTGAAGGTAGGCCCAATAGGACCCCGGCCTGTCCCGTCACAGAGTCCCGGTCCCCATCGTGATTCTCACAAATGCCTTTGCTGTTCAGTTTTTGCTTGAGATTGTGGGGTTTAACGGGCATTAAGGGTTTCTGTAAGTGTTCTATGAGGGCTTAGTAATTAAGGGTTCGAGCTGAGAGTTTAAGGCTTAAGGGGATTCGCTGAGTTAGCCTTGGGGCCGGGGGTTTGAGTTGAAACTCGCCGCCGCCAAAAAACACACATGGTTTAAAGGGGCTTATAAGGGGACCTGAACCCTAAAAAAAGGGAATAAGGGACTCCAGGTCCAAGGAAAGCTTGCAAACCTCACTGGCAAGATGCCAGCGTGTTGGTTCACTGCGAAAGCACAGATCCAATACACCCGATCGGCCGTGCCTTGCTGCTGCAGAAGCGCCTCCACCGCTCTCCCGAAGATGAAGGAGTCGGTTTCAGGGGTTAGGGGCTCAAGTTTTCAGGAGTAGGGATCCAAAACATTGTGAGTTATTTAGCTGTTCAGGGCTTTAGGTGGCTGCCGAGACCAACGGTTTTCAACCCTTCGAGCCCCTTTTAAAAACCCGGCACATCCCCTCACCTCGAGCACAGACACATCCTCTTCCAGCAGGGCAGCCACGAGCCCGAAGCTACTTTCGCCCACCGCATCAGCAATAACAGCCGCCACCAGATCACGGAACAAATTCCGCCAGGAGTGCGTGACCATTCCTGGGAGGATCGGAAAGATCTGGTACAAAAGCCCCGGCTCCCAAATAGCCCCTCCAAAGACAAGGTGAAAAATACTGCCCAGCTTGAAAATTTTGAGTTTTGAAACGGAGCGCAAGAAGAGAGCTACTTGGGATTCTATGTGGGTGGTTGTCAACATGAGGGCCCCTTTCTGGGTCCGTATTATAAAACGACGGCACTTAATTATTTAGGGTACCCAAGAGGGACCATAATTTTGGCAACCACCCATGTGTGTAGTACAGCCGCCCCTTCAAGGCTCTCCAACCCCAGGAACCCAAAGCCGAAACCCCGGGGCTCTCCGATCTGAAGCCCAAAATGCAAACCCTGCCTGAACTAGGGTTTAGGGCTTAGGGTTTAGGGCTAAAGGCTTGGGTTTATCATACTCCCCGGCCTGGAAACGAGAAAACTGCCTTACACGAAGATCTATGAAGAAGTAGTCTTGAAAGGCCGACAAATCGCGCATCTTTGCATCCAATTGGAACCCAATGAGAACCTCGCAAAACACAACCTAAACCCTATAAACCCTGTACCCAAAGCCAAACTCTTGACGAAGAGTCGGTCAGGCCGACGTGGGCCGTGGATAAAGGTCGCGTAGGCACAGCGCCCCGCGCGGGTCTGCGGGATGATGGCCTGTCTGACCTGAGGCTTCGGGCTTGAAGGATTTAGGGTTTAGGATTTAAGGGTTCAGGGTTCAGGGTTGGCTGAAAGGGCCGAGGCTTTGCTTCAAAGTTGAGGGTTTAGGGTTTAAGGTTCAACACGAAGGGTTAAGGCTTTGTAGGAGTTTTCCGGAGGTCTGTTTTGTTCAAGGGTTTAGGCGTGTGTGTGGGCTCAGCTTTTTCGCCGTTCCACTTCATTTATGTAACCCTTTCATAGCCCTGATAGAACCCTAATCGAATCATAGAACACGTACAGAACCCTTGTAGACACTTGTAGAACACTAAACCTGAACCCCCGGAACCCTAAACCCTAAACCCCTGAACCCTAAAGACCGAGTCGCCACGTCGGAGGTGGTGTGCCGCCCGGCCTGGTAGTGTGGCATCAGCCGGCCGCCGAGGCCTCGGTGTGGAAGAAGGCAGAAACTTCGCGTTCCTTTTTGTTGGGCTTTGAAGGTTCTTTATGGGGCTCCTTTAAATGTTCCTAAAGAAGGGGTCAGTCACTTGGGGGGCTTGTTGGAAGGGTTCCTTCAAGGCTTCCTGTACGGGCTTCAAAAGGTCAAAGTTTCGGGCGTGGGGTTTAAGGTTCAAGGCTTTGGCTTCGGGGGCTGATATGGGGGTCTGTAGAGTTTCAGGCAGTGCTTTAGAAAGCGTTCTGTTCTATAAGGTTTCATTAATAATTGCAAAATTCTCATAAGGGTTTTAACAAGGGCTTCATAAGATGTCCATATAATAAGGGTTGTTGCATCAAAGCTGCATAAGGTTCCTATAGAGTTTCGGCAGTCTTCATAAGGATATTAGGATATTGCGTACGGCGTACGGGCTGGGGACTGAAACGACTCACATGACCTAAGAGACATGCGCATCTACATCTCGTGCGGTTTCAGGATCTTCTCACACTCTGCGTGGAGCTGCTACAGGCAGATGATGCTCTACATAAAATTTGTAAATCAGCAGTAAACCCTGTAGTGCAAAAAACGCACAAACTCACGACGCCTGGGAAGCCCAGCAAAGCTCTTTTGAGACCTTTCGCGACAAACTTGCAAACCCATTGAACATCTCGCTGAAACCCCAAAACCCTAAACCCAAAACCCTAAATCATAAAACCCAAACCCTACAAAACCCCAAGGCTCATAATCCAGGCACTTTTGTAGAAACTGAGCAGAGCCTGGGCCGTGATGCCCCTCATCGACAGCTGTTTGACCTTAGAGTTAGCAGCTCTTCTACACCTAAACCTCCTGCACTTTAGGGTTTAGGGTTCAGTGTTCATAAAACAACAAACGCCACCCCCTCTTACAAAAGAACTACTGCCGACCTTCGCTTGCCATTCAGGAGGGGCTTCAGTCCTGGACATTAAGCTCCGCAGGGGTTCGTTGAGGGTTCGATGAGGGGTTCTGTTTAGGATTTAAAGTTTAGGTTCTACAAGGGTCCTGCAAGGGCTCTATACAAGGTCCTATACGGGCTCCTTTACGGGTTCTAGAAGAGTTCTGCAATTAGGTTCTATGAGGGCGCTGTGAAGGCCTGGGGCCTTTGGCACTCTGGGGTTTGGGGACCAGGTTTTCGCCAATCAGCTTTGGCTTTTTGAAGTTCGCGTTCTAAGCTAAGGATTACGGTTCTGAGCAAAGCATGGTGGGGTACAAGGCAGACCTGGAGCCCAGTACCCTCAGAGGAGCGGATGACAGCAGAGATCCATCACAGCAAACGGATAGACTCTTAGACTGGAGTCACTACAGTATAGGCTTTTCGTAAGGCAAAAAACAAAGAGCCTCAGACCTGAAGAAACCTGGTGCTCCAAAATCCGGAGTCCTTGGGTTAGACTGCTTGCAGAGGAAGCCCGAAAGGAAACACTAACACATTTGCCCTAAACGCTGCCGCGCCTAGAAACCTCAACCATCCTCTGTTGCAGCACCGCTTGGTCCTATACTAAAATTCAGCAGGGAAAACAATTTTAAAAAAAAACACCCAGTCAAGAACCCTAAACCCTAAAGCTGAAGCCTAAACCCTAAACCGCCAAAAAGAAACCTGTGCAGAAAGAACGACGGAGTCCTTGGCAGTGTACGGGAGGTCTTGCGACCCAGGCAGCGCGTGCTTTTGGCCTCCGCCATCGTGCGAGGTTGCCGTTGGGCGTTCCTGGGTGGGTTCAAGGCTGAAGATTATGAAGATCCCGGAACACAAGCCTAGATGGCAGGATCTTCCTGACTATACCAGGACCCGCTGTTCAAGAGTCTCTTGCTTTGTTGCTCTCTTAGCTCTTGCCCCCTCGGTTTAAGGAGTCTTCTTTCGATCGGCGAGCATTCGTGACCCCGTGCCCTAAACTCCAAACCCTACACCGGTGCAAAAGCCTACAAAGCCATGCGCACTGTAGAAACCTCTTAGCCTCCTAGCTAGAACCCTTAACGAAACCCTATAATCCCTCCAAGAAACCCCTTCTGGCTTCCCTACAACGAAACCCTATACTCCCCGTAACGAAACACTATGACTCTCAGTTACTCTCTATATGGAAACCCTACATTTCCCTACAAACAAACCCTACATCCCCGATCGCCAGGACCCAGGCGTCTCCCTTCGTGACAAGCCGCATGACCGATTGCAAAAAAACATAAAACCTAAACCCTAAAGCTTAAACCCTAAACCCCTATAAACCCTAACCCCTAAACCCCATAAACCCTAAACCCAACCCCCTTGAAGACCGTACGCCCGAGCGTCGAGAGGATCCAGGTGCCCAGGGTGTTCCCAAGCAGCACAGCGGACAGGATCCAGGGGAGGGACTCATAGAGCCCATAGCGGATCCTTCGGGCGTCTCAGCTATTTTGGGGGTTTTGGGTTTTCGGGTTTAATTCACACATGGCGGATCTTTTGGGTTTGGGGTGTAGGCTATTTCGGGGTGTAGGGCCCATAGCGCATCTTAGGGTTATCGGCTATTTTGGTGTTTATTTACAGCCCGTAGCGGATCCTGGACCTAGGCTGTTGGGCTTAGGGTTTGGGGGGTGTTTGGCTTGGGGTTTCGAGCCCATTGCACATCCTGTGCTTACGCGTTTAGAAGGGTGTTAGTTAGTCTCAGCTGTGGGGGTTTATGTTGTGTGCCGGTTGTCTCAAACAGCCCCTAGTGGATCCTGGAGAGCTTAACCTTCCTTGAAGTCTTCTATGAAAGGTCCCGATAAATGTTCCAATAGGCGTTCCACAGGGGGTTAAGTGACTTTGTGTCCTTTTTTGTTGTCTGCTGCTTCGGGGACCTGGGGGTCAGGGCAGGGTCCTGCAGATTTACAAAGTCTTAGCGTTGTATGAAGGCTTTGATATAGGGGCACTATAAGGTCGTAGGGTCGTAGAGGGCTTTACACAAGGGTTTAGAGGGCTTAAGTAACGAAGTTAATGGTTCAGAGTTTAGTGCATAACGGTTCTTCGGCTGCTGCTCCAGGTCCTTTGTTGCTATTTTGATTATGGCATGGCCCTTTTATGTCCAACCCGCAGTGCTTGTGGAAGCATAGTACATGCAAACCGACACAGTACCGAGGATATACTCCATTGCAACAGGGACATCCCAAGACCGAATACGATGCGAATCACACTTTCAACAAACGACAACAGATAAGCACAGCAGCACAGGATGCTTCGAACAACCCCCCCCCCCCTCCCCCCCTGCCCCCCCCCCCCCCACAAAAAAAACAACGAACAGATTCAAGCCTTGGACCCTCAACGTTAAGCCTTAAGCCCTGAGCCGAAAGCCCTAAGCCTTGAACTCCAAAGCCGGAAAGCCTGAGAGGGCCAAAATCCCAACGACCCTCCAATCCACTCTTAGGGTTTAGGGATTTAGGGATTTAGGGCTTTAGGGTTTAGGGCTTAAGGCACTATTAAGGACCAGAAGGCCTCTATTAAACGGGTATTTCGGGGGGTCCTGGTGAATCCTAAGACGGCTTAGGGTCTGGAGATTGGGGTTTAGGAGGCTGGCGGGGTTAAGGCTTCGGGGGGGGGGGTTGTTCTTGGGTTAGAAGGGTTTGGGGTTTAGGGTTTAGGTTATACAAACCCTGACAAACAACTTATGAAAACGTGAAAAAACCCTAAATGCACCCTGTGGCCTGTGACTATGAAGCGCTGTTAATCCGGCTAAAGCCCTGTAGCGCCTCAGAAAAACCCTCGTAAACTGAGCTGAGCTACAAATACATCCGCTATACCTTATAAAGGAAACCTAAGCCCTAAACCCGGAACCCTTAAAGTAATCCCTAAACCCAAACCCTAAATTCGAAACCCCATGATCCCCCCCGTGGCCCTTTCCGCCGGGGCACAGCATATTCGCGAAGGGAAAAGACACCAAGGTGCTGGTAAAGCAGAGAGCCACACCCCAGGTCTCCTTCGACTCATTTAAGGCTTTTGGGTTTAGGGTTGGGGTTTAGGGTGTAGGGTGCCAGGTTCAGGGTTTAGGGTTTGAGGTTGACGCTTAGGGTTTAAGCCCAAAGGCGTCGTGCACGCGAGTGCCCTGAACTGTGCGATCCCACCCCAGCTAGCAGAAACCGGTCGAATATTGCTCACTTCTTGCTGCAACACCTTACCCAGCAGAGAGGCCAAGCCATGAAGCATTGTACCTTGGGGTAGGGTTTTAGGGTTTAAGCAACGGATATTCTTCAGTCAGGGAGGCTTCTGCAAAAGACTGTAAGCTTCACCCTCTCTTCCCGAGACCAGAAACCCCAAATACTAGAATCCTAAACCCGAAAGCACTTACAGGTCCTTTGCAACACAGTCTTAACTAGAACCCTTACAGCTATCGATGAACCCCTGAACACTCAACCCTGATCCCCCAAAGCCCTAAAGCCTGAACCCTTCGTATAGGGACCTTAACAATTAGAACAGCGTTTCGGGGGTATACTATGCTGTGATCATAGTAAGGAACCAAAATATAGTAATAGCAACTAACTAACCGTTTAAGCGGGTGAGGGATCAAAAAAAAATTAAATAAGGATCAAAAAAAATTAAATGGAAAGATCAAAAAAATTAAAATAAGGATCAAAAAAAAATTAAATCACTCAAAATACAGCAATTCCTGGGGCAGAGGCATCAAAAAAAATTAAAATAAGGATCAAAAAAATTCAAATCACTTAAAATACAGCAATTCCTAAATTTTTCCAAGGGAAAACACTGTTTTCCTAGGGATTTTCTTTTGTTTCCTTAGGATCTGTTTGGTTTTTCCTCTGGAAAACACGATATTCCTGCGGATTCCGTGGTATTTCCCTCAGTTGTCCTTGATTTTTCGTGGGAAAAAGCTTATTTTCCTATTACCTATGGCGTTCGGTTCATTTCTTCAGGTTTTCAGAAGGACAACATATGGTTGTTCCTCGGGAAAATCAAATTGTCCTTACAATTTCACATTTAGGACGGATTTCCTGTTGTAGATGTTGTTGGTATTCCGCTTCATCATCTATCTTAAACACGCCCCTCATTTGGCGATTCTGGTTCAGCATGTATCTACAAGGGCGGAGACGCCCTCATTTGCTGGGTTTCAAAAAAAGGCATATGCTTCAAAGCAACCCTGCACGGCTTAAAACAACCGGGGGGGTTGGGGGGGGCGCAGCCCCCCCCATTTGCAGAGACAACGTTCACATGATGGGCTTCGAGAACACTCTTTGAATCAAGCTTGCACGTCTCGAAAAGCGCGGCGGCGGGTGTTTTGTTCTTCCGTGCCTGTTCGTGTCTCTTCTTCCGTTAGCATTCTAACCTAATATATATAACATAGTAAACCAGAAGAACGACATAAGATTGTTCGACAACACAAAAATGGTGTGACATTTTCTGACATAACAGAACCTTGCTTCTTATAGCATATAATGGCATACTAAAAATACAACAATACAATATAACAGAAGATGACATAGAACAGAACAAATTCTTAGTTTATAGTGTAGTACATTGTAACATAGTACAATACAGTCTGCATATTTACAACATAATATGTAGTATATTTTATAACATTAGGTTACATTATGTTATATTGTGTTACGGTACATTACGATATTATGGTAAATTCGATTGGACTATGTAGTATCCTGTTGCTTGTATCTTTGTTTCTGTAATTCTTTCATTTTCTTTCTCTTTCGTCTTTTCCAACTTTGCTTTTTTATTCTGGACTTCTTTCTTTCTTTCGCTCGTTCATTTCTTTTCTTTCTTTCTGTTGTTCTTTCTTTGTTCATCTCATACTCCCTTCCTTTCTTTCTTGCTTTCTTTCTGGTTTGATTTATTTCGTTCTTTCTTTGGTTCGTTCTTTCGTTCGTTCTTGGTTTCGTTCTTTCTTTCGTTTTTGCTTTCGTTCTTTCGTTCTCTCTCTGGTTCTATCTTTCTTTCTTTCTGTTTTCCTTTCTTTCGTCCTCTTTAGATACAGCAATTTTTGAACTTTTCCCAGGGGAAACACTGTTTTCATACGGATTCGTTTTCATTTCCTGCGGATTTGCTTGGTTTTTGCTCGGGAAAACACGATTTTCCTACGGGTTCCGTTGTATTTCCTTAAGTTTCTTTCTTTAGTTCTTGCTTTCGTTCTTCCTCTTGTTTTTGCTTTCGTTCTTTCGTTCTCTCTCTCGTTCTTTCTTTCTTTCTGTCTTTCTTTCTTGCTTTTTAGATACAGCAATTCTTGAATTTTTCCAAGGGATAACACTGCTTTCCTAGGGATTTTCTTTCGTTTCCTAAGGATTTGCTTGGTTTTTCCTGTGGAAAACACGATTTTCCTACGGATTCCGTTGTATTTCTCTAAGTTTTCTTTGGTTTTTCCTAGGAAAAAGCCTATTTTCCTATTACCTACGGCGTTCGTGTCATTTCTTCAGGTTTTCCGAAGGAAAACATACGTTACCTAGCTTATTCCTCGGGAAAATCAAATTTTCCTTACAATTTCGCATTTAGGACGGATTTCGTGGTGTAGTTGTTGCTAGTAGTGTTGTTGTTGGCGTTGTGGTTGTAGGTGTAGTATGTTGTAGTTTTTTATAGCTTTCTTTATTTACTTAGTTCTATATTTTTTGTTTTCTTTCTTTACTTATAGCTTTCTTTATTTACTTATTTGTCTATTTCTTGCATGGCTCTCTTTCTTTGTTTATTTCTTTGAAGCGATAGTCTTACGTATCGTTCTTCTTTATTTTCCGCGTCTTTCTTGTTCCTTTAACTATGTCTGTTTTTCTTTATTAATTTATGGCCTTCCGTCTTTCTTTATTTCTCTGTTTTTGTTCTTTGGTTATTTCTTCATTGCTTGTTTTGTTTTTGTTTCTAACTCTCTTTGGTTCTTTCCTTGTGTGTTCTTTTTCTTTCCTTGTAGCTTTCTTTATTTACTTAATTATCTATTTTGTTTTCTTTCTTTACTTCTAGCTTTCTTTATTTACTTATTTCTCTATTTCTTGCATGGCTTTCTTTCTTTCTTTCTTTATTTCTTTCTTTCTTTATTTCTTTCGTTGTTTCTTTATTTCTTTATTTCGTTCTTTCTTTCGTTCTTTCTTTCTTTCTTCCTTGCTTTCTTTCTTCCTTCCTTCCTTTCTTTCTTTCTTTCGTTCTTTCTTTCTTTCCTTCTCTCTCTCTCTCTCTGTCTTTCGTTCCTTCCTTTTTCCCCTTCCTGTCGCGGATACCCGTTTAATTTGTTTTTGATCCTTATTTAAGTTTTTTTTGATCCTTATTTAATTTCTTTGATCCTTATTTAATTTTTGTTTAACCCCTATCCCGTTTAAGCCCGCACATTACCAACCGATCTGGGGAGGTGTCCTTTCTCATCGCCCAGCGCGCTCGCTTCAGCGCTTGGCACCCGGAGTCTTTGATGATTTCAGTGAAGCACGTGCGCTCCTTTTTGTGTTCAGTCTGTTCAGGGTATTCCAGGGTTTGGGGCTTGCAGTGTTAAGGGTGTAGGGAGGGTTTCGGACTTATTAGAACTATGCAGGTTTGGGACTTACACGGGTGCAAAGAAGCTTCATTTTCGTGGGAGTGTATTAGGGCTTCAGGTGGTTAGGGGTGTATAGGGCGTTTAGGGTTTGGGGCTCAGGGACGAGAGCCCCACAGGATGTAGAGCTTGCGTAGGCTTGAGGCTTTGGGCCTAGTGGTTAGGGCTTGTCCAGTACCAAGACTCCGCAACCACCCTGGCTGAGTGCAGACTTTCCAGCACCTGCCGATATGCAAACCTCAGCGTGCAGCTTTTTTTACGGCTTCGGATTGGAGTTGAAGGCTGCATTTGAGATGAAGTTTGGCTACATGAAAGCCAAAGGCCAACTCCAAGAGAAGGCCGAGTAGTAAAGCTCGAGACGTCACGCAAGACACTACCGTTGCAAGCAAGCTTTCTGAAGCAAAAACAGCCAACTCGAAATCATAAAGACCTAAATACAACCCGTGAAACAGCATCGCGAGAAATTCCGCGATGAATGAGCGTCCAGAATCTCAAGCTGACCCGACTCAGGCTTTCGAGGTACAAGATCTTCACACAGAGCCAGACGGCAGACGCGTAAAGTAGGATAGCGCAGACCTGTGGGATCTTTTGCCTATAGCAAATATACAAATAGATATATATGTGTACGTATATATATATATATATATATATATATATATGGCAGGGTGTTTAAGGCTTGAGACAGTAGGGTCTAGACTTTCGCAATACTTTACAGGTTATCTTAGGCTTTAGAACAGCCAGGTAAAATGTTGCTTTCGGTTTTTCAAGCCCGCACCTCTTGCAGGTGTAGGGTTGCGGGTTTGTGTTCCGGTGCTTAGGAGTAGAGCTTCGGCTTGTCTTAGCGACTTAGTGTCTTAGGATCTTACGGTCGGAGGTGCTTGGTTCTGAAGCATCAGGGTCCCTTTCGGGTCTTCGGGTGCTAGTGAACTCGAAATCACAAAAGGCAGAAACCCTAAACCCTAATGTTCTAGTGCAACATCCACCTGTGCGTAGTCCTCCCACCCGGCGTGTGTCCACACCAGGCTCAAATTAAGCACTTGCCCGGCAGTGTAGACAGTGCCAATCGAGCAGAACCTGCGATGGGGATCCGACCATAACGATGAGGGTAGTGACTCTTGACAAGGGAGTTTTGTGCAAAATAGTGCAAAGGAAATCTACCAGCACGCTACTGCATCGTTTCTACTAGCCTTGGTATTTGTCGTTGCCCTAACGACTCCTTGTGGTCTTGCTACTCCTGCGACTGCGACTAGTTTGATTGTAGAAACTGCTCTGAGAGTACAATGTGTGCTGTGTTGTGTTTCTTCCTCACCTACGCACTGTGGCAGCCACTGCTGCAGTCAGAATCCTCTCGCTGCCAAACCGTGCCGATAAGAACCTGGTAGCTGGCAATATGAACATCGAGATCATAGCGGCTATCATGACTGTCATATGGCTTATATAGAGGCCTTAATTAATGATTGGCTATACTATTTTGTTTTTTTTTCGGGGGGTCCCTTATTGTAACTATAGGAGAATATACCCCCCAAACCCAGTTCTAATCATTATAAGGCCAGTGTGCGGTCATCATGCTCATAGGGCCTGTCTTCATTGCTCCTCCTCCTCCGCCACCCCCCAGAATAGGTATACAAAATAAGGGCCCTAAACTTATAAAAGGCTACTATTCTGCATACTTTTAGGGTCCAGGCACCACCACGACCATTACTACGACAACGACGACCACTATTGGGACTGACTGCAGCTCTGACTACTCCGACGCTGTAATACTGGCAATCAAGGTCGGGGTTCAGGGTTGGCAGTGGTGTAGACGGTTTAGGCTGTCTTCCCGTTTAGTCCTGGCTGCTAACGCCAAAAGCCCTAATGCCCAAAAGGACCTAAGACCTCCAAGAACAAGGCCGAGAGGCAGCTTCATCAAATGAGGGATGAAAGCATGGCCAGCAGAGCTTTGGAGTGAGCTGAGCCGCTGGACAGACAGGAGAATCAGTAAGATATCTTGAACCTGTGTTCGCTCCGGCCATTTTTGGGGCTTAGGGTTTAGGGTTTAGTAACGTCTCCCCTTAAAGGTTTAGGATTCAGGGTTCCGCAGAATGGATTCTGTGTGAAGCACTGGCGCGAGGGCACAAAAGGTGCCTTGAAGGGAAAGGTGTGCCAAGGCTGGGTACATTGGCCTACTTGTAAGTAGGTAACAAGTCATTAGAGTTGTAAGTACCCGAAAAGGGATCCTAACTGGGGTGATTGTGCTCATAACTCAAAAAAATTAGTACTTACTGAGACCCTCGACCCTCTAAGTGGGGGGAGGGGGTACCATTGTTGGGGAACACGGACCGCATACACATATCGAGGTTCCGAGCTGTAACACTTTTTCGTGTGAGGTCGTAGGGGTCTTGTATATTCTGCAATAGCGTTTACAAGCTGGTTTTTCCAGTATCACCTTCATAGACAGCAGAGCCCAAAGCAGAATCAGGTAAAAGCTTGCTACTGGGCAACCCCAAGCCCAAACCCTTAACCTGAAACCATAAATCCTAAACCATAACCCCTAAACCCTAAACCCTCAGCCCAAGCCCAGGCACCGGGTGGAGGAGTTCGTTGGCCAGAAGGCTTGTTCTCCATTGCGCTCTTCCCCTGCCTTCGTAGACCATCTCCTCATCAGTGGTAGTCTGGGGAAGACAGGGTTTGGATTTAGGGTTTAGTAATTTAGGGTTTAGAGACCATCTCCTTGTCAGTGGTATCTGTGGAAGACGGGCTTTGGGCTTTGCTGGTTGTTGTCGGCTCTCGCGGGTGTAGGGATTGAAGTTGAGGGCTTAGGGTTAAGGGACCATCTGCTGAGCTCTTCGACCAGTGAAGAAGAACCCTAAACCCTAAACCCTAAAAGCCTAAACCTCCAAAACCCTGAAAACACCCTAAAATTACCCTAAACCCAACAAAACCCCAAACCTTCCTGGCTTGGGGGCTTCGGGCTTCGGTCTTCGGGTTCAGGCCCAGGGTTCAAGGTTGGCCGTCGGGTAGTAGGAACCCGATGGTTTAGGGTTCCTTGAAAGGGGTCTATAAGGGTTACTGTACAGGATCTATAAGGGATCTGTAAGGGCACTGTAGTAATGTAGGAACCTTATTAAGAAACCTTGGGCCTGTATTAGGGTCCCCTTGTATGAGTCCTACTATTTGGGGGGTATAGGCCCAGGGTTCCTTAATCGGGTTCCTACATTAGCAGGAACCCAAGAACCGAAAACAGAAAAACAACAAAACAGGATACCTCTGATCAACCTGGGCTCCATATCCTGGATCCCATCTGTCTGTACCAGACCCAGAATCCAGGTACACAGCAGAAAGCCAGCCGTGGACAGCGAGTGCTTCGTTGAAGCTCTGCTGCAGAGGTACATCCCGGCAAGTCCCGGGATTATGCTGCAGCCCACCATGAGCACAGTGCGCTCGTCCCATTCGTTCTCCTGCGTGTCGATTCGGGTTTACTTAGGATGGATGCCCACATCGGAGCCCGCTGCCAGCCTTTATGTGGTAATTCTGGCTAGTTTTATCTGCCGTATTACTAACGTCGTTGTAGTTCTGCTTCGTCTTCTTTATTCTGTTGCTACTATTGTTATTGCTATCATTATTCCCATTACCACGACTAAAATATTGTAAGTAGTGCGATGATGATGGTAATTAATACGTGATTATGGGATTCTGGGGGTTGTCAAGATTGGGGTCCCTTTTTTGGGTCCGTATTATAACACGGCACCTAATATTTAGGGCACCCAAAACGGTACCATAATTTTGACATCTACCCATATGGGCAGTCGTCAGAATAGGGGTCCCTTTTTAGGTACCCCAAATTATAGGTGCTGTATCATAAATGGGTACCCAAAAAGGGACCCTATTTTTGACAACTACCCATCTATATAGTAAAGCGATTTTCCGCAAGTGGGGGACCCGAATAGATTACCCTAAATAGTAGGATCCTTCTTATAAGGAGCCCAAAATAAGGTGCCCCCTACTTCTCGGAAACCCCCCCATCGAGTCTCCAGGATTGCCATGACAAGCCAAGAGGTGACCACCACAGTGCCGATTCGCAGCGTCGCTTTCAGCAGCATGCAGAAGACCTCTGTTTGCGGCTCAGGCTACTCCAGAGACTGCAAGAACTTTTAGGAAAGATCCATGCATGATCCTAAACTCTAGACCCTGCAGGACATGATACGGGTTTGTAGATGAAGATCCCTTGTTGGGCTTCTTCTCGGGGCTTCAAATTAGAACATCCCTTCAGGCAGGATGCGGAGCCCTACTCTAGTTTACTGCATGCTCCCTGCTTAGCCCCAAACCCAAAAGGCCTAAACCGTAAACCTAAGGGCAGGAGTGCAGATCGGGGATCTAGGCACACACACCCCGCGGACTTTCTGAGACACTCGATGTACTCTCCACCCCGATACCTTGAACGCCACTGCAGCCTCGGGGGGCCTGCAGAGTTTCAACAGGATTGTCGGGAAGGCCAATACCAAACCCCAGAGTACAGACCGCAAAGCCTTAATCCCAAACCCTAAATCCAAAACCACTAAGCCCCTAAACCTGTGATACCCTGAAAGGACACCGGAAAGTAACCCATAAGGAAGAAACCCGAAATTCCACAAGTCCAAACAAAAATTAAGGACCAGTGGCTCCGGAAATCGTGTTTTGCCGACCTTCCGTGGTACTTCTGCTGTGGCTTGAGGCCTCTTCTCGCCAATCTTCGGCCTATCAGGGTTTGAGCCAGGGCTGGAGGTTATTTAGGGTTGGGGGTTCCATTACCCCTGCCCCAATCCCCGGCGTTAAAACTTGGTGGTTTCCAGGGCCTTCTGATCATGAGGATTCCGGGCTCGGCTTGAAGAGCGCAGGGTTTAGGGTGTAGGATTGTTGGCGTAATCTTTGGGGCTTGGGGTTTTGGGCTTAGGGTCTAAAGTTTAGGGCTCCGGTTAGCTTGCAGGACTTGCGAACCCTGCGCATAGAAAAGCCCGTACACCCGAATACGAGGTCTTCATAGTGCAAAAAAGTATTAGACAGTAACCCTAGATTTCAACACCCCTGATCCGCCTCAACCTCCATCCACGAAAGCCCAACCCTGGACCCTAAACTCGGCACAGAAAGCCTAAACCCTAAACACAGTCCTTGGAGCTATCATGTCATGGAGCCCCCTCAACCTTCCTATGGGGGGCGGGGCGGAGGGGGGGAGGCTTGAATAAAGTAATTTGATGCAGTTTGCATTTCTACATCTTGGCGTTCTGACAGAACACCCCAACAACCTGGTCTCATTTCTGAGGCCGCCATGCAGAGCCCAAACCCTAAACCCCTAAACCCTGAACCCCTAAACCCCAAACCCTGAACCCCAAATCCTGAACCCTCAACCCTGCAGCTGCCCCGGCAAAGACACTGAATAAACCCCACAATCCGCGTTCACGACTCCGCGTCCTTTGCTAGTTAGGTCTTTGGGGTTTCGGGCCACGGGGCGCCACAAAAGTTGGGGTGCGATACAGGTTCTGCACAGGATCTATAAGTCTATAAGTGCTCGATCAGAGTTTTATTAGTAGCTCCCTTGAGGTAGCTCTCTAAATCCGGGCCGCTTTTTCGGTCCCAAGTGTATGAAAAAGACCCGACAGGCGATCCCAATCTAGAGAACTGTAGGGTTTCGGCTCACAAAAACCTTAAATCCCTAAAGCCCTAAGCCCCTTATAGAAGCCTATAGATCCCTGAAAAAGAAGCCCTTAAAGGAACCCATAAGCCCTAAGCCCTAAACCCTACGGGATTTGGAGCTTCAGTCTTGCCGTCTCACCTTTCAGGATGCCCAGTAACCTAGGAATAAAAACGGCTCCCTTTAACTTTATAAGGAACCTAGGACTGCAACCCTAAACCCTAAACCCTGTTTGGTATTGGATAACTTTATAATGAACCTAGGACTACAAAAAAGGGAATAAGGGTACCACTGGGCATCCTAGCCTTTTCAGGTCGACCGATGGCCATTGCCACCGGAAGCGGCAGCTCCTCAAAAGGTTTAGGGTTTAGGGGGTTTAGGGCTTTAGGGGTTTAGGGTTTATAGGGCTTAGGGTTTAGGGATTCGGGCTTTAGGGGTTTAGGTTTAGGGTTTAGGGATTGTTTACCTCTAGTCTCCATTGTAGTTGCTTATTTTGGGGGTTAACCAATTTTATATCAAAGGATCTTAAGCATAAAATCGCTAACGAAAAGAGAACTATATAGCACCTGAACATTTAGAATAGAATCTGGGGGCGGGGCATAGTATAGCATGCTTATACTAAGCAATCATCAGGTATGGTATAGGACTAGAGAATTAGAATAAGGTCTGGGGGGGCATAGCACAGTAAAACTAACTAAGGAACTTGAAGGAATAATACTTAGCAACTAGAGCGTTGGTTCAGTCTCTACGTGTGGCGATAACATCGGGTGTAGCTCAAAACCGAGCTGTTGCTGATTCAGACCCCAGTATCAGAGAAATTCCCGTTTGACGTTGATGACATTGAGATGTCTTCAAAGAAAACCATTAGGGACCCTAGTGTGGACACTAAAACATGTCCATAAAGACGCCGTTAAACCCAGAAACGCCTCATTTTCGAAGAAACCCCATCTTCACCCTAAGCCCTCAAACCCAAAACCCTAAAAGGCCCTATGTTGATCTATAGACCCTTCATAGTACCCTTCTGGAATCACAGTTTGAGCCTGGCCCTGATAGAGGTGGGTGGATTATGTGGTTTAGGGAGGACGACTCCTCAAATCTTGCGACCACGATAAACAATCGTAACAGCCCGGGGCCCCAATCAACAAAACAACAATCAGAAGAACAAGAAGAAGTAATCATAATAGAAGCAGAGCAACAGGAGGAAACAGTTTCATAATAATTACCGCGAGTATAACTATACCGTATCAAAGTCTAAGATTGAAAGATCTGAAAAACCGAAGCAGTCTCCTCGGATTCGGATGGAACAACTTGCAAATCTCCAGGGGCTGCGGGTGGCTGCGCCATGCCAGCTCCGCACATAACTCCGCCGCTACGAACTGGGCGGCCCTATGTCCTAGACCCTGAATCCCAACTCCTGCTTTGTGCTACATCAAGCCTAGTCCCACCATGTGGCTTTCTGCTTGCGAAAGCAACATATTCGGGACGCTTTTTATTCGAAACCCTGAAACCCAAAACCAAAGATCTCTTTCAGAACTCATATAGAAACACATCTCTATAGAAGCACATAAAGGAAATGTTAGGATGAACACGGCGACTTATTCGAGCCACTACATTACACCCTGAAGCTGTGTGCCGTGTGACCCCTATTCTGGGTCCAACGCCCTCGGTTGGGGCTCGAGCCGGTTCGGATGTAGGATTTAGGGTTTGGGTTTCGGTTTAGGGTTTGGGGTTTAGGGCCTCCGACCCCTCGACATTCTGCACTACAGCCCTTCATCGTCAAATCCTCATTGCCCCGCAAGAGGTGACCTTGCATTAGCGGAAGCCCCACTAAGGGGACTGTGAGAGTACCTACAAATTTCGCCTATTTTGCAGACCTTGCTGCTTTAGGGCTCTCGGGCTATAGGGCTTGGGGTTCGGGGTGAGCACGATCCAAAAATTGGAGAAGCCGTCACAAATGCACGTGTTTAGGGTTTAAGGTAAAAGCCGATAAATAAAGCGATGCGGTGCTCTAGAAGACCCGTAAGAATGCCATACAGGGTTCAGTGTCATATAGGGTCCTGAACAATAGCAACGTATCCTTGAGATGATGCTTACAGTATAATACCACGAACCCTCTTCTAGCTCTCAAAATGAAAACCGATGTTGAAACTCCATAATTAAACCCGGACAAGCCCTTCAAAGGAACTCTGTGAAGGACCCTCTTCAAGCAATTCAGGCCCCTAAAGTAAAGGGCTCAGGGTTTTCAGTTCGCTGAAGGTTGAGGTCTCCAGCATTGCTTGGGGGGTCGGCAGACTTACTCGGCAGCTAATTGATGGAGTTTTAAGTGATAAGTTATCAGTATCATAACCTCAATTAGGCTAACCCCAATTAGGATGCGATCTAGCTCTACTTACTACCTACACTGACTAAGTCCCCCTAAACCCCAAAAGCCTTCAAGGAAGCCTATATAAGGCTCTTTTTCTTCGTACTTACCTGCCAAGTCCCCCGACCCTCCAAGTAGGGATCATCTTTCGAAGCTGTGCAAAGGAGTCGAGGGCTTAGCGTTGGGACTTAGGGTTTGGGAAATTGGGGTTTAGAGTGGGAGTAGGCTTTAGGGTTTAGTGTTTAGAGAAGGGTTTAGGGTGTAGGGGTTTAGGGTTTAGAGAATTAGGACGAAGTGTTTCGGGTTTAAGGGTGGGTGGGAACCAGGACTGAGCGTTTAAGGTTTAGGGAATTAGGACTGAGGGCTTAAGGTTCAGGCTAGCTGAAGGTTTGACTCAGGGGTTAAGGCTCCTTCACTCCGAGCTTCTAAGCCCTCACCTGCAAACCCCCGTAGCAGAAGCAACCTGCTAAACTTGAACCCTTAACCATACAGCCTGCCCTGAAGCCCAATTAATCCTCCAGCCCTGAACCCCGCAGAATCTCAACATCTGAGCCCCAAGCACCCCAAAACTGAACCCAAAAGGACCCAAAAGGCCCGGAACCTGAACACGCCATTAGAACCCCAAACCCTCTGAAAGACACCCCAGCAAGGCACCTTGGCGTTCTCCCGTTCCACCCGTCGCTGGTCGTTGGCATCCCGGTGCGCGGCATAGCGGCGGTCCGCCTCTTCGATGCGCTTGAGAACATCCTCGGCTCATTGCGATACAATGGATGGTCAGGAAGCCTTCACACATTCGCTACAATCTTAGAAGCACCCATCAAACCCTACAAAACCCTATGAACGAATGTACAAGCACATTGACATATGAACCCCTACAGAATCCTAGATGCTGAACCCTAAAGCCGTTGCTTTACGGTGTTCGAAGGATCCGTTGGCCAGCCTTGGCGGCTCTTCTCGAGGAGTTCCTCTCGGAATTTGCGTGTAATGTAGGGGCCTTGCCTCTTTAAAGGGGTCCATAAGGGTTACTACAAGGGATCTATAAGGGTACTATGATATAGGGGCCTGGATAATCAGAACAGGGTTGGGGGGGTAGTTATCATAAGGAAGCCCCAAAATAGTATAGGCAATTTTAGGGCCTCTATTAGAAGTAGGGTTTAGGGTTTAGGGTGGCTGTTGGATTTTCCAGAGGTTTAGAATTGAAAACTTGTTCGGATGTTTATGGGGAATTAAGGGTTTGTGTACTGTTCTTCTGGATTTTTGTAGGTTCGAGAATCTCATTAAGTAAGCAATGTACCTAGGCGTTCTGGCTCCAGGTAAGGTGTAGTTTCCCTTTGAGGTCCACCTTTCCGTTGCCAGGAACCCACGTGCGGCCCTAGAGAGGCCCACTTCATCCGTCTCCGACCCCTTGCGACTGGGGGAGACGGTCGATCACTAGTGCTGTACGCTCGGCGAGGCACGCTTTTTGTTATCCCCTCCTTGTGAGGCTGGATCTTGGGTTGGAGGCCCTCTCCTCCCGCATACCTCGCTGTACCTTTAGGAGGCGAGGTCACTGGTTTTTCCCCTCTTTCTTTGGAGGCTGGAACCTTGGTGCAAATTCGTGGATGCTTTTCTGGGCCCTTGCAATCCTCATCCTTTTCAGGTGTGGCTACGTTCTGGGGCTTCAGGAGGGCCAGAGAGCCCTCGTGGCACCGCCGGAAGCGGAGACACCGTACCTCTGCCCGGACGATTTTGCGGACCTATCTCACAGGCGTTCGGTATTCAGTGCCTGTGATAAGTGGCGCCATTGCTGGTTTGGAACTGCACCACTCTGCGAGCACCCTACCAGCTCTTGCGCGCCAAAGACTGGAGCGACAGCTTTCCAACAGGACAATGAGTCAGTCTTGGAAGTGCGGGTGCGGGAGTCTGAACAAGCACTCCGCATCCTTTTGCCCAGCGTGCGGAACGCCTTGGCAGCGTGCGAGAAGTGCCTCCCCAAGGCAGAGAGGAGGACAAGAATGGACTGGCTGGGATGCATCTTATGCCCAGCCGAGCCAGCCGAGGCCATGGCGAGGACCCGAACAGCGACCATACTCGCCGAGGAAGCGGCGAGGAGGGGGGCAGCAACGCCCCCAGGGGGCGCCCAAAGGACAGGCGCCGAAGGGAGGACAGCCGAATGGAGGCAAGGCCGATGGGAAAGGCAAAGGCAAGACAGCGCCAGCGCAGGCGCCTGCCCCTTCCTCGGCAGACCTACCGCTGGCTCCGACTGCAACGACGCCGTCGCTCCCGAGAAAGCCGGCCGACACCCAGGGCCTCAATGTGCCTCCGGAGAAGGCGCAGCTAGAGGCCCTGATGACAGCTCTGTCGGCGGCCGGCACGTCAGTGCCGGAATCTGTGCGAGCCCTGGTGGCGGAACATCAGCAGGCTTCGGCACAGGGGATAGCCCGGTCACTACACCGCGCGGTTGCGGACCAAAGCCGTGCCAGGGCCGAGCTACAGAAGGTACGAACTCATCGTTCGCAGTACCTCACTTCGTGGCGGGACTACATCGACCACATCACAACTCTCCTGGAAAAGCAACTGACGGAGCAAGACGAGATCCTGGACAAGTACAACACTGCAGAGGTGGACTGGATCTCAGCGGAGAGGGAAGCCACACTTGCGATTTCTCGCATGGCTTCCAAGGACAACGCAGCCCCGGAGGAGGACCAGGACATGCTGGACTCAGAAGCTCGTGCCAGCGACGCGGCCGAAACCGAGGCGAAGCTGCGTATGGAAAAGGAGCAACAGCAGAAGGCGGGACAGGAACTACATGCAGCTCTCCAGGTCGCCAGGCGACAAGCGGAGGAGCACCTGTCTGCCAGCAAACGGGAGGGTTCACGCACCCCAAGGCGACGCAACGAAAGTGCGGAGCCAGGCGAGGTGGACCTGACCCAAGACGGCCAGTCGGTGCAATCTGGTGCGGCTGCTACGCCCTTCAAGCTTGGAGGGCCAGCTGTCTCCAAGGAGACAGAACAGCAGCACCCTGGCAAGGCCTAGGCGCAGCAGCTGCGTATGGGCCGCGACACAGTGTCTTGAATGAACCCGACTGCATGGGACCTTTGGCTTGCCGGCTCCTGGGAATCGCGCACAGCTTCGATGTTGCCACGCAGTGGTGCTTGCCTGATGGGATGTATCATACTCGCTGGCAAGATGCGCGTACACATCCCGGGTCTTACACTTCGCTCTTGCTGGATCATTACACCAGTGGAACACTCTCACTGCCCTGTGACCCCGAGCAGGCCTCTGCATGCGCTACCGGTGCCTATTCTTCCTCTTTCCAGATTCTGGCCTGTCACATGGTTCCGACGGCTGTCGAGTCTGATGCAAAGGGAGATAGGCCTGGGGCCAAGCTGCGGAGCTCTGCCGTGAGGCCAGGATTTTTGAGCGAGGCTGTACAGTCTGTACAGACTTATTGTAATATATGTACAGAAAGGCGTAAGTGCGTCAGGTTTCAGCTCCTTCCCGACGTCAACTTATACCCGGTAGGGCAGCGACTCCGACCCTACTCCAAGCCCTCTCGGGCTCACCGGCCTCTGAGCATCCTTGCAGCTGACCACCACCACGCAACGGTCCCTCCTAGGGCTGCCGCTCCCCCAACTCTGCCGTTGGAGGTTTGCTCTCTATTCGAATGGTGACTCAGGCGGACCAACACTGCACTGCTCTTCCTCCGCAACCGGAGGTTCTTTTCCCCAGGCCTAGGTCAGCTGGTGTGCCACTTGCCGAGAGCACCCACCCTGCTTTGCGTGTGCCGCCCGTTGCGTGCACCGCACAACACCCTGCCTGCCTACATTCACAGGTGCGAGGTAAGTTCCCCAAGGCAGCGGTTCCAAGGCAGGTCCCTCCCAGTCCTCCAGGTGCAAAGGAGGTACCACGCTCTCTGGGCAAGTCAGGCCCGGCCAGGCCATCCGACATCAGCAGAATCTGTGCAGGGCCAGATACGGTCCTCCCGGAACATTTGGCACTGTATCCGGTCAATGCCATTTCTGTTGATCAGATGGGGCTTTTTGCCATCGAACCTGGCCACTCCCGGAACCCGTTACGATTCTCGGTGTTCGATCGACTGCGTCATCATCAGCAACGAACTGCTGCAAATGATTGGACGCTGCAAGACCTTGTTACGGAGGCTGTGCGCACAGCAGGTGAACGCATCAGATCTGTGCACATCCTCACCAGTTTCCTGCCGGATTTGGCGGTGCCACAGCTCGTGCTCACGCCGGCGGACGCCGCGATGGGCCACCTTTGCGTCCCCATTGACACGCGACCCCATGGTGGTCGGCCCTGCACGCTCTTGATGCGACCAGGCATCACTGCGCAGGAGGTCATCGAGCTAGCCTGTCAGAACTGTCCGGCAGGACCCGCCTTTGCGCTTGCGTGCGAACCAAGGGACTGTTTTCTCGTCGACGCTCAGGGTCACATTTGGGATGAGTTGCCAGCCGATTTATCCCAACTACAGTGGCTACGCATTCAGCCCACCGGGGGACAGGATGCCGCACCGGCGACCTCCACTACCAGCACCACAACAACCTCTGTCCAAGAGCCCTCGGATTTGTCTGAGCTTGAGCAGAGCCTGTTACGTGTTGATCCCACTCTCAGGCTCGTTTTGCCTGGAGAGTTACAAGGTGTTGAGTTGTCACCGAGGGGAATTCTTCATGTGATGCTGCGTACCGTGTGCCTCTAACACGCATGCATATGCTGCCCGACATGTGCCCGTCACCCAATGTGGGGAGCATTTCCAGGTCGGTGACTTTCACTGTATTTGTTGCCACGCATGCTCCGTTGTCAGTGCAGGGCAGTGTCGATTGGACGCTGATTGATTTTATGCGGGCAGGCGCGCAATTTGCAGAGGCCCCTCTGCATCGACTGCAAATGCTCACTGCAGCTGTCCCAGGACTGCCAACGCCGCAGGTTGTGATTACCGAAGGCACGGAAATTGGCGAGTCCACTGTCATTCCGATTGATTTACGCGGAATGGGACAAAGCGTGCTGCCCCTCTTACTCCCACCCGAGTTTGACCGGGCCTCTGTGCTCGAGGCCATCGCGTTGGCTGTCCCACAACTGCGCGCTGCTCTGGATGACCCTTCGCGACGCCCAAGGGCACATTTGGGATTGCCTCCCGGCCAGTCTGTCCTCCATCCAGTGGCTCACTCTGTCACATGCTCCTGTCCCTTCGGGTCATCTTGACCCTCTGCGCCTTGAAGAAGTTGTCGACGGGACTGTCAGTGACGAGGCTGGTCTAATGCAACTCACGGCTGCCGGGGTCGCGCATGTTTCGCGCCCAGCACGCGACACTACAGTTGGGTTGCCTTCCCCGCTCAACGGCAAATTTGCACCTCGCAGCACAGGGTTGGCTGACTGCCCGCGCATGTCACCCCCAGGCCTCCTTGGCAATTTGGGTCCTGTGAGACCCACGCTTTCGGCACCCAGCGTCGATGGCCGCATACGCCTCTTTCCACGTGACCTTGCGGATGCACCTGTGTGCGACTTCCCGGCAGCCCAACTCTTGCTTTGCACGGCGGATCAGCACCACCCCAGGGCCCGCCGCGCATACAGCGTGCTCGACCGTCTCCACCACCACCACCTGCGGCGTGCCGCGGCGGACTGGACGGTAGCCGACTACATCAAGGATGCGGTGACCTCTTGCAGTGAAGAGGTCGCGGCTGCCCAAATACTTGAGACGCCTATTCCAGCACTCTCGGAGCCACAGATCGTGCTTACACCAGCAGGCTTCCTGCCAGGTACCATGGCCGTACCCTTCGACTTCAGAACTTTGGGTGGGGGCATTTGCACGCTCCTCCTTCAACCTGGCGGCAGCCTGGCCCAGCTTTGGTCGCTCCTCGAGGAACACTGTGCTACCCGCATGGGCCATCGCTGGCTCGATGTCGAGCGTTACATGATCTTCTTCCAGAGTGCTACCGGGCAGGTGCTGGATCAGCTGCCGACTGATCTTTTAGAGCTGCAGTGGATCCGAGTCCTTCTGGATCCTCGGGCACACTTGCGCTCTCACGTGAGCGCCACAACAGGCGCAACGACCACTGCCACAACCACCCTGATGCAGCCCAGGCCGACTGTCACAGCTGTGACGGTCATTCTGGCAGGAGGCGGTACTGTCGTGCGTCTCAATCCTCAACCCATCGACAGCCTCGACCTGCAAAGTGCTCTCACCGAGCTTCTTCTTGTGCTGGCCGTGCGGGGTCGCATTCCGCCGCACCCAACAGTCATGGTGAGTGCATCCTGCCCGCGACTACCTGCCTCGCGCAACCACCTGCTTGTCACCTTTCTTCTGTACGACGGGCAAAGCCGTGATGTGCACATTTTGTATGATTCCTCGGCAGACGCTTCCCTTCTGCAAGTTATGACTCTTGAACCGGGTACACTCACCGAACATCTCCTGGCGGAGGGGCAGCGCCGCCGCGGGATGGTTGTGGCACTCAATGGAGTCGCGCAGGCGTTTAGCAACCGGGCCATTCGCCGCTCGAAGTGCATGCCATTCCATTGGATAGTTTGTACTTTATGATCCCACGCTTGCGGTTGTTTGCTGTGCCCGTCACTCTGGCACATTTCGTGACTCGACCAGCGCTCCTTGTCACGGCCGAGGCTCAGGCAAGCTGTCGGGAATCGATCTCTTTTGGTCTTGGGCTGCGCTTAGCTGAGCATCAACGGCTGCTCGGGGTTCCTGGCGAGGGCAGCCAGGCCATTTTTGTCTACGGACCGCACCACCCAACGATGCAGCTATATCTCCCGTCAACCCTGACACCGGACTTCTTGTCCACGGCAGAATTCCTCTCAGGACTGCTATCTGTCTTTCCCCCGGAGACAACTTGGGCTGACCCCGAGATGATTGCGTGGTTGGCGCCCTCCTTCGTGTCAGTGCCACCAGACACTACACTTGCCACCGTTCTGCTGCCTTACCCTTACTCACCACAAGGGTTCTTACAGCTCTCCCTGCCAAGAGGGAGTGAGCTCAGTGGCTTACAGCTTCCTGTCATGGAGGGCTACCAACTCATCTTTCCCGAAAGAGCCCGAGATGGTGCAGTGATACGGATCGCCCGGCGGAACCGTCGACCACTCTCTGACAGCTCGATGGGGACGGCAGGCACCAGTCTTCCCCAGGTTTCCTGCTCTGTGCGCCCACTATTGCTGTCGCTCCGCAGAGCATTGACTCTAGCTTCTGCACGGTGCCGGCTTCCTCAGCAATCCCTTCCTCCGGCTGCAACACCCTGCTCCGGCAGGGCCCGGAGGATAGGACCGAACGTGCAGCAAGCAAGCCCCATCGGGTCCCCACCCCTTTTGGCCGACATGCTCTACCAGCCCCTCCGGAATCCCCATCAACCGGCAGTCATCCTGTTGTGTCTGACCTCTCGAAGGCCCTGCCCGATCCCCCATCCGGGACGGCGCTCGGGTCAGCCGAGACCGACTGTGCTAAGCCTATCACAAGCGCTGCCTGCCCCGCCCACCGGGGCTGCCTTTGGCATGTCCTATGCCATCCTCGATGCGGCCCTTGCAGACCACCGAGCCCCGTTGGATGATGCCCTCCTCGCAGCGCCCAAGCTGTTGCCGGTTCCTCGGCAAGTATGGCAGATGCTTCCCACCTGTGATCATGGCAAACCTTGCCAGGCACTGTATTTCTTCACAGATGGCTCGTTTGACCCTAGTTTCTGCTGAGCTAGCTGGGCCTTCGTGCTGTTGTGCCTGCAGGATGGGGCGATTTGTCGTGTCGGCACCCGGTGTGGTGTAGTCCCGCAGGCGGATGGTACACCGTCGGCATACAGGGGTGAAATCAGGGCAATTTTGCATGCACTAGCCACAGCAGCGGCTTGGGACGTTTCCGCGGTTTTCTTGGGCGGTGACTGCCAGGCCGCTTTGGATGGTGTTTTTGGCAATGCCCAACTTGCCGAAGGTGACACTGCAGGGCGCGCCGCCCAAAGCCTTGTTTTCTTTGGCTACTCCCGAGGCATGGCCATCACGCCGTTAAAGGTCACTGCACACCAAGGCTGTGCCTTTAATGATGCTGCAGATGCCCTTGCAAAAGCGGCTAATGCACTGCAACCGGCTGTTCCGCTCTTCCACAGCGATTGTTTTGAGGCATGTGTTGCAGAGGGCACATTTCATCACCTCTGGATGCTTGTCGGTGATTCCTACTCCCGAGTCCAGCTCCCCTGGAAGGATGACTCTGGCAGCTGGACCCGAGCTGCCTGTAACACACCGGCATCTACTTTGGCTTCCAGTGCTCCCTTCTGTTGTGCTCCGCCGGAACCCGAATCCTGCAGCATTGAGGCCACTCTCATCACCTACAACTGCCTCTCTGTCCGTGGCCTCGCAGCCAGAGAACTCATGGATCGAGGCCTGCACAAACATCATTGCGCTGCTGCTGGCCTGCAAGAGACACGTGACCCCGAAGAGGGCATCTCTTCAACGGAGAACTTCTGGGTGATTGGTTCGGCCTGCGATGCACATGGGGCAGACGGATGCCAAATCTGGATAGCTATAAGCGCCAGGCCTGGTGCGTGAGGCAGTCCGTGCCTATCATCCCTGACCGGCGCAGCTTTTCGGTCTTCCACTCCGAGCCCCGCATTCTCATAGTGCTCGCGCGTCTCGGGGACCTACGCTTTGCGTACGTTGTGGCGCACGCCTTGACCAGCATGAAGCCTGACAACCAAATCGAAGCATGGTGGACGCGCCTCCGCCAGCTTTGTGCCCGCGTGCCCCCAGGCCATGCCATTGTGGCCTTTCTGGATGCGAATGCACACTTCGCAAAGGATGCCACATGTGCTGACACGCTGCAAGCAAGGCCGCTTAATGCCAACGCACGCTTCCTCCACGACTTCTGCACACAATTGCAGCTTTGTCCCTCCGCACAGCAGGATCCCCAACGGGTACCACTTGTCTCATGGCGCAGCCCGGCACAAGACTACGAGCGCCTCCTCGATTATGTTTGTGTGCCTTTTGGGTGGATTGCCGGTTTTGAGACTTGTCCGCAATTTTGTCTTGGTGACCTGCGTGCCGACTGGGACCATAAACCCATTATGGCCCGCCTCCAAGCCAAGGTGGATCTGTCCTCACCCAGGCCCAGGCACAGGTTTACAGCAGCAGACCTCTCCTCAGACACAGGCCTACATGCTGCTGCAAAAGCACTTGCAAGTATGCCAGCAATTCCTTGGTCAGTTGATGCCACCACACACGTGGATTTCATTCATCAGTGGATGACCATGAGCCTGGCATCCGCATTACCCAAAGCAAAAGCCAAGCCTCGCAATCCTGCCATTTCGCAGCCTACCCTGGAACTCATACTGACTCGGCGGCAACTACGCACCGTGCACCGGCGACTGCAGTGGCAATCGGGCCGATACGCCCTTTTCCAGTGTTTCCAGGCTTGGCGTGGCAACCTCCCCAGCGCCCAATCTGCCACACTTCCGTTGGTTAGGCTAGCGTCCCGGCTCGCCAGGACGCACTTCGGCATGGCCGCCCTCAACAGGGCAGTTCGGGATGGTCTGAGCCAAGACCGCGCTGAATTTGTGAGGCGTCAGACTGAGAATGCGCGGGAGCTCGGCCCAATGGAGTTCGCCCACCGAATCCGAGCAGTACTGCGAATGGGCCGGCGATACAAAGCCCCACAGTTACTGCGGGGCCTCACGACCCCTGCTGGGGTTGCACATACCGACTCCGAGATTTTGCAAGTTCTGGGTCAACATTTCGCCGGTCCGGAGCGTGCTACACAACAATCTGGCCCACAACTTCTGCAACATTTCGACCGCACCCTGCCCGTCCAAGGCACGCTGGACCTTTCTGACATGCCGGGCATTGCTGACATTGCATCTGGTGTGTTGGCACTCAAACCGCACAAAGCCTCAGGCATGTCTGGCTTGCCAGCGGAAGCATTTAAGGCGGCGCCTTTGCTTGCTGCCAGGGCTCTGTTCCCGGTGATGGCCAAGATGATAGTCCGCAGCCGTGCACCACTGCAATTCTCGGGTGGACTTGCTTGCGCGATTCCGAAAAGCAAGCTGCAGGCCTCCAAACCCACCGGGTGGAGGTCGATCCTGCTTCTCGAACCTTCGGGCAAAGCAATCCAGAAAGCCCTTCGACAGAAGTTGGTCGGTTTTCTCGATGCTGGCCGGGCCAAGGGCCAGTATGGCGGACTACCCCACAAAAAGCTGGCACAACCGAGCCTCCTTGTACGGAGCCACTTTGTCTCCCTTGTGTCGGCCCACGCCACCGGTGGTGCCGTTTTCATCGACTCCAAGGCTGCCTACTACTCGGTGGTCCGCGACGCTCTGCTAGCCTCTCGCGGCCGGGAAAGTGATGCCATGCTCTGGTGCCGGGCGAAAGCCTTGTTTCCGCGACACGCGGACCGCCAACACTTCGTTCGCAGCATCCGCCAGGGTGACCTGCTCGCTGCCTTCCAACTTCCCGAGTACTTGGTCAGATACCTCGAAGCCCAGCTTGGCACAACTTGGTATGTCATGGAGACACCCTCATCCACGGCATATGTGGCCGGCAGTGGCACGGCGCCCGGCTCACCCGTCGCCGACCTTTTCTTCAGCTTCGTTTACGCACGCTTCCTCCACCATGTTGAGGAGGTACTTCTTTCCGAAGGCCACTGCGTGCGGCTGCAAGCAGAGGACCCACTTGACTCGGTTGCGCCCACCTGGGCCGACGATACTGCGCTTCTCGTTGGCCCAGTCAGGCCTTGTCAACTGGTCTCCACGCTCACAAGGGTTGCCACCTTGCTCAGCGATGGCCTGGCACAAATCGGATTAGAAGCCAACTTCTGTCCCGGAAAGTCAGAAGCGGTTGTTCACATAGCCGGGCATGGTTCTGCCGCTGTACGAAGGCAACTTCTCTGCCAGGAGGAACCAGGCATTTCATTTGCCCTCCCCGACGGCACGGATGGCCTTCTCCGTGTCGTTCCGACTTATACACATCTCGGCACGGTCATCGCACACAATGGTGCGGAGGGCCCGAACCTGCAGCACCGCGCCGCCTTGCTCAGACAGCTTTTCAACCCCCTGCGTAGCCGCCTGCTTTACAACAGATGGCTCACTCGTGAGGAGAAGGTGAGGCTCATATCGGAACGTGCCCTTCCCCGCTTCCTCTATGGCGCGGGGTACTGGGCACCCAGAACCGCAGCGGAAGTCGAAATGACCCTGGAGCCCGTGCGAGCCACTTATCGGCAGTCATTCCGTCCCGTTACCGGAATCTCGTCAGCTGGCTTCTCCAACACGGAAGTCGCAGCAGCTCTTGGACTACCGACTGCGGAGGAGTTGCTTCACCATGCAAGAGCTGTTGCGCTTCTCGACACTTGCGAGACCGCCTCCGCTGATGTTTTGACCGCCCTCACTCGTGATGGGGTCTGGTTGACGCTTGCCTGGGAATCCTTCAAAGTTGTGCTGTCCGAGCGACTCCCGCTTGCACTATGCACAACTGCTCCGCCGGCTCTCCGTGACCTCCCAAATTTGCTCCACGGTGGTGCCACTGGCGCACGCAGTGTCTGCAAACGGTTCCTGAAGAACCAGGCAGCCACTCGCTCAGAACCCCTCCTCGTTGCAAGGGACGTTGCTTCGCTGGAGATGCCGACGATTACCGCTACCACACATGAGGTACTGCGATTTCGTTGCGACCAGTGCGGAGCTGCCTTCCTCAATGCACAGCGACTCGCTGTGCATCGGGCCCGTGCTCACAAGCAACGGGCAATCGGCAGCTCCATTGCTTGGGGAACCCGCTGCGAGAGATGCTGTCTCGAGTTTTGGGACATCTCGCGCCTCGCCAAGCACTTGCAGCACTCATTGCCCTGCCAAAGGGCCTACGAACACTCCGACTTGCAGCCCACCACGCCCCTGGCCCCTGGTCGCATACCAGTGGCGTGGCGCCCAGCGGTTACGACCCTTGGCCCGATTCCTTTCTGGGCCACGCTCAACCCTGACGGCTAGCAGGAACGTAGTGAGTGCTACTTTTGACCGCGAGCTTCCGACTTTTGCACCGGACCTCGCTGAGATGCCTTTTTGGCTGCACCTTTTCTCTTGTGTGTACAGTTGCTTCTCGAATTGATCGCGCGCCGACAGGGCTCTAGCATGACCGTGAAAAAGCAATGTACCTGCATCATATATTCGGCGTCCTTCTACACTTTTCGGTATATGTTGCTGAAATAAAGAGACTCCAAAACCTCTTATGATTTAACTGAGACAGCTTTTGGGGATCTCTGGGTCCGCCCTCATCCGCGGCGCCTTGGCAGGATGCAGCTCCGTCAGTGCGCGCCGGGGCGCGTCCATGTTCAGAAGCGCCTCGGCCCTGACCTGGGGGTCGCTTTTTAGTAAAGGGAACTCCAGAAAGTTGGAATATGGGTTCAGGGTAGGATACCTTATAATTTACCATAAAGGGTTTAGGATAATCATATTCCAACTTTCTGGCTTTTACTTTACAATCATAAGAAGGAACCCCCAAAGTAGTACTGCTAATTATTTGTTTATGTAGGTCCCTATAGTAGTTCATGCTTAGAGGGTCGGGGGACATGGAAGGTGGCCAGAATTGGCGTCATCGTACTTATGACTCTCTATAGATTAGCTACTTACTACTTACTACGTCCCCCGACCCTCCAAAATTCGGGGCACCTATAACTCTACCAACACCTACTTACAAAGCCCCTCGATCCTCCACACCCTATACCCTAAACCCTAAACCATGAAAACAAGTGTGAAGAAACGGGGCCCCCTGCGAGATAGCATGTGGCCACCTCCCAGGGCCTGATCCGCCGGCCTGGCAATGCCGCCGCGATCTAGAGGGGCCTTTGACAATTTGAGAGGCGTTGGGACTTCTTTAAGGGCTTGGGATTTAGGACTTAGGGGTTTATATAGGCGTTTATTCGGGGTTTCGGGATTTAGGGAGTTAGTGGTTGAGGGGTTTAGGAGTCTAGGGAGGGTTTAACTCCTAGCAGACCTGGGAGTTTCTGAAAAGAGGGGACCCTAATATGGCACCGTAAATGGTAGGATCCTTATTGTAAGGCCCTAATTCTCGGAAACTCTAAACCCTAAACCCTCTCTAGAAACCTGATAGATTCCTTTAAGGAACCCTTTAAAGAACCCTAAGGTACCCCCGAATTTTCGGGAAACTCCCACACCTCGGCCGCCCCCGTGGATCATCAGCGCCCGCGTGGAGAATCCCCAGGCCTCGCCGTACCTCCGTCGCAGAAAGGCTGCGAAAAGGCTGAGGAGAACAGGGGTTCCTTTAAGGGATCCCTTAAAGGATCCCTAAAAAGGATCCCTTAAAAGGATCCCTTATAAGGGATCCCGTAAAAGGATCCCTTATACGGGATCCTTTAAGGGTCTAGGGTTTCGGGGAAAGAGACTTTAAATGTTAAGGTTTCTTAAGCAATCTACACAAGAGCCTTAATGGGTTCCTTTAAAAGGGTCTATAAGGGCTACTATAAGGGCTGTTGTAAGGGTTTTGGTGTAGGGGCCTTACTAATTGGAATAGGGTTTTTGGGGTTCCTTAGTGTAATTACAGCATAATATCACCCAAACCCCTATTCTAATTGTTCTCTTTGTTAAGGCCCCTACTGCAGAGCAATTCGGGATTTCGGGTTCAGGGTCTGAGGGCTTACTGTAGGGGCCCCCTAATGGGTTTTAAAGGGTTGGTGTCTTTGGAGGTAAGGGGTTTAGGGATAAAGGCTTAGGATACCGCAAGGGGCTAGGATACTTTGGGATGCCTAGGTTTAGGATACCCTGGAGGTTTGGGGGTTGTTTAGGGCTCTAGGGGTTTGGTGTTTTCGAGTCTTGGGGTTTAGGGATAAACTTCGGATAAAGGCTCAAGATTCCCTGGCACCGGTGGGCTTCGCAGGCTCAGCTTCAAGGTTTGCAGGCCGTGGCTTGGAGCTTTCGGGTTTATGGCTCATCGACGAGGTTCAGTGCTTAGGGCTTTCTGGTTACACCGAAACCTCTGCTACCAGAAAACCACAACCTCAAACCGCTTTCGATACCGCGAGCAAAGGGACCGTTTCTCAGCGAGCACGTGCTCTGCTGACTGAAGGTACCTTGGCTGCGTGTTTAGTAGGGTTTAGGGCTTTAGGGATTTCGGGGTTGAGGGGTTCAGGGGTGTAGGAGTTTACGGGCTTAAGTAGGGGTTTAAGGGTTTAGGGCTTCAGGGTTTAAGGTTCGGGTTTGAGGAACATGGAGCCTCGGGACAGCATCAGGAAGACATGGGCTCTTCACACCTTCCAATCCACGCGTTTGCTGAGGGCGAGTGAGCCCGAACCGAAGTATGTACCCACATCCCAGCCAAGAAGGAGATACGAAATATCGGGATGCTGAATTGGAATAGCGTTTTTGCGTTCTAGTTCAGGGAGGGTGGCAATTATGGCTACATATTGCTTTTTCATTCGAACTCTAGAGTACTCTATAGAACCCTGATCTATGTGCAGAATAAGAGTCTGAACACTAAAAAACAGTAATCCTTATAAGCCAGCTTTTTTAACTATGTTAAACTAGATATAAACCAGATATTATATACCCCCAAATGCTGTTCGACTCGTTAAGGCCCAAGAACCCCGCATCTGGACTGACTCTTCTTAGGTTTTTAAAGTTTTAGGGTTTGGGGTTTGGGGCTGGTAGCTGTAGCTTCAAAGAGATGCACTAGCACCTGAGGCCTTGTATTCTAAATTAATTAAGCAACTGCAACTGCACTAGGCGTAAACCCATGCCTCAGAAACTATTCCAAGCGCATGAAAGGTTTACGCTAAAAGAGGTTCCTTGCAACACTCCTACGCGCATTCGGATCGAAGGTACGTGGAGAACTCGTCGCCCTTCACGGTGATGGGCGGCTCAATGTTGCCAGTGAGAGCCTCGCGGCTTCGGTTGCGGGGGGGTTCTAGATTCTAGAAACGCAATACAGGGGCCTTACTAATCAGCATAGGGTTTTGGCGCCCATTGTACTAAACACATAACAAGGAACACCCGAAATAGTACTGGTAAACCTTAACTTAAGGCCCCCTGACCCCTGCACCGTGTTCCTTTCACAGTAAGCCCGCCTACAAGAGCACTGAAAACTCAGAAGCGTAGGGCCTGGGACTCGTAGGCTTCGGGCTTAAACTGCGGGAGGTCCTAAGCCGCTTGGTCCACAGAACCCTAAACCCTAAACCTCAACCCCAAATCCTAAATCCGAAACCCTAAACCCTAAACCTATAAACCCTAAACTACAAACTTCCGGGGTCGCCCGGGGGCTATAGCTTCGGGCTTCTGGTCTCTAGGGTTTCAAAGTTGCCATGGCTCGTGTTTCGAGGATATGGGAGTTTCCGAAAATAGGGGACCCTATTTAGGCTTCGAGAATCCCAGAGAAACTAAACCTTAATTACACTAAACCCTTAAACGAATGTGATGCTTGAAAATCTAAAGAAATCACTGTAGAACCTGACTATCGACCTTGTAATATACAACCGCTAGTGAAATTAGAACTTTCATTCTCGAACTCTGGGTGTTGAAGGCGTACCGTGGAAGCCATACTATAGACCCCTTAGAGAAGAACCCTTCTTATAGATGCCTTACTGTGAAACCCTCTAAACCCCTTGAACCGCAGCGACTCTTGAAGGAGCCCTTAAAGCCGTCAAAGGAGGCCGGAAAGCAGTTGAAAGGAACCCTTACGGGTCCAACCCCTCTCGGCCTGTTTCTCGTTCGTGAGTCCGAGGACGTCGCCAGACTTGGAGTGACCCGACCTGAGCTGCGGGCTTCCCTTTCGGAAACAACCTTAACCAAAAATAACCTACCTTTTTAAGGACTTATATAAAGAAATCATACTCGGGAACCCTAAAAAATGAGGTTCCTTAGGGTCCAGGAAGACATAATGCGCGTTCTAGAGTAAGAGTTCAAAGCGGGGTTCTGTAGTAAGGGCTCTATGATATGGATTGGGTCTCATCAGAAGGTGTCTAGGCGGGGTACACCCTTTTCATATAAATTTTGGGAACGTCGGGTTTAGGCGACTGAGAGCTTCGCTTTAGGTTTCGTCACGTGGGGCTGAGGGGTCAAGGGGCCAAGGGGTGTTTCCATGGCATGAAATGCACGACTTAAAGCTCCACCCCAAACCACTAAGTCGCGAAGCGCTACACTTGAAACATGAACCCCGGACCCAAACAAAAACCCTATGATGCCCGAATAGAACCCATGCCAAAGAAGGAATCTTCAGAGAAGCCAAGCTCCCACCGATCCCGATCCCTGAAGCTGATACGAAAAACAAGACACCTAAACCCCTAAACCCCGGAGCTTGGGCTTCGGGTTGACGGCCCCGCCGCCAGAGAGCCTGAAGGCCATAGCAATCCTCAACTCCGGCCTCTGAACTTCAGGGATGTCTTGCTCTGTAACCGCTCGACAATACCTACAATGTAATAGTCTATATTAGCCCTTAACATAACCCCCTATATAGCGCGATACAGCGTAAGGGCAGCACCCAAGGGGTGTCTTCTTCAGCTGAACAGGAAGGGCCCCGTACCAAAGTCCCTTGGTAGGAACCCAATTGAAAAAGTACCTAAACCGGCCAGCTCATACCTCGCTACGGGACCTCTGCAAAGGACAACCCTGTTGAACTCGACCAGAAAAAAGTTGAACACCGAGGTACGGAAACTCAGGGAGCTAAATACTAGTATCATATTCATGCAGGCATAGAGCAATCATAAACCTCCGATCCAACTCTTCTATGGAAAAACCTATGGAACCGTTTAGAACAAACCTATCAAAACCCCCTAAAAGCCCTATCAATGCCCCCATACAAACCCCAGAAAAGCGCCGACAAACCCTAAAGCCTAAACCCGAAAAGAAGGCCCCCCGATATGCTTTGAAGCTCGGAGCCCCGACAAGGCATTCGGACCACAGCCGAGTTCGGCACAGGTGCCCATGCCTCGCACGCGCAGGCCCTTAAACACCATAAAATTGAAACCCTGCCTAAAGCCACAAAAGCCTGAAAACAGTAAGACCCTAAACCTCTATATACATAAAACCTAAGCCTAGAAACCCGAGAACTCTAGGAGGATGTTGAGCTTAGGTCTTCGGGTGCTTCCAGATTCGGGGGGGTGCTTCGGATTAACGATGTTCGGCCTCAACCCTAAACCCAAAGCTCTAAGCCCTGAAGATACAACCCTAGAGCTCGAGACCCGAGCTCCGAACCAGGTCCCAGATGGCGGCATCGGGTACTAAGCTTTGCTCCTACCTTCGCTCCGCGTCGTGCAGTCAATGGCATGGCACCAGGGTGTGGACGAGCCAAACAATCAGGGGCGTTTTGGCCTTTATTGCTTTAGGGCTCTACACCCTTAGGGCCTTCTATTATGGGATCCTCCCGTACGTATGCTCCCTAAGCTTGCCTAGCGCCCTTTTCACTTGAACCCCGCTCCCTTAACAATCCTATGAGTAGTTGTATAAGCATAAGTTAGAAGTGTTCAGGATCGCACGTTTTGGATGCTTTTCGTGTCTTAGCAATGCCCCGTTGAAGAAGGAGGTTTGTTGTTTCGTATCCTTCAGCCTTAAAGGGGAGCAAACAATCACTAAAATGGGCACAGCTGAGGGACCTTGCAACCGTATAGACGTCGACAACACTTTCAGCAAAGCACCCAAAGGCTGAAGAACCACAAAACTCAAAGCCGTTAAACCCTAATAAAACCCTTATATGCTGCGAAGTGTGCCTAGCGACTGAAAGCTGCTCATTAGCTTTAGGGTTCAGAGCGTTGGGTCGGTTGTCGGATCAAGCTCTTCTGATAGGGTCATGAAGTAGGCTGATGATGATAAACCCTAAATCCTAAACCCTAGACCGTCATGGAGTAGATTGATGATGATCAGGACTTTTTATATAGGAAGTCTGATAGGGCTTAGCGGGAATATGTCGGGCCGTCATCGTCAGAATCGGCTTCGGGGGCGACGGAGGGGAGGATAATTTTAGAACCTAGCGTGGAATACTGACACATACCTCTATTATGGGGTTTTGGGGTTGAGGCTTTAGTAATTTAGGTTAGCGTGGTAAATCCCGAACCCGAGCCACAAGCCGCTGACGTACCCGCAAGCCCTCAGCATCAGACCTGGTCTTACCAAGAGGGCCCCCGTATTGCAACCCTTTGAAGCACTTCCAACACTTAAGTTGCTACCGTTGCTAGATGACCAGCTAAGAGACGCTCAACGGCATCTGCCACATGGCGGCGCCCCGTCCAGAAAGCCTGGGCTGCCGGTGGACGAAGCCCCAAAGCGCTCAACACTATGTCCCCTGTATATTACACCCCCGAGGCCCCAAACCCCAAACCACCAAAATCCGAAGAACCCACCACGACCGTGCGAATCCGAAGAAACCCAACCCAACCTGAAACCTATGTCTACGAAACCATGGAATCCTAAAGATCCTGACCCTATATCCTAAACAGTAAACCTAATGCGCCATGTCCCGAACCGCCAAAAAAAAGGAAACCCTAATTGAGCCCGCAAAAACCCTGAACCATAGAGCCCTAAACCATAAACCCTAAAGCACTAAACCTTAAAGCTCGGAATCATAAAGGGCCCGAACACCGAACGAAAATCCCAAAATCTAAGAAGAACACACAACCCAACATAGGGGCCCTTATAGTTAGAATAGGGTTTTGGAGCCCATTGTAATATTTATAGTAAGCAACCCCCGAAATAGTAAAGGTAATTATTCAGGCCCCTTTGGTAACAGTCGAAGCGCTTGAACCCTAGGCGCCTTAACCCCGAAACCTAAATCGACTGCTAAACCTTTGAGCCTCATTATCCAACGTCCGACACCTAATGCCCCAGACCCCTAAATCCCAGAAACCTGCAAACCACGACACCGAACAGACTCTATCACCGCCAAGACCGTTTAAAGCAAAGGCACCGGAACCACTGAAAAACTTTAGCCCAAAGCTTTAAAGCCCTTAGCACAGAACCCATATACAAGTAGGAACCCCTGTAACCTAGACCCTAAACCCTGAAGCCTTCATAAACCCCAGCACGGATTGGGACCCTGAAAGAGCCCTAAACCCTGAACCCTAAAGCCGCAAAAGCAAAAAAAAAACTAAACTCTGAACCCTCAAACCGTAAAACCCTAAACCCTGAACTCTAAACCCTAAACCTGAATCCGTGCCGAGTTGCAGTTTGGACCGCAGGTCTCCGAAAGGCTCGGAGGGCAGAGGCACCTTGCGGGCTCAAAGGGACTGCCTTTAAGGGCGTGGTACTTTTCAGGGTTCCTGCAAGGGGTGGTATTTGAAGGTTCCTTTAAGGGGTGGTACTTTTCAGGCTTCCTTTAAGGGGTGGTATTTGAGGATTCCTTTATGGGTTCCTTTCGGGGTTCCTTTTAAGGGTTGAGGGTTTAGGCTTTACGGTCTTTTACTGGCTTTCTGTTCACAGCTTAGGGTTTCTTAAGGGTTCAAGCCGACTTTTCGACCCCCAAGTCTGGGTTCTTGTTAAAGTTGAGGAACTTAACTCAATAGCTACCCTAATGGGGTCTATCGTACACAATACGGTTTCCTTACTATTTATGGTAACTTCAGTTAAGCTCCTTAACAAGAACCCTCAAGTAGACCTTAGGCTCTGCAGGCGCTTAGGTACTTCTCCTGGGTTCTGGAACCGTCAATACACAGACCTTCAGATAAGGTCTTGAGCCAGAGCCCCAAGCCACAAAAATGCCTATGCTAATGCTAATGTAAGGGCCCGAATAATTAGAATAAGGCTGTGGCGTGTAGTTTGCTTCATTTATGCAAAGGCTAGAAGGTGGATCCTACTACAAGTAGTAATTGCTCAGACCCCTATCTTAGCAGGCAGTAACCTTTTAGCCCTTCAACTCCACTCCGTTTCGAGCGGGGGGATTCCGCAACGTCGCCATAAGTCCGTTACATTAGCCTGGCCAAGCCGCTCACAGCCAAAAATGTTGAAATTCTTCAGATCCTAGACTACAGTGCCCTTCACAATTAGAATGGGGTCTTAATGATCATGTCTTTTCGTAATGCTCTAAGGAACAGGTCCAAAAAGAACACTATAAACTACGGCACTCTAGAACCCAGGCCTAAGGATAGTAGTAGTAGTAGTCGTCGTCGTCGTAGTAGTAGTAGTAGTAGTAGTAGTAGTAGTAGCTTTCATATTTGATATAAATGGCTTTGGGCTTTGCATCCCGGCCTCGGGCACCAGCAACGCAGAGCCGCATCGGAGCTTTACGGCTCGCACTGGGAAGATCCTAGAGGTTCGGCTACAAGACCTTGCGTGGATTCAGGGTTTCTGGTTTGAGGTCTGAGGTTCAGTGCTCTTGGACTTAGGTGAGTTTATGAAATTTTGGGTTTCGGGTGGGGCAGTTTGAGGGCGCAGGATGCCACGGGTGGTTCAAAGACTTCTGAAGGCTTCGAAAAGAGCCAAGCATAGCACAGGCTGCCGGGTGGCTGGAGGCTTCGGGTGTAAGGGCTTAAGGGTTAGGGTTTCAGGTTCTTTGGCTGAGGAGCTCTTTCCCGTGGCCCGTAGCTTCGGGTATAGGGCTTAGGGTCTATGAATTAAACAGCTTCAGTGCTTCCAGGTTCAAGTTCTACGGCTTGCGCCGTAGGAAGTCCTAGAGCGTCCCGAGCCGAAATTCGCCATCGCACAAGTCAGGGCTTTCCCGTGGTACAACCCGTAATAGGTTGAATGGGAGTCCGTTTCAGGGTAGTTTTACGGGCTTTGCAGGATGTTTGTCGCGTAGGCCAGCCATAAAAGCTGAACTCCTCTTGAGTGGCAAATTATAGCGCATGCTGCAGGGACTCAAAGAACATGGCGTCGCTGCCCTATGAACAGAAATGGAGGTTGTTCGTTTGCTAGGATCTCAGTTCCTACACCGTAGGCCGTAAACCATCCCGAAACCTCAAACCCAAAACTAAACCCTGAAAAAACCCTGAGCCAAAAAAACTAACCCCTGGACCTTAAATCCTATAGGCTGTATATCCAGATATGGGTGCATGATGGAGCGTAGTACTGCAGTAGGTGAGAGTCGACGGCTAGATAATACAGAGGTTCTATGGGGACTCTACGGGGTCCACTATTGCTAGTCTTTCCGACCCCACTAGTGGGGCTCGTGGCGCCTAGAGCAGGGGTTTTAGGTCTCCCCATTTCGAATGGCTTAGGAATCAGCGGCTCGGATTTATGCCTCTTATAGCCGGAGGAATCCGAGGTTCAGGGGTTTAGAGTTTAGGGAGAGAATAATTTCCTGGGCATCCCATGCTCTACTGCTTCAGGGGCTATACCCGATAATGGGGGACTCTGTTGCAGGGTTTGCGGTTACGGCTTAGGTTTCAGAGTCTACGCATCTAGTCTTGGCGATGATACGATCCCACAGTTTGGTGTCTGCACCCTCAACTGTGAATCTGCAATATTAGTCCATTCCTGGGAACAGCGTGGATCCACCGAGGGCCACATTGAAAGGTTGGGAACTCATTGTAGAATGCAAGCTTACAGAGAACTTCATGGGGATTCAATCTTTCGTTTGCCATATCGGGCTGGGTTGCGGTTGCAGCATGTTCAAGTGGGTCGGCAGGATTTGGTGTACGTTGCAAAGGCTATCCATAGGCCAGTTGTCCACGCACGTTCAACGAAGTAGTGTAGTACAGTCTTCAAGCCACCTCACCTGGAAATAACAACCCCAAAATCCAAGCCCTAAACGCCTAAACATCCAGACCCTGTATGCAAAAACAAACCATAGTCCGAAACTTTCGAGGACTGTTAAGAAGCCTTCTCATACAACGAAGGCCGTCTCGGGAAGCCCAAACTTCAGAGAATTCAAAGGTATTCAAAACGACCGGGAACACACTTGGTGAGGACCGAATACGTACCTGACGACGGCGCTCGAAGTATGGACACTGGGCCAAGCCTCGGAATGCCAAGCCAATGTTCTCACATGCGCTACGAAGCGGCTGCTCACATTAATAAGTCTCGCAAACAAGGTGCGGCATCCTTTTCGTGACACTTTCTCGGGTCTGTGAACCGTTTAGCTGGGCGACCAAAACGCTGCTAGCTTACTGCATACCATGCAAGAAGCTGCAGACGGCGCAGGTTGCGGTTCTACAAGCTGTAACTAACAGTTGAATAATTTCCACGTCAAGCTCCTCCACATCAGATCATGAGGGCATGTTGATCACTCACTCTTGGTGCTCAGGGGCTGCTGCGGCGGTTACTGGAGTGGAGAGAAGATCAATGGCACAATGGTGCAAAGACCATCAGCAGCAGGACGACTTCCAGGAGGAATGGTAGAAATGCCAGGTACCGAGCAAGAGGTTCATGGCCAATGAGAGCAGAGCCAACGTGAAGCCGAGCGACGGCGGCGCGAGCCTCCCCCGCTGCGCGATGGATGAGCAAGGCAAAAATGGCAAATTGCAAGAGAAGTGCAAAGTCGATAGCGTCGCCTAGAAAGTTCAAACCGATGGCCTCCTTGAACATGGTCAACAGCATGATCATGCCGAACGTCGCCATGTCGGAGTGGAAGAGGCCCCGATTCATGAACGCAAGCGGGCCACCGGGCGCTGTCATTTGGTTCAAGTTGCTGATCACGACCAAAGAATTCTCCATGACGTTGTTGGCTACCGATGACAGAACTGTTGCCGAAACAGCTCTGAGCACTGTCTCCGGCAAGATGCCCCGAAGGCCATCAAAACCGGTGTTGAAGTCTCTGATGGCTGCGGGACTGGCTACGAGCAGCACTGATGCGGACATGGTGACATAGACACACATCGTCAACACACATGCCAAGACAATTCCCAAGGGCAAGTCTCGGGCAGGGTTGCTCACGAGGTCACCAGCTTGAATCATGCCCGGGAAACCTCCATAGGCAAATACTGCCACATGAATCCCCGAAGGGAAACTCTCCCACTGTGTCTCCGCTGCATCCAGAAGTTGTGTCACGGCTCGCAAGGGCGACCCCACAGCCCATCCCAGGCAACTGCTGAGGGCAAGCAGCCCCACCGTGCAGAGCTCAAGGATACCAAGCCAAAAGGCGATGTTTGCCGTGAAGAGCACCCCTCTCATACGGAAGGCTAGCCACAGCACTACCAACAGCCCAAGAGCCACAAGTTTCTCCAGTGCGGTTGTCCACTCGCCCAGTAGCCCTTGCAGAAGAGTGCTTGCAGCAGCACGTCCGAAGAAGGAGACTTGCATGGTGACGGCAAAGAGCAGCTCGATGGAGATTAGCTGCCCGTTGATGAAAGAGATCCAGCCGCCCCAGTACCTGCCAAATCCATTCTCAGCAGCCCGATGCAGGCAATCATCGGATGGGTATTTCGCATAGAGATGGAGCAGCGGCAACGCAGACAGGGTCACAATCAATCCTGACAACAGAAAGTTGGCCCAGCAGATTGCCACAGCCTTTGTCTGCAAGTCCTATCAGTGTCTGATGGGTGCCTGTGCCGATCATGTTGCCTGCCGTGTACAGCGCCATGCCCACGGAGGAGAACCTATGTGCCATCTCTTCACGTCCTGGCGCGGCGAGGTGTAGCAGTACTTAGCGCAGCTTAACGTCTTCCAGGACTGCTTGAGAGGAAAAGGCGGTCCAAGCCGGAGACACACTTGCAGGAACGGTAAATCGTCAGGGAAACCTCTGCAAGTAGAAACCCCTGCACCTTTGGTCAGCCTGCAAGCATGACACACCAAGGAGACACGGCAATTGAACAAACCGACCACCTGTTGCTAAATCGTGCATAAACTTAGAGTCCCCTCAATAGGCCACGCCCCCACATCCCCTGTAGAACTCCAGGGCTTGCACGTGCCAGGTGAGCAGACGAAGCATCATGGCTCCAAGGGCATTCAACTTTTTAGCGTGTACCAAGACCTTGAAGCCTTTTCTGAAGCGAGGGCTTTATGCGTTGCTAGGCCTCGCAGGTTCAGAGTTGCCTCTAAAGTGTCAGGGCTCCTCCGTTTTTCAGCACCCTAGACCCCAAACTACTAAACCCCTAGACCCTAAACCACTAAACCTCTAGACCCTAAACCCCTAGACCCTAAACCCGTAAACCCTAAACCCCTAGACCCTAAACCCCCAGACCCTAAACCACCCTAAACCCCTGAAGCCACACATGAGGCTCTGAAGGACGGTCAAATTGAGCACATAAGCTTTGAGCTGCATTCTGCGGCTTCAGGAGCTTGAAGGCAGAGGGCCTAGACGTTGAGACCCCAAAACCGAAACCCTAAAACAACCCTAAAACCCCAAAGCCCCAAACCCCTAAACCCCAAAAAATCCTAAACCCTAGAATCCTAAGTCGGACGAAACACGTGTTTCGTCCCATTGAGACAGGTGATCGCAAGCACGGACATCGCTCAGGGTTTGGGCTTTGGGTTTAAGGGTTCAGGGTTTAGGGCTTGGACTTTGGGTTCAAATTTTCGGGTCCTTCTAGAAGTTTGTCATGATTTCTCAAAGGACGATAAGGTGCTCGTTCGGATTCTCATATCTCTCTGCAGGAATATCCTCTATAGGTAAACTGCTTTGGAACTGGTGGTTCTATGTTCTGATGCTTTTACGCATTTACAGGTGGCTGGCTATTCTGGGCTGATAACAAGCTAATATGTACGCAAGAAAGTCAGAGGTAGGATTGCAGGCAAGTGCCATTATGGCGCTTCCTCTGCCTCAATTCTTGGAAGCTCTGAGCTATAAGCAGTATGACCTACATACGAATTCCGAATTGGGCTCCGGGTTCACGCACCACTAAATCCGGCTAAACCCCGCTCTACAGGTGAAACTACCGAATCCAAATCTTCGGAGTCCTTTTTTAACCAGGTCGATGTTTAGGTGAGGCCTCTTTTCGCCTGGCCGAGGTCTAGGATTACGACTTGGAGCACCAGAGTTTCGGATGTTCAGGCTTCCAGGATCCTGGTGTTCACGCGTAGAAGGCTTCTTCTAAGATTGAATACAAGGGCATTGAATATTCCTCAACACAACTAGATCGCGGCTATAGGGGTCATTGTACTAGGTACTCAGACTTCCAGGCCTAAACCCTGAGACATATCCCTAAATCCTCGCCAAACCCTAAGCCCTATGCAGACCCAAGTTCTTGAGGAACCATGACAACCCTCCAACTTCCAGCAGACGTTTTTGGCACAGGCGTCTACCAGGACGTGTAGGCGGAGTGTCTGTAACCACCTGACACTGGCTTGGCTTTGGGTTCCGAGTTTGGACTCGAGAGGTTAAGGCTTTCGGATCACAGA